AATTCCGTCAAAAATCAATGAAGCGGAACGAAATGCAAACTTGATATGTAACTAATCAAGATACACTCACATACCAAAAATCAGCTCAGTATCTGCAAGGGTTTAGGAGAAAAGTGCGGAAAACCAAGTGGGATAGACTGACAGACAGACAGAGGGACAGACAGACAGACGGACGGACGGACAGACTCAGAGGAAACCTATAGTCCCCTCCGGTTTCACCGGTAGGGGACTAAAAAAGCAGCTTCAAAATGAGTCATGAAGGCACCTTATCAAATCACAGAAACACTGCCCAATAAATTCAGTCAACAGATTTACCAGTTAAAGATGAACAAGAAAATTATTATCAAAAGAAGGTATCTTGAATCGCCAGAAAGACCAATCTGAGTAAGTTTTCAATAAGAATGAATCAGAAAACGAGGCAATGATAACACCATTCATGAACATAGAGTCATTAACACGGCTCTATCAATATAGAAGGGATAAAAATGGCAACCAAAAAACTTGGAAAATGAAAAAGCGACAGGCACTTATCAGATACAAGCAGAACTTCTCAAACTGAAGTATATTGGACACCTACTATATTGACAAGATCTGGAAAACCGACCTTTATAGTTAATTACTAAAGAAAGATTCCTCTAAAATTGCAAAAACTGTCACCATGAAAGTTTTAAGTAGAGTACGTGATACTTAAAAGATTCACAGACATCACAGACCCTTACTGTGTTACCCATTTTTAGGAAGGGAAGGTTATCTGCCGATCAGTTATTAGTCCCCTACCGGTGAAACCGGAGGGGACTATAGGTTTCCTCTGAGTCTGTCCGTCCGTCTGTCCGTCCGTCTGTCTGTCTGTCTGTCCGTCTGTCTGTCTGTCTGTCCCTCTGTCTGTCTGTCAGTCTGTCCCACTTGGTTTTCCGCATTTTTCTTCTTAACGCTTGTAGATATTGAGCTGATTTTTGGTATGTGGCTTTACCTTGATTAGTTACAGATCAAGTTTGCATTTCGTCCCGCTTCATTAATTTTTGACGCAATTATGGCATTTTCAATTCTTAACGGGAACGGAACCAGATTACACTTGCCGGTAGGGGACTAGTATTGCTAATGCAATACTCTCAGAATGCTTGTTTACCTTAAGACTAATACTAGAGCAGAGCAGTGAATAGAAATCACTCTACATCAACTTCATTGACTTTACGAAAGCCTTTGACAGTGTTAACCATTTAGCCCTAGAAAGAATCCTCAGTCATTACGGGATCATAAACTCTTCTTCATCATTAAGATGCTAAACACTGATCTCAGTGCAAGAGTTATGTATTGGATATATGCCGAATACAGTTCTGTATGAAAAAAAAAATATCAGACAGTTTGAGGCCCATTAATACAGAATTGTATGAGGCATATATCGTATTTAAAACATTGTTTTTGGATTTACCTGAGACAGTCCGATATTATAACAAAATACAGAAATGTTAATGACCACTAAAGCAATTCTTCGAGAAGAAAAGTATTCGGTATTTAGGGAATCAGTTACACTGTAGTAGGTATTTGATAAGTTTGATACGGAGAGTGGCAATAATTTTTTTCTTCATTATAACATAAACGGTGATTAAAGCAATGCATCGGATTATGATACAGAAAATATAACATAAAGGAGCAGATGTGAACTTTGATTTGAACTGAACAACCACAAATGGTGAAGGTATATAAGGCCATTCCAGACTTTTCTATGCTTAGTGTCCGTATGTGCCCTGGTTATGACACCCCAGAGCAGAAAAACAAACATAATCAACAATCCAGGAATTGGTTATTATTGATGGAAAAGTTGGAATTCTGTCAATTTCTTTCTAAATTTGTGTCAAATTAAGTATTAAATTATCATATACTACCTTGATTTTGTAAAGGCTTTCATCTTCCTACGAGAAAAATAGAATTTATAATGAAATCAAATTGTTTGAATGTTGTTCTTTATACGTCTCTCAAGTTTGTGTTTTATTTTTCGGATTGTGCTTTGTTGTTATTGTTCTTTGTTTTTTTTGTTTTGTTTTTTTTTGTTGTTTTTTTTTTTTGTTTTTTTTTTTGTTTTTGTTTTTTTTTTATAGATACGTACATAGGGTTTTGAAATATAGGTTGACGCTAAACAAAGGAAAAATTGGAGTGGTCCTACTTAAATTACAGACACTGAAAATAAACTTTAAAAAGATTGCATGTATAATGAATAATTTTGTAATTTAACCAGCAGTAAAATTCTTCTTTGGTTGAAATGAGAGCTCTACCAGCCAACTCTGCTAAACTGGTCAAGTATCACGATCAAAATTATTCTACCCAGATAAATGAATTTGTGACCTAAGGTCAGTACTACTGATTGATTGATTGTATATTGCTAAACACCGAATCTGCATTATCCCAGCCATATTTTGGCAGTAAAGATTATTTCTTATGACCGGTTTTTGAAAGTTTATAGGTTTCTCTGGCGACCTGAAGTGAGCCTTCTCTTTTTCTCAAACCAAAGAAACCATCTTTTACTTGTCAAGGGGGTTGAAACATTTCTTTTTGCATGATCTGCTCCGTTGCATTTTCTTCCTTCCAGTTACAGTATATTCGGTTTAATTGGAAGTTTAATTTTTTAATTTTCCAAATTTGTATGATCAAAATTCTGTTTCAAAATCATCATTGTATAAATGAAATTTAACTAATTTTCTGTCTGTAAAATAATCACAATTTTTATTTCTTTTGTTCAGTAACAGTCCAATTTTGAAGGATATCAGTACTGAGATAGTCTGCTATTACGATTAATATCAGACTTCTCACTAATATCGGACTTTCAGAGGTAAAGTTTTAGACTGCAAGAACAAAGGGATGACATCGCAGCAATGTTTTAACTGGATCAATCGTATCAGAGGAGTTTTAATTATAGAGAGGATTATAACAGGGATATTTGCTCTACCCTTCTCTTCACCTTCTGCAAGCGAGAAACAACAATCAGCAGGACATATTAGACGCGCTTGAAGACTTGGATTCTGCAGAAGATATTGTACTGATATCTCACCGACATGCAAAATTTAACCAACCAGTATGGTAAAATAGCAAAAAAAGATCGGTCTTCAAATCAGCACCATGAAAACTAAGATCATGAGGGTTAACACGAAATCAGAGGAACTCATCACCCTTAATAGAACAAATTATGAAGGTGTCACCAACTTCGTCTACCTAGGAAGTTTTGTTTGTTTGTTTGTTTGTGCATTGTTTAACGCCCCTCTCGAGAATTTTTCACTCATATGGAGACGCCACCACTTGCCGGTGGAGAGCTGCAAATTTTGACCTATACTCGGCACTCAGGGCCACTGAGCAGTGAGGGATCTTTTTCATGCCAGCATCTACTTCGACACGGGACCTCGGTTTATAGGTCTCATCCGAAGGACCGGTCTCCACGTCCCACAGTGGGATTCGAACCCGCGACGTAAGGATCAATTCCTTACTCTGCGACTCTATAGCGGACTCTCTACCACTGCGCCACGCGGGCGACGTCTACTTAGGAAGTAAGATTTATTCTGATGGGGATTCAGAGGTAGATGTATTAGCTCTGATTTCTAAAGTCACAAAAGCGTATGCTGCGCTATGTAACATCTGAGGGTCGGCAAAGACCAGCAATAAGAGGGTTTTTGAGAGTAATGTTCTTTTGTATAGTGTTGAATCTTTGAAGGTAAAAAAAAGTCATTGTTAACAGTCTAGATGCCTTCCCGACAGGACGCCTTCGAAATATATTATGCAACTGACCAAATACCATCTGAATAAAGAGCCGTACAATAAGACCAACCAACCCCCCAATCTTAAGATGGTAATAAAAAATATTAATGTGGATAAGCAACATATGCAGAATATGCCTCCATCCAAGGGCTGGATTGAGATGGACGCCAACTGGGAAAAGACAAAGGGGTAGATCTAAAGAGATTTTGAGGAGATAAGTAGAAAAGAAAATGAACTAGAACAACTGGACTTGGAGGGGTTTACAGAGGTGGGTACATGGCAGACCTGCATGGAAGGATCTGGTGACTGCCTTATGTTCTGATAAGCACGAAGAATACTACGTAAAGTAAGTATTATCAAGTTCGTATGTATATGCAGTAACATCATAAATTTGATTCGATCATAACAAACTGTTAAAGTATTAAGAAATACAACCTATTTTACTGTCAAATTTAATTTACATTTTTTGTTGTTTTTTCTTCTTTGAAAAGGTGAAGATAACGAAACTGATCTCTCTCAAAATTCTTTTATACAATAGAAATTTGTGAACAGGGCACAAAACACGGACCCCTGATATTCCAGAGATGGGATCAGGTTCCAAGGAGGAGTAAGCATCCCTTGTGGACCAGTTACACCCGCCATGAGCCCTATATATTGATCAGGTAGACGGAATAATCCGTAGTCAAGTTTAGTATAGAAATGGCCTAATTGGTATGAAACATGTCAGTCAAAATACGACCCAATGATAGACTGTATTTGTAAACAAGGTCAATATATCATAGGATTTTCAAAATGCCTGACTTTAAACGAGATTGTTGAAATCCCTGTGACATGAATTTATTTGTCAGTAGCCTGTCTCGATTTAATTATTCATCGTTCTCAGAGCATGCTCTTGCGTATCGAATAAGTTGGGAGACATGAACACCATATGCAGGTGATAGTGGAATATTGCTACATAAATAATGGAAAAGCTGACGTCATCTCGATTGTCATTACAGTACACCTTGTTTTAACAGTGGCTATATTTTATCACTCAGTAATATGATATCTCCAGCCATACAATGTCATTTCAATGTCATTTATAGCAAACAATGTAGTTTTCCCCTTTTAATGTAATTCGAGGTACAATCATTGTTCAGTGTAATTTTATTTGTTTTTGTTTTTTTTTTTTATATTAAATCGAATATACTATTATTTTGTTTTTGCTATTAATTGTTTCTTTATATACATATATATATACAAATGTCAATTACTCGAAATGTTTCAAAATAATTTTAATATAATTCTCTTATAACAGATCTACACAAAACAACAAAGCAACAGGTATTATTTTAAGAAAACTATAATACTTTTTATGATGCTTTAATTCGCAGCACATTCAGAAAGAGTAGCATTCCGTTTACAAAATACAGAAGAAAAGTCACAATACACATGAAGTAGGACCAATGTAGGCTATGGCTTTCCAGAAGGGTTGCCTCATGGTCATTGGTGGAGGTTCCGTAAACCACGATCCCAATCAACACACATCCACCTAGAATTAAACAAAATATGTCAAAATATGTTAATCCTAACAAATTACTATACATATGACAGCAATGTAATTATTATTAATTTATGTCTTCAACACGTACGCATTCACCTAACTTGCATAAAATACCAAAGAAAAGGTGATTTAAAAAGATTGAAAGGGACAATATTAATGCTAAGCTTACACACATCAAGAAAAATAATTCATTCTTGGTGACATAAGGTGACTATACAACCTTTACATCACTGTGCTGGAACCCATTATGTAACCCATGCATGTAATGAATTATTAAAAAAAATGTTATCTTTCTTACAATAAGAGTTAGACATGATATCAGCAAATCAAGGTCCCTGTAATTGACATTTCATTTTCAGCAGAATGTTGCCTGAACGTAATCAGAATGATGGAATGCAATTTTCATTATGCATCATTTTCTATTTTGATGAATGAGAAATATTGACTACTTCATCATCTTCATTAATTTTGTGAAAATCAGATATTTATTTTGCATACTAGTAACTAGTCACTGTAATCATTAGACGAGCATTATGACTAAAGCCAGTTAAACAATGTTTGATTTTGATATTCAAAGACAAATTTTGACTATTTTTGTCAGTTTAAAAACATACTTTCATTTCCTTGTATAAAATCGATCGGGAAGAGTCAAAATAAGCCAAGAAAGCCCCAAATAAGGCAAATGAACCATCTGATAGAGAGCAAAGATAGGCAAATGAATCTAAACCGTTTTATTTTATGGATTCGGACTTTTGAAAATCTGCATCCTGTAACCTGAGATACATTAAGATTTATCGACGACGTTTTATCAAATAACAATAGTTATACTTATCCAATGTCAAATCGATATATCCAAGTGAACTTGAAATAAAAAGACACCACAGACTGTCATATGTGTTTCATATTTGCATGCTTTACTGACTAATGACGTTATCGACAAACAGCCGAACTATGTGACAAACTTATTTCCCCAACGTCAACTTCCCTTATTTATTCAGTAATATTCCAGTATCACTTGTATATAATGTGTGTGTCTTTAAAGTGATCGGCAAGCAAGAGCCCGTTCTTAGTACGATCAATTTTTAAACCAAGGCAAGCTACTAACAAATAAGTTGACTTTTACAAACACATCTAAATCAGCCTTTTGCAAATTCTATTGTTGATGTAATAAACTTGTTTGCAAAAACAATCTGATGTGTCAAACAAATTGTTTTGCCATTGTTTTACACTATAATTTTAAATACGAGTCTTTCCGTTTATCTTGTCAATACAAAGGGCTCACGGTAGATATGTCCAGATGACAGAGTATACTTATTCCCTGTAGGCATCTGATCCCACCTCTGGTGTTTTCAGGGGTCTGTTTTTTGCCCTATTTACGATTTGTATAGTTTACAGGATTTATAAAATCGATAACTGTTCGTTATTTTTACCTTTTTCGTACAGTTATCTAACTTCCTTCATTAAGTAAAGCATTTCCATGTTCACTATGAAAATAAAGAACAGATCACATCCCCTTACTTTAGATATTCCTTCTGTTTAAATCAGTTTTGTTTCCTCTGAATTTAAAAACTCCCCCCTCCCCCCCCCAAAAAAAAATGAGATGAATCATCAGCAACTTCGTAAGTAAAACAGACCTAATAAAACTCAAAATGCCTTTGAATCATGAATTAAACAGAATGGCAGAGTTTTTAACGGGAAGAATGGGGATTGCATGGATCACAATATTTATCGAATTTGAAGCTAATTCCTATGCAGATTCTAATGTCATTGTATTATCGGTAAGATGGATTTGTCCCAGATTGCCAACAAAATCTGCTGAAACAGAATCAAGTCTTTGCTGGAAGTGATACTATAGTACTATGACAATTCATGTTTTATTTATTTGTAGACAGAAATAATCGTTATTCTATGAATAAAACATTATTTCAATACAAACATCAAGAATTCAAGTGATTAATGAAACTGCAATTTAATCTTCAACAAAACAACTTCGAAAATCTTTTTAGCGGTATGATCTCCACGGCGACTCGACAACCGTGGACGCTGTGCTCAGATCTTGGTTAATGCATGACTTTACAGAAATATGTTAGACAGTGTACTTTTCTTGAATACCTGAACACGCTAGCTCCAGATACATGCAGGGAGAAGATTATTTAAACCATAAAATCTTTCAAAATCTTCAAAGAATTCAGTATACCTGTTGATATGCTGGCTAAAATGGCGGCAATATGAACAAAGTCACGTGAGGCGACTTCCCGTATGAACAGACACAGCAGAGTAAGGGATAGGGTTCCACAGGAGGCAAACAATCCTATCGTCACAAACACTCTGGTTACTACTATGGCATCTGCAACATAAACGCAAGACATTGATAGTATGTTTTTATGTTTTATATTCCTTTTTTATAACTAAAGTCTTTTTCCACAAATTCTGTCAGAAACATTCTGGTTACTACTATATGGCATCTGCAACACAAACGCAAGACTTTGATAGTATGTTTTTAAGTTTATATTCTTTTTATAACTCAAGTCTTTTAATTCAAATTCTATAATTTTCTTCATTTTTTCTGCACATATTTTTTAATGAAATACATATTTCCGTACATTATTTTAATTGCATTTTCTCTATATCACTCACACTGTCACATTTCCTGCACGCATTCTGTAAATAACCATATTTTATTATTTTTAATCTAACTTTCCGTGCATATACCTGGTATTTTGTAAATTACATACATTTTTCTGATCATATTTTGTAATGTTTCTCAGATTTGGCAGCTAATGTAATTTGAATTTATGTTGTCATACAGAGCTTTGATTTACAAAATTTATATACGTTAAAAAGCAAGTCTTAACTTTGTCACAATGAAGCATTCTTTATGAAAAAAAAAAACTCATTAGAAACAAATTTTGGATTATAGGTATTTGAAGACTTCCACACATTTTGGTTCCACAAACAAAAAAAATATCGGTTTTTAAATTTAATGTTTCAAATACTATCTATCCAACTAACACAAACCTTTCAATATTACCGAGGAAATGATAAGATTGGGGCAATGGTATATTCAATTGACTATGGATATTAGCACAAAGGAACTAACCTTTATGTCTAGATAAGGAAACATATTGATACATCAATATAGTTCATAAAAATGACAGTTTGTTTATCTAGTTACACTAGATAACCTTGTAAAATACTAAGTACTGAATAACAAATACAGACAGACACGCAAAAATCCAAATTATCCATTCCAGTGATCAATAACTTGATAGCGTACATTCAATTGCTTGAAACAACTTGTTTCTGATTCACTATTTTATAATTTCCAGTATCTTTATCGCCTAATTTGATAAACCAGCCAGAGGAGGATTTCTCCGTCTGAAGACGCTGCTATCCCCATAAGAAGTTTCAGATAGAGAGTATTCAATCAATAGAAATCTCTTACACAATTAGACAAAGGCTATCTTTTCTGTCATTTCAATTCTTTTACTATACTTTGCCTTCTTATTTCACACGTCAATTTCAGATGGGTTTTTTTTATCATGTTTGCTTGTCGAACTATGAGACCTTATACAGTATTCTTTTCCAATGCAGTATAAAAGTTTGTTTTTGGTACATGTATTTGCTCTGAGTAAACAAATAAGTCAGTGGTCTTATTGAATTTTGTATCTGTTGGGAAACTAAACTAGAAATTCTGTATAAAAGAGATGTGAAGTCTCTATAGACCTTATTCCACTGTAATAAAAAAAAATGTGCTACAAATAATGAAATTTTCACCAAAGCTGGCCCAAGTTACTTGTATTTCAATGCATATAACAAAGTACTTGGTGTCAGTTGAAAATAGCAAATATTACACCACAAAAATCTACCCTACAGAATCTATCAATAAGAGGCGTGTCTACCATGTATGCTTGTATGCCAAAAAAAAAAATCCATTTAAAAAGTGGAAAGAGCGATCTGCAATTCTGTAACCCGACTGTTGTGTACTCCGTACATGTAAAGCTTAATTTCAGTTTATGTCCATTGCATACTATGATTAGAAAATTGGAAAGTACGTCAAATTTGAAAAAAACAAAACAACTCAATTAAGAGTGAAATGATAGTTCGTTAAAGCAAGTAACTTCTGAAAATTCTGCATCATGTTTCATTTTCATTTCATTTTATTTTCAAAGATAATAAAATAATGGATTATGTCTTCACTTTACAAATTGTGAGACTCAATCTAACCTCAGAATTACCCTGCCCTGGACCCCCCCCCCCCCCGCTGGGAGGGGGACTTTAGGGCGGTCCCATACCCCCTGCAGTCAGAAAGGATCTAGCTAAGCACTGATTATAGAAAGTGTAAAATTGTCTAACAGAGAATCAAATAAAGCGCCATGTAGGAATGTCTTTATACTGTAACTAATCAACAAAGAAGGTTGTGGCATGCATTCATTTCATCTTGTAAGAAAATTGGATTTCTGTTCTCTTCCTAAGTCAAAGTACAGTTTTCATTAAATTCAAAAGACGGTCACAAATGAATATTGTGAAATACCGCTATTTGTCACGAAATTTAATTATCCGTCAAAAAAGGATCGATATAATTCTTACGGAATCGAATGAGAATGACAGAATATCCCAGATGATTGAAGCTTACGATACATACCTGTACCTGAGATTAAGAACAAGTATCTGGTTTTTGATACTTTGTATATATATATATATATATATATATATCTTGCAATATTGTCTATTATATGTCGAGTTTACCCAGAGAAGACATTTTTTAATTAAGGTAAAGTACTTTTTGACCAATAAAAACAACTTTGAAGAAAAATTTTATTTTTAGACAACCTACCAGACACCATACCAACTGACGTACCGCGCTCGCCTACCATCGACCGCTGCATACCCAGTTTTGTTTTGTTTTGTTTTGTTTTGTTTTTTTTTTTCTTGGAATGCAAACATAAAGAACACAATTCAATGATTCGTTCCTCTAAAACGTGTGAGCACGATTTTCATGCATTTCTAAAAATGGTAACTCTTCAGTTATCATTCATTTATTTACCTGTTTAGGCATTTAAACATCTTACTTTTAATCATGGTTACATATTTATACAGTATCAGGTACGTCTTAAACAACTTTTTAAAGGTAAATAATTTTCTATAATGGTGCGTTAGAAATTTTGTCTAGTGTATATGTAACACGGAATAGTAAACTAAGAAATTCATTAATATGAAAGTATCATTCATTCTCATAAACTGTCGAACTTACCTACAGTATGTATGTTATTTTAATCGAAATATTTTCTTTAAATTACAGTCTGCTGATAATAATCAACAAAAATCTTCGTAAAAGAGTGTTTAATTGTTGAATGACGTTATACTGATAAATTTTTTTTCTTGGTTATAGCAAGGTATGGTAAGTAAGGAACGATGCCTCATAACTTGGCGTTAATTTACTATACCTCTTCACTTTATCGAAACCCCTTAGTGTGTTGTAAATTAAAAATTAGGGTGTAAATATCAGAAGTAGTATAGGGTTATATTTATTGCTTTTTTCAGATAGAAATGAATTATTGATTAAGTTTTTTCTGTTTAGAGTCTGTGACCTTAATTTATTCTTTACATGTAGGAATTTGAATTCTTATGACTAACGGTAATGAAATTAATATGTTGATTCAAATTCATAAAATAACATAATTTGTAGAAATTTTTTAAATTATCTTCATTTGTTTTATGTGTAATCAAACAAGATACCGTTGGGACACTAAATAATTTAGAATTAATGATGAAACAATAGCATGTGGCAAAAAAGGTCCTACTAAGGAATATTATGAGTCTATGAAATACATCTTTCATTTGTAGTTTTTCAAGAAAATAAGCTATTATACTGTTATAAGAAAAATGAAAACTAAACACTAGATGTGTTAATTATTCTAATTAGGCTCTAATACTATTGTTCTTGTAGATTTCTCTTGCTTTTATCTAAAAAGTTTCATCTAAATCTCGGCACTTAAGTGGGGTCGGTAATATTGCACATTATTGATATTTTCCTATCAGTAAACAATATCATCCTGACAATAATAGCCTAATCTGTTATCTCACTGTTTTCCTCTGTGTTATGCAATACGCATGCTGTGTTATACGTCTTGCATTGTTTCCTCATAAACTGCACAAATACATAACAATTAAAGGAAAAAAAGATAACCTAACCATTAATTTGTTTCCTCTAATTACATGGAACACACAAGGTTATATTTTCTAGTACTTCTTCCTAGAGCAAGGCAGATTAACCCTCTTTTATAATATAAGGGCTTCTACTACACAGAAAAGGATTATGGATAAACATCACAATTGTTTATGTTACTCACAACTGTATTATACATTTATGTGGAAAAAGATCTGCTTGATCTCTAGCTCTCTGACACGAATCGGTGGAAAGCCTTCACTGATGTCTTTAAAACAGATGTATAAATTTTGTAGAGAAAATCTTTGAAATTTATTTTCTTGAACATTTTTCTAGGAATCTCCCTATAGTATCTCCATTATCAGTTATTAGAACCAAAAATAATCAATTGACTTCTTTAAATAAAAAAAAGTCTACTAGAACTACATATTTCCGTAGACTTTTTAAAATGTTACCATATCTATGAAATTTTCAAAAATCAAATGAAGAAAATGTTCGAGGCTTGTTTTCATAAAATAAAAAAAATATCTTACTTTTTAAAATGTGGAGAGGTCAATTTTTTAAAAAGATATACTGACATCTGTACATACATTTATTTGTCAGCATTTTCATATCTGAGGCAACCTAAATTCCAAGGAAAGTAGGTTGTTTCATATTTATAGTCTAAAAATGATGACGTTAGAAATCTGAAAATACTTTTTAAAATTTTTGTATTGTTTTGAAAGTTTGGCAATGCATTCAACATTTTCAAAAATGATTTGAAAAATATATTCCTCACCTTCCAACTCCAAAATAGCAGATTGGCAATTTGGATCGTCTGAAAAACAGGAAAAACAATTCCAAAGACCACAGTAAGTATGCTTGATCTGAGGGTAAAAGCTTATATGCGGTGACACAGTTGTAACGCTCTTAATCAAACGCCAGTAAGACGAGGCAAAAGATACAAGATGACACAAAAATCCTATAAAAGCAGGAACTAAACTTAATTTCAAAAACAGACTCGAAGATTTAAAAGTTTCGTTGAACATATTTGTCATAAGGCTTTGCTCTTCGTAGTAAACAGTTAAATACTACAACACACGGTTCTACAAGTACTACACGTTATTTTCTGTAAGTTACACATTGCCATAACAACCTCAGATGCATTAAACGCGTTTGATAGAACGGAGCCGATATTAATAGGAGCTAGCAGGCTCTCGTGTGATTTATACTTCTTCAGCAATCCTCTAGAGCTTATGAGGAACCTCAGCTTTAATGTCGGGGTTAATTATAGAATTATGGAGTGAGCCAATTAACTGAAATTTTTATGTGCGATAAGTATATATTTAAAAGAATGAGCTGAAGTTTAAGCATTTTTATGTTTTTAACTGGAAAATGACGTGCAGAAGAAGCAATTATTCTGTTTTAAAATTAAAGTATCTTTGTGAATAAAAAGTCAATATTCTTGTCTTTGGAGATATTTCTATATATGATGATAAAAAATTGAATTTCTTTTTTTTTTTTTTTTTTTTTTTTTAAAAAAACGCTAAAATGAAACCCTGATGCAGCATTTTTAAAAACGATTTAGTTGATGATATAGAGAAAAAAAAACAGAGCAAATGAAAAACTTTAATTCTGAACCTGAGTTTCTCGGTCCCTTGGACTCCTGAGCCCTGAGCGCCCGTAGGTCGAAATCAAAATTTGAAAATCTCCTTACACTGACATTATTACATGAAGGGATTGAGTCTTTACAGTTTAAAATAATATTGTTAAAGTTTAAAGGAGTATCAATAATTTACAAATAATGGACATAACACTCCAAATATAGACATTTAAAGACAATCGATAAATGAATCAGAGGGATTTTTCAAAGTTTTATTTGTTTATCATTTCCCTTAATATACATGAAACAGATTTATTTGAGCAAAAGCTTTTAACATAAAAATAACTTAACACACTAACATAAAAGGAAGTCAACATCACATCACATTAAACGACAGATTACGTCATTAGAAGGTGTTCATTTAACTTAATATCGACTAGAGATAAAACAATTTCTACCTGTACTGAAGGTTTTAATCCTAAATTGTTTACTGGAAAAGTGACAGTATTCATAACTAGGTTCATGTTATCTAGCTTAATGTATTAATTCATTGAAGAACAACAACAATTTAACAAGACAGTACATAATGGATTTTCTTTTAGATCGGTGCTCAGGTGGGAGGAAGACAGTGGCGTTATAAATAGGAAGACGGCCATGTGTTTTAAATTCATTTCCTATGAGCACTTAAAAATTAACCAATCACATAAATCCAAAAACACTTGTGTGGTAATTTTCTGAAACATCAATGAAATCATATATGATGCCGCCTGTACTTTAAGTTTATCCTTGCAAAAAAGGAATTGGAAACGTGAAAAGCACACATTATTAACAAAGAGTATATCATTAGATGTCAAATTTAGTTTTATTCATCTCAGCAATTCCAGATGTATTGTGCTTTTATCTCACGCCATATATATTTATATATCGAATTGGATTTTCCAAAATGGTGTAATATTGATGCATTAATGTTTTACTTCAAAACTTTATTTCAATAAACATATAAGTTACATAACGATCTTTAAGATAGAATTAAAAGCCTTCATTAAAGAAAACCCCAATCCATGTTTTTTTTAAGATTTCAATTTAGCATACAAAATGATTAATATGTTTGTTTAATTTAATTTTTATATCCAGTGGTGATAAATTATTAACGTTAGTTAAATTCTGTCTACAAGTACATCTGCTCTGATTAACAATGTTAAAATCGTATTCAAGGCTTATAAAAGTAGGTCAAACTAATTAAGCTATTTAAGCTAATGAAAATTAAGTGAATGGAGTTTATTTTTCTCTCAAAAAGAAAAAAAAACAACAAATAAATGAAATATGAAGATAACGAACGTATTCAATTTCGAAAGTCCAATGAAACGATACAAATTTAGAGCAGAGCAAACACGGACCTCAAAATTTAGAGGTGGGATCAGGTGCCATGGAGGAATGAGCATCCCCTGCTGACCGGTCACACCCACCGTGTGCTCCTTGTCATGATCGGGAAAAACTCCCGAAAAATCTGTAGACATTTCAGTAATGGCCTAACAATTAGTATGAAAAACATCAATCAGCATTTGACTTGATTTGTTTGTTTGTTTGTTGTTTAACGTCCCTCTCGAGAATTTTTCACTCATATGGAGACGCCATCACTTGCCGGTCGAGAGCTACAAATTTTGTCCTATGCTCGGCACTTACGGCCATTGAGCAGTGAGGGATCTTTTTCGTGCCAACACCTACTGCGACCTCGGTTTATACGGTCTCATCCGAAGGACCGGTCTCCACGTCCCACAGTGGGATTCGAACCCGCGAGTTGAAGGCCACAGCAAGTGTTTTCTTCTTCTCATGTAGAAGTTTTTGAATAAATTCTACTTCATATGAATACAAAAATAGGTCTGCTATTGGACTTTTGCGAGAAGCACTGACTTTTACAGTCAACGGCTTACTTTTACACTAGGACAATATACGGAGGCTCTTTTGCGGTATAAATATTTAGCCGAACAATTCATTAAAAGGTAATAATGCGCAGTTTTAAAGCACATATTACGTTGTCTTGGAAGGGAACTGCAACCACCCTATCCTCAGCCCATCCCTTTCCACCTTGACCAACTCCTGTCAATTTTTCCTTTCGAAATGTTTTTTTTTTTCTTCCTTATTTGATTCCTTCAGCAAATGAGATTGAAAGGAGATACTACCCCTACGAATAACATATTTTAAGTTATTCTGCCTTCCATCATCTCTTGTGTTGATTGCATACAGGTAAATCATGTAAGCGCCCCCAACACCATACCTATAACCACTATTTATATTTTCTTATCTATTATCCATTCCGTACCCCCATACATAACGCAAGTTTAAATGTCAAAGTAAGCCGTCGATTGTAAAAGTGCAATAAGGGGGCGCAATTGGTACCCATGGGAATTTCAACAGATTGTTGGAAGACCTGATCTCCAAAAACTACATAGATACAGTCAATCAGAAGCTCAAGCATCTTTTTAATATCAACTTCAGAATGCTTGTGTGTACAATCAGAATGCGTTTTAACAAAATAATTTTACAAATGACCATTGACGAGGTAAGTATATTTACAAGTTCCATTTGTACTGAAAAAAGCAGCTGTCTATGATGTCAAAAAGCTTGGACTTCAATATATCGTGGGGAATGGTTGTACAAAGTGTTGAAAAGTCGTACGTTTTGATGTTATTGATTTTAGTAAGATTTTGTGATTTCAAATTTTCTAAAAGTTCTTTGGAGTTTTTAAGTATCCACATTGATTTACACCACTTGCAATGATCTTTCAAAAGCAAAAAACAAAAAATAAAACAATATGGTAATCAAACTTGGCGTGATTTTATGTCATTATACATTTTTTTTATACATTATTCATTTTTTGCTTATTGAGAACATAATGAATCTCTATTTTCATTGCAAAACCAAAGAAAGAAAGGAAAGAACTTCAAGCATATAATATTGTCCAAAATGCACTACTATCAATTTTAAACTTATAATAATGTGTAAATATTATATAGAAATGCAATTAACTCCTGAATTTGTTATAATATGGAATATTAGTACATTGTTTTTCTTTCATTGTTCAGTTATATAATTGCAGATTTGCGAAATGTCTATTAGGAAAAACCAAAACAAAAAAATCAGAAACTACAAAATAACTTTGTTTTATCTTAAAAGGTAAGTGATGTGCTCTGAAGCAATCACACACGCAAAAAGCATTACTTTGAAAACTAACTCTAAGGTCTGAGCTTTTTCAAACATGTTTCTGGCTGAAAAGTTTGAAGAAAACCCTGACTATACACTAGAAAAAGTCAATTATTATAAAGTACACATCACTAAGAAAACAGATGAAATAAAAAAGGAAGCAAAAATTCCAGATGCTCCCCAATCCTCTCAAGGTTAAAACTATAAAATGATTTTCCTAGAATATGATGACAAATAGCTTTGGTATTTACGTTGCTGTTAATTATCGAGCAAATCATATTTTAAAAAAAGATTGACTGTTTGTATTTATTGTCTGAATATATTATTATTACTGAGAATAATATGTGAACAGTGGTCATTCTCAAAACTTCATTTCAGCAATACAAATTATGAGCAGAGACAACACGGACCTCTTAAAACAGAGTTGGGATCTTGCCGTGGAGGAGTAAACATCCCTGTCGACACGGACCTCTTAAAACAGAGTTGGGATCGTGCCGTAGAGGAGTAAACATCCCTGTCGACAGTTCACAAGGAAATGTTTTTGGACAGTTCAGTGTGAAAATAACGGCCTAACAATTTGTATGAAAGACTTCAGTCAGCTTTGATTTAATGGCAGATTGGAAACAAAGCCATTGTACTGACTATAGAATATGCCATGGCATATGTTGACTTCAAACAAGATAATTGATCCTTGTATCATCAACTTATTTATGAATTGCCTGAATCGTTTAAGATATTGTTTGTACGTTGAACAGAATCAACTTGGAGACAAGAGCTTTATATGCAGGAGATATAAGGAAAGCTGATGATAGAAAAGTCGAAATCAACACTTTTGTCAATAAAGATGAGTTGTCATTTTGGTATCAGTGTTTTCTCTAGTAAAACATCCCAGATATAAAAAAAATTGTCAGACTCTGTGATGTCTTTTATTTTGAGTTCAATGGGATATATCGAATCAAAGCAGGAATGAAACTGAATACTTTTTTATTGATAAAACATCGTCAGTATATCTAAATGTTAAATTAAAGGCTACAAAAGACTTCTTTTTTCATGTAGAAGCTTCTAGATAAATTCTTCATATGAATATATAAACAGGTTTGCTAATAACTTGTATGTTGGAATTCCAACAGATTATTGGAAGACTTGGTCTCCGAAAACTACATGGATATTTCAACGACAAACTTAAGAATTTTTTAATATCAACCTCGGGGTACTTGTGTATAGAATCTTTTTTATTATTTTTTTTTTTTAACAAAATAAGTTTGCAGATGAACAATGACAATATATGTAAACTTACTAGTACCATTTTATTGAAGAAGCAGCTGCGTATGATGTCAAAAATTTTGGTCTTTAATTCATCTTGGGAAATGGATGTATAAAACGTTGATACAAGTTGTACGTTTTGATGATATTGATTTTGGTAAAATTCTGTGAGTTCGAATTTTTAAAATGTTCTTTGGAGCTTTTAAGTATCTGATTATCACCACTTCTCGAATATGTTGTCGTACAGTACTCCTGAGGTTTCTCCTTCACTGCTGTTAATATTTTCGTGAAGAGTAAAGAACGAGGCTTGGTAGAACATTTATTTGGTTGTAAGGATTTGTATGATCTTAAGGAATCCAGTATAGATATGGTAATTCTAATTCGCTTCGTTGTTGGGAATATTAAAAATATTTAAAACTGACAACATATGATTTTGAAGAATTTCTTTCCTAGAAAAAGAACTATGACTATAAGATGGATTACCACTTAGAATTATTCCAAGTTCCTCTAAAATGCAATTGTAATAATGAGCCTTACATACAAGGGCTATGTTGTTACCAGCTTTGAATCAAATATTTACTTTAGTAAGTATGACTCAAAAATATGAGAAATGTATCAAAACATTTTTGCAATTGTTCATTTAAAAAACATTCATTTCTTCTGTAGATTTTGTTTATTCATCAACGTAAAGGAACATATTATGTTATCATCTTGTCGAGTTGTAGTGCACATATCTCAATGCACAAAATGTAAAAATGTCCAAACAAACCAAATTAGAATAACATTAGATTTCATGAAGTTAGCTATTTCCAAAATATTTGAGACAACTTTCTTGAACATCACAGACAAAAAGAATCATAACTCTAGATTAAGATTTCTTCGTCAGGTTACACATTTGACTCTCTGTGGTTCCATTTACTTTGGATTGGAGCACTGCAATATAAGAAAAGCGGCAATGTGTTCCGGATTTCATTGCCAATTCACGTCTTAAAACAATTAACCAATCTTTTGAATACAAAAGCACAAGTTTGCCTGCTTAAATTCTAAACATATAAAATCTAATAATGTTGCCTGCACTTTAACTTTATTCTTGGGAGAAAAAAAGTCACAAAAATCTAACAGTTCTGACATAAATCATTTAACTTCAGTTTTCATTTTGATTTAACTCTCTACTTCTAGGCATGTTGTGTTTTATAGCCTACTATGATAGCTGATGCCACACACGTTCATTGTTTTGAATAATGTTTAACATGAAGGTTCCTTTATATCTTTGTCTGCTACAGTATGGCTTTATGGCTTCCACTCGTTTTGCTAACACTTGCTCATATATCTAAATTTGATCAAATGCTTTAATTTGTTTTATCAATAATTATTATGCTTCTCTCCAGTTGTTAACACCTGTACGCACATTATCATGGCTGTTTATCAAGTAATAATTTGAATACATAAATGTACCTGATTTCGCCGGAAGAATGACTAAAGTAATTATGCATGCTTTAAAATATATTGTTTTTCGACATTCCTGATTTTTAATTTCACTAAAAATTGTATCTTAAAAATTTGCAAAAGTAAAAGATGTATTACCCATTCTTGTATTATTAAGGACTTTCTAAGCAAAGAGGAAATTATGCCAAAATAGACTAGTAATGATTTTAATAAAAATATTATTATAATATCATTGAATTCTATCCTTGAATACTTTCTCATATTTATCCATCTTTTTCTTGCATAAAACTTCAGTCACTAGGTCATTGATTCCACAGCTTAAGAAAGAGTTACAGTTTAGTCTAAATAAGTTTCAGTTTTAATGTCCCTAGAATTGTAGCTTTTTTAAGAAAATGAATTTGAACAGATTTGATATGTGTATCATCAACAAAGTAATGAGAAAGGAATATAAAGCAGGTTGATAGGAAAAAAGAGAAGTACATGCAATTTAAGCAACAACAAAAACTCAACAAATTAACACTGTGTGAAGGCTATTGCGTAGAGTAAGTAATGTACACGATATTACTGTATAAACGTATATTATGTTTGGCTGTGTAATCTTTTTTAGCGCCTTTGGCGGAAAGCAACGTCCGCTAATTCAAGTACAACACTAAATGTCTCGCACATATACAAATAAATAAGAACATTAAGAAATGCGCTAATCTTGCTCAAAAATTAATTTCCGTCAAATATCGTACACGTTAAATATAATATCTTTACAGTATCTATGAAGGAAGGATTTGCAAGAATCCACTTTTCCTTCACCTCATATCTTCACTTCCTTCCATGCGTCCGCTTGCACTTAAGGCCCCAAAATCCACATTGTCCAAATGTATCTGATTTTGAGGTAGTCACTCAGCTTATCAACTTTATATTTGGTCATACTTATATATTTCAAAATTACTGATATATGCATTATATTGATAAAAATAGGGATTATTTTGGAATTACGGGAATGAAAATTCAAGAGAAAGGGTTGTTGATGACCAGATAGATGTGTGTTCATTGATTAAAATGTTGATGATATTACGGGGAGGAGCACTCCTTTTAAAAGTTTTAAAATGACGTTTTGAAAGAAATGTACATCTTTATCCATCTTACTCACCGGATCAGAAACAGAAAGATTCAAGTAAAAAATGATAGAAAATGATGTTTGGAAATTTTATTTTATTACGAAAATTATTTTATTTTATTTATAATTAACCAACTTTTTAATTCATAAGTTAATTCTAACCATGGAATAAAATGTTAAGGATTAAAAATATTTCAATTATTTTTTTTTATGTATTTATATGGCAAAAAAGTAAATTTACAATTTGTCAACCGCCTTCCAATGGCTGAAATCAAGCTATAAAACAATAAAACTGCACAAATATACAAAGAAAGTATTTAAACAGATTATAAATGCATAAAATAATGTAACGTAACTATCCTTAGGGAGTGAACTCTCGAGGAGAAATAGGGAGGAGATGTATGTGTACATGTGATTGTAAATTGGTACTTATTGTCCACCCATATCAATGTTGATTTAAGGTACACCCAAAATCCTACATCTATAAATCTAAACCTGAACAGGCAAAGTAGAATTATAAACTTTAAAAGACCAGCTGTTTTTTCTGTCTTTATCAGAGCAGGATGTCATCGGCTGGAATATTTTTAATTATTTATCTCTCTTTACGTATGTATGGCGTCTTTTTTTTATATCTATATAATTCTTGCGATCCTTCAAACGTTACACTGTGTTTTTCTTCAATACTCAATTACTTGCCATAATTTGGATAACTTACCATATGGAGAATGTTTTATAGTCAGTTCTATTCAATTCTCAAGTAATAAAAATGCATATACACAACACAATCCAAAAAGACGAAATTCTTTGATATTTTGTATTTTCATCTTATTGATAGCAGAAATAATCAAATCTCAAAAATATAATTGTTTCAGTAACAATTCTTACATCTTCAAGAGGGGATCCATGTGAAGAGTATTTATCCCTACCAAATCCTTACGATCGCTACCTCACAAACAACATAAGTGGATCAGCTGTGAGCATCTTACATGACAGGCATATTGAAGAAGGCTGGTACAGGGCGGGGTACGCTATGGACATGCCGACGACGCCCCCGTCCTCCCATCTCCACTGTGGTACAACGTTCCCCGCATGGATGAACGGTAAGAGAGATAATTTCTTTGATAAAAAATACATAGATCAAGTTTTATACAATGGAAATAATCACAATTCTCTAAAAGTGAGCAATTTTGGATTAGGCAACTGAGCTTTTTCAGAAAAATAATCTAATTTCTTTCTTCAAATGCAATATCAGCTTTAAGAAGAAAAAATCTTACAGGGAAATATCAAATCTAAGTACCATATTCTTTACGATAAATCCATAAAAAGTGTTAACTACTGATTTAAGGAAGCATTCCAAACACAACTGATGGAGAGGCAGAAAGAAGGGTATGTTTTCTGGGTCACATTCAGGGAAACTTCTGTATTCATCATATTGATATAAAAGTAAAGAACTGTGGAGTATACAGGGTGTACCGTCTTCCTCCCACACAGAGCAATGACGAAGCTTACTGCTTTGGTGAGTACAAACATAATATACTGTTTCAATAAACAAAAATATTTGCTTTGTCAATTTTATATGTATATTTGGTATAGAAACTTAAAGTGCGAAGTGATTATGCACGACTGATTTTCAATAGTTTTCAAAATGAACAAATGTCAAAAATATCATTTCTAGGGAAAGAAAGGACCGGTATGTATGTTAAAAATGTTTAATTTAATATCGAGATATTATTAAAATGAAGAAAAGTTATAAAACTTGTAAACCAACAAATAAAATAAAAAATAAAACATATCGTCAAAATTCCATTAGTAGTTATATTTATAATCAAGCCAAATTCAGTTTCTTATAAAGTAAGCCATATTAACAATTCGAAACATAATTTACAGATATTGAAAACGACAATAGTTCTTTCTCTGTCACAACATCATCTGTTACTGATGACGTCACAAGTATACCTGAACTGGACCCTTGCTATAATTATTCTCCTCTTCCTAATGCGTATGACCGTTACTATTTAAATGTTCTAAATGGATCCACGGGAGCCCACATTCATGACCGTCATCTGGAGGAGGGTTGGTACCGGGCAGGACATTCACTGGACATGCCAAATATCCCACCGTCTCTTCTCCACTGTGGAACAATATTCCCTGTCTGGATCGATGGTAAGTTATAGAATGCAGCCTCTGTATTATAGAGTAATAATGATTCTATTTGTATCCATAGAATATTGATTTTTTAATCGTATAACATAACTATATTTTGTATCACTTGACTAATTAGCTTGATTTGTAATTAACTAGTCAATAATATGTGGTTCTTAGTCTATTTTTGTCATTTATGCCCAGAATTTACTTGTTACATGTATAAGATTATGTTACATAAATTTGGTTAAGAGTTATATATTTATCAGTTTTCAAAAAAGGACATTTTTACATGATGAAGTCTTTCTTATTCATTACATGAAGACAAATTTTGTGAATATAGATATCAATATTCTCATGTATTCATATCGATGAAAAATAATGGTACATTTATATAATATCCGAATTCATCTCAATCAAACACATATATAATTACTTAAATTAATAATTTAATTTCTAACAAGGCTAATTTAAATGACTTAATGATTATTTATGTTGTAATCAGGAGAGATTCCTGACACTGATGATGGTATAGCAGAAAGGAAAGTTTGTTTTCTGGGGCACGTGGTAGGTAACTTCTGCGTCCATCACTTGCAAATATTTGTGAAAAACTGTGGCGTCTACAGAGTGTACTATTTATACCCAACACCAAGTAACGACGAAGCCTACTGTTTTGGTATGTTGTTATTTACATATTGTTTGTTTTGTTGATTATCCTTTATTATGACTGGTTTTGTATCTATTATTTGATATCTTCACATATTTTTTTTTTCAGGAATGGATAGAACAGGTTGGTTAACTCTCATATTTAATGAAAAGTTTGACATGTATTTAAGAAAGAAAAAACAATGGTTTTAATATGCCTTGAATGTTACTGATATGATATATAAACAAAATCTTGAATAATCTTTTAGAATTTATTTTGTTTTTGTAAGTTGTTATTAGTAAAAATATGTATGAGAAATATTTTAAAAACTACTCACTGATCATACTGGCATACAAATACCATATCTAAAGTTTCGTTTACAATTATCTGGCATGAAATAAGACTTTAAATTAATTAAATGATTAAATCAAATTTTATGCAAATGTCCTGTAGAATGTAAAATATATTTTTTGGGGATTTTTTTAATCAGAATCTACCCCGGTCTCCGTTAAATCAACCACACCACATACTACTTTACACACGACTGATAACAGCCATGACGTGAATTCAACCCTGCCAATACCTCAAGAAACAATTACTACAGACGATTCAGAATTAGATCTAACGACCTCAGATTATTATACAACTGCAGATTTTGGAACTTCTGTGTCCAATATCACATTGTCAACTCAAAGTACCCAACAGTTTACAACTAGTAGTAAACCCCACACAACACCCCAGACTGACCCTTGTTCTAGCTATTCAATCCTTCCAAATTACGGAGACCGCTTTATAGAGAACGTTGTCAGTGAAAATAGTTCTTTCATTGACGATAAGGACCTACCAGAACAATGGTACCGCGCTGGTAACCTGGATATTCCTATACGTAGGCCGAACCTCTACCACTGTGGAACTATGTATCCAGGATATCTGACTGGTAATAAACATATGCAATCATTACTAACTTGGAGAAAAACTTTTGACATTTTTCATAAACGGGTTTATTACCTTTGTAAATAACTGCAATTGTTGTATAATGTAATTTTCATAATTTTTAGAATATGTTCTTAATACTCCGAATAGTATTCCTTAAGCTTGAACTTCATCCATATTCTTAAAACAAACACTGTAGGTTCCATACCAAATGTAACAGCTGGAATTGTGAGAAGAACTGTATGTTTCTATGGTGGTGACGATAACTGGTGTCATCAAACTGTTTTGATAAACGTGAAAAATTGTGGCACTTATCGTGTTTATTTTTTGAAATCAACTCATATTAAAAGCTCAGGATATTGTTTTGGTAAGTGAATTCATAAATCAAGTATGATTCAAAATTACTCGATGTTACATGTCATTTACAGGAACAAATATTTATGGGACACAAAATTTTGGGAAAATAAATACTAGTATTTTGAAAATGCTTTTCATTAAATATTGTCAGATGAAAAAAAGTTCATGCTTTCCAAACACAGTATAAAGAAATAATTTAAACAATATAATATTAGGGTCCATCCCGCCTACCAATGTCACCACTACAACATTCTCTACCACCCAAACGACGCATGTCAGCAGTGCCACAAATACAACCCTACCAATACCTCAACAAACAACTACAGACGAGTTAGAATTGTATCTAACGACCTTAGATCAATACACCAGTACAAAATCTACAATATTTGTGTCCAACGGTACGACGTCTACTCCACAATTGACAACAATTTCAACATCTATTTCTATTATTCATTTCCACCCATGTTAAAGTCATTTAGTCGTTTAGATTGACTGTAATTTGCTTACTGGCGAGTTTTCAGTTATTGTTTATTTATATGATTTTTAAATGCAATCATTTTAAGTTTTAATATTTCTAAAAATAAATGCCTTTTATCATAGGTTATTCCATTTCAAGATTGTTTCACAATATGCCAAGTAATAAAATAATGCATGATCACTTCACAGGGACTGTAATAACAACTAACGCATCAAGCACACCACACCCTACTTTAAAAACTACTGTCATCAACGTCACGAATTCAACCACAGCTATCCCCCAGAAAACAACCACAGAAAGTTCAGGTTCTGTTATCATAACTAACGTCTCAAGCACACAACGACCTACTTTATCAACAACTCATAGCATCAACGTCACGAATTCAACCATAGTTTTACCCAATATAACAACCACAGAATATCCAGATTCTAATCTGACAACCAATGCATCAAGCACATCTTACCCTCCTTCACAATCAACTCCTATCATCAATGATACGAATTCAATAAAACCGACTACCCAAGAATCAACTACAGAAAATTCAGGTAACTTATGTGACCTTTAAGCATTTCAGATTTCCTGTGTTCTGTACTTCCATGTGACCTTACTTTCATACATGTATTTTAAAAAAGATTAAGGTGAAAATATTAAATTGACTTCCTTCCTTCCAGATAACAATGTCCCCACAACGTCAAAACCGATTACAACAAGTCAAACGAGTTCACAACAGACTACAGAAACCACAAATGGCAACACAACACAGACGCCAACATCAACTACAATGCAGCAAACAACAAATAAATCTACCACTACGGGGTCACCTATCCTAACTTCATCATACTCTTCCATGAAACCAACAAGTACAAACTGGACAGAATCTACTAACAGGCCTTCACCAACACCAACAGCTTTTACAACACCTGAAACCATGGATCCATGTATCTATTATACAAACTTAACAGATATCGAAAAGAGATTTCATACCAATCGAATTCAAGCAAATTCAACTTCCAGTCTCTCTGATCATTTGCTTGTCTATGGGTGGTATGGAACTGGGGGACATGGTTTATTAACTTCGAGTGCCATTAGATATCACTGTGGGACTTTCAATCCTATCTGGATAAATGGTTAGTTTTTCTTGTGTGACTTTTTCCCTTTTCGCTTTACAATAATGTTTCTGGATATCTATCAAACACCTCTTAAAGAAACTGCTGGTTGAAAAGTTTACATATATGAATGTAATTTTTATGAAACATTATGCAGGCAATATACCTCCGGTAGAAGGCGGTGTGGTGGATCGGACAGCATGTATTGTTACTGATACGAACTGTGGAATAACCATTTCCATTAAGATTCGTAACTGTGGAACACATCGTGTTTATCAACTTCGACCTACTGTTGTTTTCAGTGCATACTGTATTTATGGTACGTGGATGTGAAATAAAAAAAAAAAATAGAGAATAGTACATACTGAAATCCATATCATATGTCATATCAGCCCGAGTGGCCCCATATCAGCTCGAGAGCCGAAGGCCCAGGGCTGATATGACATATGATATGGATTTTTTATGTAGTGTTCTATTTATCATATATTTAAAATACTTAATATGCGAGTTCACATAAAGTCGTTGAAGAATCTTTCGTGCATGTTGATGACCTTTTTCTTTAAAATTTAATAGAGCCAATTTTAGGTTATTGAAAAAATTAAGACCACAAATGTTATTAAAGAATTATTTTACATGTATATTTAAATAAAATCAAGTAATTTAACTTTTAAACTTTATACAAACGTTACTTCCGGTTTGATATGGATTTTTGCACGCCGGTCCGATACGTTATATGGATTTTCGGACCGGTACTTGATATGGGGTATTGTGACGTCACCCGTATCGCACAGTGCACAATCGGTGTATTTACTACTAAGTATATGATAAATATTGTTATATTTCTTGAAAAAGATAACTGATCAGAAAGTGGCATTTTGTAACTTGTTTGGCTACTAAAATTTCCTGCGATCTGTACTTAATTGTATTCTCCCTCTTAAATATAATTCTTGTTTTAAAAGTCAACATGAAAGTATTAAGATGGCTTCCTTTCTTCCAGATTACAATGTCCCCACATCGACAAAACCGATTACAACAAGTCAAATGAGTTCACAACAGACTACAGGAACTACACATGGCAACACAACACAGATGCCAACATCAACTACAATGCAGCAAACAACAACAAATCAGTCTACCACTACGGGGTCACCTATCCTAACTTCATCATACTCTTCCATGAAACCAACAAGTACAAACTGGACAGAATCTACTAACAGGCCTTCATCAACACCAACAGCTCTTACAACACCTGAAACCATGGATCCATGTATCTATTATACAAACTTAACAGATATCGAAAAGAGATTTCATACCAATCGAATTCAAGCAAATTCAACTTCCAGTCTCTCTGATCATTTGCTTGTCTATGGGTGGTATGGAACTGGGGGACATGATTTATTAACTTCGAGTGCCATTAGATATCACTGTGGGACTTTCAATCCTATCTGGATAAATGGTTAGTTTTTCTTGTGTGACTTTTTCCCTTTTCGCTTTACAATAATGTTTCTGGATATCTATCAAACACCTCTTAAAGAAACTGCTGGTTGAAAAGTTTACATATATGAATGTAATTTTTATGAAACATTATGCAGGCAATATACCTCCGGTAGAAGGCGGTGTGGTGGATCGGACAGCATGTATTGTTACTGATACGAACTGTGGAATAACCATTTCCATTAAGATTCGTAACTGTGGAACACATCGTGTTTATCAACTTCGACCTACTGTTGTTTTCAGTGCATACTGTATTTATGGTACGTGGATGTGAAATAAAAAAAAAATATAGAGAATAGTACATACTGAAATCCATATCATATGTCATATCAGCCCGAGTGGCCCCATATCAGCTCGAGAGCCGAAGGCCCAGGGCTGATATGACATATGATATGGATTTTTTATGTAGTGTTCTATTTATCATATATTTAAAATACTTAATATGCGAGTTCACATAAAGTCGTGAATCTTTCGTGCATGTTGATGACCTTTTTCTTTAAAATTTAATAGAGCCAATTTTAGGTTATTGAAAAAATTAAGACCACAAATGTTATTAAAGAATTATTTTACATGTATATTTAAATAAAATCAAGTAATTTAACTTTTAAACTTTATACAAACGTTACTTCCGGTTTGATATGGATTTTTGCACGCCGGTCCGATACGTTATATGGATTTTCGGACCGGTACTTGATATGGGGTATTGTGACGTCACCCGTATCGCACAGTGCACAATCGGTGTATTTACTACTGAGTATATGATAAATATTGTTATATTTCTTGAAAAAGACAACTGATCAGAAAGTGGCATTTTGTAACTTGTTTGGCTACTAAAATTTCCTGCGATCTGTACTTAATTGTATTCTCCCTCTCAAATATAATTCTTGTTTTAAAAGTCAACATGAAAGTATTAAGATGGCTTCCTTTCTTCCAGATTACAATGTCCCCACATCGACAAAACCGATTACAACAAGTCAAATGAGTTCACAACAGACTACAGGAACTACACATGGCAACACAACACAGATGCCAACATCAACTACAATGCAGCAAACAACAACAAATCAGTCTACCACTACGGGGTCACCTATCCTAACTTCATCATACTCTTCCATGAAACCAACAAGTACAAACTGGACAGAATCTACTAACAGGCCTTCATCAACACCAACAGCTCTTACAACACCTGAAACCATGGATCCATGTATCTATTATACAAACTTAACAGATATCGAAAAGAGATTTCATACCAATCGAATTCAAGCAAATTCAACTTCCAGTCTCTCTGATCATTTGCTTGTCTATGGGTGGTATGGAACTGGGGGACATGATTTATTAACTTCGAGTGCCATTAGATATCACTGTGGGACTTTCAATCCTATCTGGATAAATGGTTAGTTTTTCTTGTGTGACTTTTTCCCTTTTCGCTTTACAATAATGTTTCTGGATATCTATCAAACACCTCTTAAAGAAACTGCTGGTTGAAATGTTTACATATATGAATGTATTTTTTATGAAACATTATGCAGGCAATATACCTCCGGTAGAAGGCGGTGTGGTGGATCGGACAGCATGTATTGTTACTGATACGAACTGTGGAATAACCATTTCCATTAAGATTCGTAACTGTGGAACACATCGTGTTTATCAACTTCGACCTACTGTTGTTTTCAGTGCATACTGTATTTATGGTACGTGGATGTGAAATAAAAAAAAAATAGAGAATAGTACATACTGAAATCCATATCATATGTCATATCAGCCCGAGTGGCCCCATATCAGCTCGAGAGCCGAAGGCCCAGGGCTGATATGACATATGATATGGATTTTTTATGTAGTGTTCTATTTATCATATATTTAAAATACTTAATATGCGAGTTCACATAAAGTCGTGAATCTTTCGTGCATGTTGATGACCTTTTTCTTTAAAATTTAATAGAGCCAATTTTAGGTTATTGAAAAAATTAAGACCACAAATGTTATTAAAGAATTATTTTACATGTATATTTAAATAAAATCAAGTAATTTAACTTTTAAACTTTATACAAACGTTACTTCCGGTTTGATATGGATTTTTGCACGCCGGTCCGATACGTTATATGGATTTTCGGACCGGTCCTTGATATGGGGTATTGTGACGTCACCCGTATCGCACAGTGCACAATCGGTGTATTTACTACTAAGTATATGATAAATATTGTTATATTTCTTGAAAAAGACAACTGATCAGAAAGTGGCATTTTGTAACTTGTTTGGCTACTAAAATTTCCTGCGATCTGTACTTAATTGTATTCTCCCTCTTAAATATAATTCTTGTTTTAAAAGTCAACATGAAAGTATTAAGATGGCTTCCTTTCTTCCAGATTACAATGTCCCCACATCGACAAAACCGATTACAACAAGTCAAATGAGTTCACAACAGACTACAGGAACTACACATGGCAACACAACACAGATGCCAACATCAACTACAATGCAGCAAACAACAACAAATCAGTCTACCACTACGGGGTCACCTATCCTAACTTCATCATACTCTTCCATGAAACCAACAAGTACAAACTGGACAGAATCTACTAACAGGTCTTCATCAACACCAACAGCTCTTACAACACCTGAAACCATGGATCCATGTATCTATTATACAAACTTAACAGATATCGAAAAGAGATTTCATACCAATCGAATTCAAGCAAATTCAACTTCCAGTCTCTCTGATCATTTGCTTGTCTATGGGTGGTATGGAACTGGGGGACATGATTTATTAACTTCGAGTGCCATTAGATATCACTGTGGGACTTTCAATCCTATCTGGATAAATGGTTAGTTTTTCTTGTGTGACTTTTTCCCTTTTCGCTTTACAATAATGTTTCTGGATATCTATCAAACACCTCTTAAAGAAACTGCTGGTTGAAAAGTTTACATATATGAATGTAATTTTTATGAAACATTATGCAGGCAATATACCTCCGGTAGAAGGCGGTGTGGTGGATCGGACAGCATGTATTGTTACTGATACGAACTGTGGAATAACCATTTCCATTAAGATTCGTAACTGTGGAACACATCGTGTTTATCAACTTCGACCTACTGTTGTTTTCAGTGCATACTGTATTTATGGTACGTGGATGTGAAATAAAAAAAAAATATAGAGAATAGTACATACTGAAATCCATATCATATGTCATATCAGCCCGAGTGGCCCCATATCAGCTCGAGAGCCGAAGGCCCAGGGCTGATATGACATATGATATGGATTTTTTATGTAGTGTTCTATTTATCATATATTTAAAATACTTAATATGCGAGTTCACATAAAGTCGTGAATCTTTCGTGCATGTTGATGACCTTTTTCTTTAAAATTTAATAGAGCCAATTTTAGGTTATTGAAAAAATTAAGACCACAAATGTTATTAAAGAATTATTTTACATGTATATTTAAATAAAATCAAGTAATTTAACTTTTAAACTTTATACAAACGTTACTTCCGGTTTGATATGGATTTTTGCACGCCGGTCCGATACGTTATATGGATTTTCGGACCGGTCCTTGATATGGGGTATTGTGACGTCACCCGTATCGCACAGTGCACAATCGGTGTATTTACTACTAAGTATATGATAAATATTGTTATATTTCTTGAAAAAGATAACTGATCAGAAAGTGGCATTTTGTAACTTGTTTGGCTACTAAAATTTCCTGCGATCTGTACTTAATTGTATTCTCCCTCTTAAATATAATTCTTGTTTTAAAAGTCAACATGAAAGTATTAAGATGGCTTCCTTTCTTCCAGATTACAATGTCCCCACATCGACAAAACCGATTACAACAAGTCAAATGAGTTCACAACAGACTACAGGAACTACACATGGCAACACAACACAGATGCCAACATCAACTACAATGCAGCAAACAACAACAAATCAGTCTACCACTACGGGGTCACCTATCCTAACTTCATCATACTCTTCCATGAAACCAACAAGTACAAACTGGACAGAATCTACTAACAGGCCTTCATCAACACCAACAGCTCTTACAACACCTGAAACCATGGATCCATGTATCTATTATACAAACTTAACAGATATCGAAAAGAGATTTCATACCAATCGAATTCAAGCAAATTCAACTTCCAGTCTCTCTGATCATTTGCTTGTCTATGGGTGGTATGGAACTGGGGGACATGATTTATTAACTTCGAGTGCCATTAGATATCACTGTGGGACTTTCAATCCTATCTGGATAAATGGTTAGTTTTTCTTGTGTGACTTTTTCCCTTTTCGCTTTACAATAATGTTTCTGGATATCTATCAAACACCTCTTAAAGAAACTGCTGGTTGAAAAGTTTACATATATGAATGTAATTTTTATGAAACATTATGCAGGCAATATACCTCCGGTAGAAGGCGGTGTGGTGGATCGGACAGCATGTATTGTTACTGATACGAACTGTGGAATAACCATTTCCATTAAGATTCGTAACTGTGGAACACATCGTGTTTATCAACTTCGACCTACTGTCGTTTTCAGTGCATACTGTATTTATGGTACGTGGATGTGAAATAAAAAAAAAATATAGAGAATAGTACATACTGAAATCCATATCATATGTCATATCAGCCCGAGTGGCCCCATATCAGCTCGAGAGCCGAAGGCCCAGGGCTGATATGACATATGATATGGATTTTTTATGTAGTGTTCTATTTATCATATATTTAAAATACTTAATATGCGAGTTCACATAAAGTCGTGAATCTTTCGTGCATGTTGATGACCTTTTTCTTTAAAATTTAATAGAGCCAATTTTAGGTTATTGAAAAAATTAAGACCACAAATGTTATTAAAGAATTATTTTACATGTATATTTAAATAAAATCAAGTAATTTAACTTTTAAACTTTATACAAACGTTACTTCCGGTTTGATATGGATTTTTGCACGCCGGTCCGATACGTTATATGGATTTTCGGACCGGTACTTGATATGGGGTATTGTGACGTCACCCGTATCGCACAGTGCACAATCGGTGTATTTACTACTAAGTATATGATAAATATTGTTATATTTCTTGAAAAAGACAACTGATCAGAAAGTGGCATTTTGTAACTTGTTTGGCTACTAAAATTTCCTGCGATCTGTACTTAATTGTATTCTCCCTCTCAAATATAATTCTTGTTTTAAAAGTCAACATGAAAGTATTAAGATGGCTTCCTTTCTTCCAGATTACAATGTCCCCACATCGACAAAACCGATTACAACAAGTCAAATGAGTTCACAACAGACTACAGGAACTACACATGGCAACACAACACAGATGCCAACATCAACTACAATGCAGCAAACAACAACAAATCAGTCTACCACTACGGGGTCACCTATCCTAACTTCATCATACTCTTCCATGAAACCAACAAGTACAAACTGGACAGAATCTACTAACAGGCCTTCATCAACACCAACAGCTCTTACAACACCTGAAACCATGGATCCATGTATCTATTATACAAACTTAACAGATATCGAAAAGAGATTTCATACCAATCGAATTCAAGCAAATTCAACTTCCAGTCTCTCTGATCATTTGCTTGTCTATGGGTGGTATGGAACTGGGGGACATGATTTATTAACTTCGAGTGCCATTAGATATCACTGTGGGACTTTCAATCCTATCTGGATAAATGGTTAGTTTTTCTTGTGTGACTTTTTCCCTTTTCGCTTTACAATAATGTTTCTGGATATCTATCAAACACCTCTTAAAGAAACTGCTGGTTGAAATGTTTACATATATGAATGTATTTTTTATGAAACATTATGCAGGCAATATACCTCCGGTAGAAGGCGGTGTGGTGGATCGGACAGCATGTATTGTTACTGATACGAACTGTGGAATAACCATTTCCATTAAGATTCGTAACTGTGGAACACATCGTGTTTATCAACTTCGACCTACTGTTGTTTTCAGTGCATACTGTATTTATGGTACGTGGATGTGAAATAAAAAAAAAATAGAGAATAGTACATACTGAAATCCATATCATATGTCATATCAGCCCGAGTGGCCCCATATCAGCTCGAGAGCCGAAGGCCCAGGGCTGATATGACATATGATATGGATTTTTTATGTAGTGTTCTATTTATCATATATTTAAAATACTTAATATGCGAGTTCACATAAAGTCGTGAATCTTTCGTGCATGTTGATGACCTTTTTCTTTAAAATTTAATAGAGCCAATTTTAGGTTATTGAAAAAATTAAGACCACAAATGTTATTAAAGAATTATTTTACATGTATATTTAAATAAAATCAAGTAATTTAACTTTTAAACTTTATACAAACGTTACTTCCGGTTTGATATGGATTTTTGCACGCCGGTCCGATACGTTATATGGATTTTCGGACCGGTACTTGATATGGGGTATTGTGACGTCACCCGTATCGCACAGTGCACAATCGGTGTATTTACTACTAAGTATATGATAAATATTGTTATATTTCTTGAAAAAGACAACTGATCAGAAAGTGGCATTTTGTAACTTGTTTGGCTACTAAAATTTCCTGCGATCTGTACTTAATTGTATTCTCCCTCTCAAATATAATTCTTGTTTTAAAAGTCAACATGAAAGTATTAAGATGGCTTCCTTTCTTCCAGATTACAATGTCCCCACATCGACAAAACCGATTACAACAAGTCAAATGAGTTCACAACAGACTACAGGAACTACACATGGCAACACAACACAGATGCCAACATCAACTACAATGCAGCAAACAACAACAAATCAGTCTACCACTACGGGGTCACCTATCCTAACTTCATCATACTCTTCCATGAAACCAACAAGTACAAACTGGACAGAATCTACTAACAGGCCTTCATCAACACCAACAGCTCTTACAACACCTGAAACCATGGATCCATGTATCTATTATACAAACTTAACAGATATCGAAAAGAGATTTCATACCAATCGAATTCAAGCAAATTCAACTTCCAGTCTCTCTGACCATTTGCTTGTCTATGGATGGTATGGAACTGGGGGACATGATTTATTAACTTCGAGTGCCATGAGATATCACTGTGGGACTTTCAACCCTATCTGGATAAATGGTTAGTTTTTCTTGTGTGACTTTTTCCCTTTTCGCTTTACAATAATGTTTCTGGATATCTATCAAACATCTCTTAAAGAAACTGCTGGTTGAAATGTTTACATATATGAATGTAATTTTTATGAAACATTATGCAGGCAATATACCTCCGGTAGAAGGCGGTGTGGTGGATCGGACAGCATGTATTGTTACTGATACGAACTGTGGAATAACCATTTCCATTAAGATTCGTAACTGTGGAACACACCGTGTTTATCAACTTCAACCTACTGTTGTTTTCAGTGCATACTGTATTTATGGTACGTGGATGTGAAATAAAAAAAAATAGAGAATAGTACATACTGAAATCCATATCATATGTCATATCAGCCCGAGTGGCCCCATATCAGCTCGAGAGCCGAAGGCCCAGGGCTGATATGACAATGATATGGATTTTTTATGTAGTGTTCTATTTATCATATATTTAAGATACTTAATATGCGAATTCACATAAAGTCGTTGAAGAATCTTTCGTGCATGTTGATGACCTTTTTCTTTAAAATTTAATAGAGCCAATTTTAGGTTATTGAAAAAATTAAGACCACAAATGTTATTAAAGAATTATTTTACATGTATATTTAAATAAAATCAAGTAATTTAACTTTTAAACTTTATACAAACGTTACTTCCGGTTTGATATGGATTTTTGCACGCCGGTCCGATACGTTATATGGATTTTCGGACCGGTCCTTGATATGGGGTATTGTGACGTCACCCGTATCGCACAGTGCACAATCGGTGTATTTACTACTAAGTATATGATAAATATTGTTATATTTCTTGAAAAAGATAACTGATCAGAAAGTGGCATTTTGTAACTTGTTTGGCTACTAAAATTTCCTGCGATCTGTACTTAATTGTGTTCTCCCTCTTAAATATAATTCTTGTTTTAAAAGTCAACATGAAAGTATTAAGATGGCTTCCTTTCTTCCAGATTACAATGTCCCCACATCGACAAAACCGATTACAACAAGTCAAATGAGTTCACAACAGACTACAGGAACTACACATGGCAACACAACACAGATGCCAACATCAACTACAATGCAGCAAACAACAACAAATCAGTCTACCACTACGGGGTCACCTATCCTAACTTCATCATACTCTTCCATGAAACCAACAAGTACAAACTGGACAGAATCTACTAACAGGCCTTCATCAACACCAACAGCTCTTACAACACCTGAAACCATGGATCCATGTATCTATTATACAAACTTAACAGATATCGAAAAGAGATTTCATACCAATCGAATTCAAGCAAATTCAACTTCCAGTCTCTCTGACCATTTGCTTGTCTATGGATGGTATGGAACTGGGGGACATGATTTATTAACTTCGAGTGCCATGAGATATCACTGTGGGACTTTCAACCCTATCTGGATAAATGGTTAGTTTTTCTTGTGTGACTTTTTCCCTTTTCGCTTTACAATAATGTTTCTGGATATCTATCAAACATCTCTTAAAGAAACTGCTGGTTGAAATGTTTACATATATGAATGTAGTTTTTATTGAACATTATGCAGGCAATATACCTCCTGTAGAAGGCGGTGTGGTGGATCGGACAGCATGTATTGTTACTGATACGAACTGTGGAATAACCATTTCCATTAAGATTCGTAACTGTGGAACACACCGTGTTTATCAACTTCAACCTACTGTTGTTTTCAGTGCATACTGTATTCATGGTACTGGAAGTTAAAAAAATGAATATGTATATAATTTTGATTTTCAAAAATAAATGTTCAGAAAGAGGCATTATGTAATTTGTTTGGCATTCTAGGATTTCTGTGTTATGTATCTAAGTGTGGTCCTCCTTTGCGAGAAAGAACATGAAAATATTGAACTGTCTTTCTTTCTTCCAGATTACGATGTCCCTACAACCTTAGAGCCCATGACAACGATTCAAACGAGCTCAACTTCTCAGCAGAGTAAGTTATAAGCTGATTGGAGTTTTTTTTTTAATTATAGAAAATACCTATTCTTTTCGGAAAGCACAAATTAGAAACGTTGTCATAAAATCTTGATAAGTTTATTGATTCTTGGAATCAAAACATACATGTTTAGATCAATGGAAATTAATACGTGTATGTAAGTCACAAAAATTCTTTTAATTAAGTGATAAATGGCTGCTACATAGTAATTACTTGAATAACTTTTTAAGCGATAAGTACACTTGGTGCCTGTTATTGTTTTGACAGCACCCTCACCAAGTCCGACACTCTCTAGAGCAGAAGTAGAAGTGCATCTTGTTCCAGAAGGTATAAGCCAAGTATTCCAAGCACGATGCACATTTAATGCGAGTAATGCAAGAGGCTTACGTTTTAAAATCACTTGGTACTTTGACGACGTGTTCGATTCATCTTACTCGGCAACTCTAGAAAATATTTACAGTACCTACATTTATCTTCAAAGAGATAATTTTAAAACTCTTGGAAGAAATGTAAGTAAAACAAAACAAATTCATTTCATAGAAAACGCAAGAGTGATGCAAGTCGTAGTATTTTTGTTTTAGTTTCTTATTTCATGCATATTTGTTAAATTGTCTTTTATTTTTAGATATCATGTGCTGTGGATATGCTCAGGAACGATGGGACAACTATTGAATCAAGAAAAAGCCATGAACAGTTTTTAGGAATCAAGGTAATTCTTCAGCACATCTTTTCAGTTAGGGCTTAAGTAAGTAATGTATTTTATCAATGTAGTTTAAACAGAATGAATCTCAGTCTGGTTTTCAAAATGATTGACTTGGTGAAAATTAACGCTCTTCAATTGCTAATATATGTATTCATTGACTAAATATTTGGAAACATCATATCTTTGTTTTTTGCAATAAAGAAATTTAACATTATTCGACTATATGGATATATATGAATTGATGTTAGATCAGGTGCCATGAAGGAGTAAGCATCCCCTACGGACTAGACACACCTGCCGTGTGCTCCTTGTCATGATCGAGTGAATAGAAATTTCCTAATCAGTTCAGAGTCAAATTAATGGTCTACAATTTGTATGAAAGACGTCAGTCATCATTCGACCCAACGAAAGATTGTATTTGCAAACAAGGCATTGAATCGATCGTAGAATTTGCGAAATGTTGACTTTAAAGAAATTGTTGATATCCTTGTATCAACTTATTTGTCAATAGCTATCCTCATTTTAAAATTTGTTCGTTCGTAGAACATGCTCTTGCGTATCGTATCAACTGGGAGACATAAACTCCAGGTGATAATAGTATATTGCTACATAAATAAGGTTGACAATAGAAAAGTTGAAGTTATCACGTTCATCATAAAGTCTTGTCAGTTTGCAATCAATATTTTTTTCTATATTTTGCGAACATTTTATTGTAGCTAAATTGTATATGTTAATATTTAGATTCTTACACCAGTTGTTACATTCAAACGTGGTGAAGAGGGGAAAATTCAACTTCAGCTAACTGTACCAATTGGTTGCCTTCAGTTGGTTAGTCAATGTGACGTCATCCTCGCCATGATGGACCAATCAGAAGACCAATGCACAGGTTCAAGCATATTTGAGAATCAAATATAAATGAAAACATCATAAAAACTTGTTATTAAAATTGTTTTGTTTTTTTGTATTAATTAAATATTCCTCATTACTTTAATTGTGCCATTAGAAATCAAACGTGAGAAATAGCCATCACTATCCTATTCATTTTATACTAGCTGAAATTACTGTCACATTAAAGGGTGGGTATTTTAAATCCTCTAATGAAAGCAATGATAAATGTACATTAATGATGGAATTATAAAAAGTTTCACTGTTAAAATTTTGGAACCCAGGAGCCGCTGTTTCCGGACAGAGAGATTGTGGAATTTCTTTAAAAAGCAGAGAATGGAACAAGATTTTCGAGATTCCAGTCGGGGCTATTGAAGAAGAGGGACATGAGTATTCAGCTACTTATGAAGTGGTTCTTAGGACTGACGCCCACTTCCACCAGCCAATATGGGGGCTTTATGAGCTTCCACCAGTGAAGGTGATATCAGTACAAGTTTTGGTTAAAAGTATCATCTTTTCACCAGTGGGGAATTCTGCTTGTCGTCATTGTAATTTAATATATACACATTTGAGTGAAATAAAAAAAAATGACCAAATACAAACACATAATTATAATTGCTAAAAAAACAGGCTATATGAATAAAATACTATATCTCAGTATATATCTGTTGAAACTGGCTTTATCTCTTTGAAATCTCAAGACATAAAAAAATGCTTTAAAATGATGTTAAAAATCTCGGGAGTGCAACACATTTTTTGACATGAAAATTTCATATTTTTGAAGATGTGTTTAAAAAATGATAATTATTTATATTAGAAAATAAAGATGTTTACTGGTTAAATTCAATATATATATATTGCGCTTTAAATTTAGACTGCATACGAAGTAACTTCTGCTTGACCAAGTTATGGTAAGGGTTGTTGCTGAAAAATGTAATGTTATACCATGTCAGGAGTGCAACAGAAAAAATGTAATGTTGCCAAAAAACATTCATTAGTGTCAAGTATCTGTGTATACCCCTTTAATGTCAGGAGTGCAACATCTAACGTTTTGCTCCCCAGCTTGGAAGAACTTTTATCAGTATATAATTCTTACTTTCTTTTTTAGAAATAGACACAAGGAACACTTTTACCAAATAAATCTACCATTTACAGGATCTCTGTGTTTTAGATCCATTTTAAATGGTTAGGAGTTTAACAATTTTTTTAATCCAAGTTCAATGCAGAAATGACCTGTTCATACTAATAAGTATTATTTGATCAATAAACATCTATTTGAATAATTAAATACTAAATTAATGACAGTTTTATTATTGAAATATGTCCTTTTTTTCGATCCATTTGTGGGTTTTTTTTCTTCTCATTTTTAAAGAAATTTAAAAACAAAGCACATAGAGAAATTGTAATAAAATTCAGATAATTTCACCACGACTTCTACTGAAACAATGAAACTTTTTCTGATGTAATTTATGGTTCACAATTCTACCTTAAAGCCTCATAAAAAATGCTTGAATTATCAATAATCAAATTTATATAAATATAAACAAAAATTAATGAGTAGACTTTTTCTAGTTGAATTCAATTGCTAACAGTGTTTGTCTCATATTGTAAAATGTTCTCTAAGATATAATCTTTTTCTTCTTAGTATATTTAAACTATTTTACCACATTACTAGGGAATGATTTCTACCCGTAATAAAAATGATGAGTAATCAAGTAAATACAAAGAATTACGGATATAATTAGCCAACCTGGTAATTCGTTATAGCGGTGTTTTATTATAATATAGTATAAATTCACACATGCTATTTGAGATATATTTATGATAATTTGTGCATTTTGTTTGAATCAGTATGTGCACAAGAAATATATACTTATTTTATTGAAATGTTGATATACAAAAATAATTGTTTACGTCTTTGGGGTTTTTATGGGGATATATGTACATTATGGAACATGACAATAATTCATCAATCAATAGGCTAATTACCATGTGCTTCATGCATGTACAACAAAAAGTAGACAGTTGTTTCTCAATTAAGTGTAAATATAGGAAACATTCTTTCATTTACAGTATAGTTCTGAGTTGATAACGGGTTTCTCCGTTTAGCTGAACATGACAAAGGGCACACTGCGTGTGTGAACGGTCGACAGAGGGTGCTTACTCCTGCTTACTGGCACCTGATCCCACCCCTAATGTTTTCAGAGGTCCGCGTTTGCTCCACTCACAATTTTTATTATTTCACTGGACTATTGAGCATGGTCATTGATCGTTACCTTCATAATTCATTACTTTCAAAACAAAATTACTGGAAAAATAAGAGACATTAAGTATCTTTTTGCTCTCTTCTTTGAATAGGTCTATGAACAATGTAATTCTTCATAATCAAGCAAAATTCAAAATGATAATTGATTATAGGTATTAAAAAACTAAAGTTACAACCATATTTTATATCATCATGAATTTTAAAAGATATTGTGCCTCAGAAAACGTGAGCAAGCCAAATCCATAAGTTAGAAACTCATTTCCGGTCTATGACAAAATAGTAGAATTTTATAAAAGTTCGTCACAAGATAACATTAAAAATCATCATGTGACTCTGTTTTACTGCAAATTAAAAATCAAAAGTATTATTCCTTCATTGGTCATTTTTATTTATAATCACGGAGAGTCAAAATCATTAACCGAGCTTCTATTCATTAATTCAGATAAGAAGCTAAATTTTCTTCCAACCCTGTCTTGTCCATTCTTTTTCATGTAATGCTATAGTATGTGTCTTCCTTACATCACAGATTGTCATAGAAGAGGGTTCCGATAGAGAATGGTCCAAGAAATACTGCAGAGCTGTCAACGACCCTCACCTTTTAACATTTGATCAAAGGTTAGTCTTGAGTTCCCTTCATATTTTTCATAACTAGTATATGATGTATACTTACAATTGCTGCGGTTTTATTATGAATAAAAATATCGTGAAATAATTTTACAGGCCATATGATGTACACTTGAAAGGAGATTTCATTATGTATGAGCATAAAACTGCCCCAATCCAGGTAAGGCTTATACAACTTACAGATGGTTTGGAACATCTACTTATTTTCTTTTTCAATTTATAACCCACACGTGAGATTCGACCTTAAGCCTTATTAACAATAGACGGTTTGGAAAGAAAAATCTATTATTTCATTGGCAGTTATTTATTGAAATATAAAGTGAGAATTTGATTACATGTATGGATTTATTTTTATAAGAAGTCGATTTCCCTTTCACAGGTGCAGGCCCGATTTAAGCCTTGCTACGGTAATTCAGGTCCCCACTGCACTTGTGGAGTGGCGGTACAGGCCGGAAGAGATGTTTTCGTGATAGACAGGTGTCAGTCCAAAAAGAGACTTCGGAGGATGATGTACACCTCTTGTATGGATCACACGCTAGAAGTCAGAAAGAGACATGATTACCTGTATAATGTAAGATATTGATAATAATACTAGATCCGATAATCTTTTCTTCTACATAATAAAAATTTCCTAACTGATAGTTGTTACACATGTCTTCAGCTGGTATTCGTGTGAATCTTCCACTGCTTTGAAAGTGTAAATTAAGAATTTTTGATTGATTATATGCATGTATATAAAACATTTCTCATAAATTTATTCATTTGTTTTTGGAAAAGATGTACACACCTTATGGAACAAGGATTCAGGTTAATCTTCGTGGTAAAACTTACATGAACCTCCAAATTTATCCCTCTATCCGCGATGTAGGACAAACCAGAGGATTATGTGGAACGCTTTCCAATGAATGTGCTGACGATTTTCTCCTCCGGAACGGCAATTATCTAAACGAAGTTGCCGCTAACAAGACGTGCGGAAACTTTGGATGGTCGGATTATAGATGGAATCCTGATGCATTTTCCAGATCCTGGATGTATGACTTATTTTCTATACTTTAAATTCATTCAGTTTAAAATGATAATTAATGAATCATCGATTGTATAAAACTATATTGATTTTAAGGAGGAAAAATATCTAAGTCAAAAACATTCTTATCATAATGTTTTTTTATTTGGATTAAACCCCATCAATTACAAAGAAAGAGAGAGAGAGAGAATTATCATAATTCTTATCCCTCAGTTCTATTCTCATTCAACTTAAGGGTTGCTGAGAATGAAAGCTTATTCGAAGATTATGACCCAAGTAACTCCGAGTGGCCACGTGAGAGATACCTGTGTTCCTGCAAGAAAAACGTGGTCAAAGTGAGAATTGATGGCAGAGGAACTCCTGACTGTTCCTCCAGTGTGGTTTCAAACTGTACTAGACGGCGGGAAAAAGTCGTTGCAGTTGGCGGGGGTTGTGAAGTCAAAAGATCCTCATCAAAGTATGGTTTCAAACCTTATGACGCCACAAGGGTACGGAGACAGGAACCAAATCAGAGAAGGATAAAAAGAGTTGATTCGGTAAGATAGTAATGGTAATAAACTTGTGGTTTCTTGATTAAATATGGAATAGATATATTTTCTTTTTACAATTTTTTACAGCAAATACAATTGACGACGATCGACAATGCCACTTCTTTTTGTCAAACACATTTGTCCAAATCTGAGGCCTTTAAACTGTGTGGGGATATACCTAACGTCAATAAAAAAGATGCAATCGAAACCTGTGCTTTGGACATTGTAGTATGTTAAGATAGCAAACATCTCTTTTCTTAAATATCATATCACTTTATAAATTACTAACCGTATTTTGAAATTAGATTAACATCAAAATCAGTCTTTATAGATTATGGTTTTATCAAAAAGAAATACTATCTTTTTTTTTTTAATTTGAAGGTCAACATTAACCATTCCAATGTAAAAGTCTATATGAATCATGCTATACAGACTTGCTTTTCTCATTGAACAGCTGACAAATGGTTCTTTAGAGTGGGCTGACAATCCAAAGGAAGCTATGATCGACCGCTGTGTTTCGGAATTGCGACTTAATGCGACCTTGAATACAGAAAGCAACAACACTCCATCAGTGGCGGAAACGATACGTAACATAGCATGTCCAAACGACTGTAGCGACGTAGGAACCTGTGTCAATGGTATTTACAAACTCTCTAAAATAAAAAAAAAAAATTTAAAGTGGAATTTTGTGTATTTTTTACAATATAGAAAAAATGTACAATACAAATGGACAATTAACATGCAAATGCAAAATTATACAATTCAATAAAATAAAATTATATAATACATATGTGCAATTATTCAATACGAATTTAAAAAATTAAACATACAAATTGTGACAAAAAATATACAATGCAAATGAACTTTTATATAATAAGTATGATAAAGTATACAACACAAATAGAAAGAATTGACAATTTAAGAATAACGTTAAAAAAATACACAATATAAATTGTACAATATACAATATGAATGGAAACTTATAGAAAACAAATGAAAATTATGCAATTCTAAAAGAAATTATACAACAAAAACTGACAATTATAGAAAACTAAGGAAAATGTCGAATATTGTAACGTTTAACACGCTATATCCATATGCATAAGACATAACTAAATGATGACTAGTGATTTCAAGTCAATTAGACCTGAGGCAACAAAAATAGCTATTACATATGTATCAATAATTGAATATAATAAATAAAAATGTTTGCTATATAACTATTTTATTTATCTTATTTTTTTATTTCTAAATATTAATATCATACTTATAAAATAATATAGAAATAATTAAATAAGATATACATGTAATATTTGTATAAATATTTCTTATAAATGTATTTTGTTATAATTTTGTGCATATGTATGAAAATTCTTTTTTCTTTTCAATTAATGCCAATACACTGGATACATATTCCCATCTTTTGATACAGCAGAGATCTTTTTGAAGATAATGTTTAATCAATATCTAGTTGCTTAATGTTTTTCTCCAGGAACATGCATTTGCCCGCCTCTTTACGGAGCATCTGACTGTTCCCTGAATGTGTCTGTGCCACCTGAGATCTATGGGATTGAAGGTGATGGATACTGTGACGTCAGTCAAATGTCATGTGACCAAATTCTCATAGCAGGCGATGATTTCACAGAAACTGGATCGTACAATTGCAGAATAGAGATAACACATGTAAGATTCCTTAGTTTAAGTTAAATAAATGTACACTAAGATATTTTTACTGCATGGCTTCTAAAGTTGTACGGTATTAATAAACCCATGGACCATCAAATAGCAAAGCACTTTCGGTCTAATCTGAAGCATAGCAAAAAAACTATCCATTGTACTGAGAATAAAATGAATTGCGATGAAAATTTATATGCAGTAAATAAAAATGTATGATGAAAGTTTGTGACCCATAAAATATACCTTTTTATGAACAGTTGCTGTTTGATGGCGCAATTTCATCCGCTGGATTGAAAACATTGAACGGTGATATGCAGACATTAATGTCGGTTTCATGTCCAGTTCCAGTAAGGGAAAAGTTTGCATCACGCAGTTTACCGAGAACAAGTCCAGTTTTTGTAAGGACGTTCAATGTTTCTCTCAGTAGTGAGGGAAATACCTATAGTGAATCCTTCCAGTTTTATCAATATAATTCCACTTATCAGGACTTTCAAATATTGGACGGAAAGCCAACGTTTTCTTTAAAGGTATCGAGTTAAATCGGCACAAGGAAAGGTGAAAGTAAAACTTTAATTGTAAAGAAAAGGGTTTTGTGCTTTGTCCGAAGAAGAAAGAAAAGACTGAAGACGATTTTACAATCTTCTTCTTACTGAATACTACCTATGGTTCTTTTTTTTACAGAGTGGATACTGCTTCATTGATGAAGAAGGAATTCCAGACGGGTGGCGCAAGACGACTGATATTTGTAATGCTTGCAATTCTTCTGTTAATATCTTAGAATGGACACCAGTAAATAGTCCAGGTAATTCGATTTTTAGTAGCTTTATGTCATATCTTTTTAAATTGTCTTAAAATAATAAAGTAGATCTATACAGTGTATTCAACCATCTTAGTAGTTTTCATCCTTGTTAAATAATTTCAAAGTGAAATAGAAAGACCCAAATTTGAACCTTAATCACAAGAAAAGGCCACGGCAGAGAAACTGAGAAGTATTGTGTTCCTCACTTGTGTGAACCAAAGCATTATCCTCTCACTGTCGAAATATAACGTATTAAGATTCACTACTGACCAAAGGCACAATTTTTCACCAAACTCATGATATATATGATCATATCTCTTATTGAATGTCTGCCCTTCCCTTTCTTTCAGAGTGTGAGGTTATTCGGGAACCTGTTGATAAGTCCTACTTTGACTCGACTGAATTGTACTGGATGTTGGGGTTAGTCATTGCGGTCATCTTGATCATAATTATGGTCGTCTGTCAACATCGATGCCGAAGAATTCGCTCCAAAAGGTAATTGAAATCACAAATAGAAAGGTTTTTATTACACTATTTGCTACAGAGACACATGCCATTGTATTACACTGTCACAGAAGTTTGAACGCTGGTTTATGATACTAATTGGTCCCCCTGTCTCTAGATCACATATAATACATATTGTGAGTTGCAGAAAATACATTGTGTGTTCATCTTTCTATGAGGCAAAAATTGTTGATGATGCTTTTTGTGAAATTCAAAATAGAAAAACGAATTTTGTGAGCTTAAACATTTTTACCATACATGCATGGTAAAAATGTTTTACCATTTTTTATCAAAAATTTTCAAAATAAAAAAAGAACAAAGAAAATATCAGGGTTGCTTGTGGACAGAAGCCCCCCCCCCCCTCCCCCCTGATGCCCATACGATGGAACTGTCAAATTTTTAACTTAAGATGTAATCTTCGAAATCTGCTCCGATTTTATGATTGCAACTATATGGGACGTATTCTAATTGGGGTGAGGGCTTAGACCGAGTAATATTTAAACTAGCCCTGTATGAGATAGTGTGACATTTCCTCATTAGTTTTTCGCAGTATATGTTTTGTGTTCATTTACGATTCCATGATTATTGATAGAAATAAAGTCCAACAAGAACAATATCACGTCTGTTTCTACAAGTCGATGACATGAACAAAGGTTAGGCAAAGGCACATAGCTTTCCCTTCACATGTATTTTTCACGTATGGTTTTTATCTATTCGATAGTAGAAACATCCGACAGTGATAAAAACCTTATAAAGCAATGGTTATCAAAAAATAAATGGATATAAAGAAAATTGGATTATAAATTTTCATTTAACTGAGTAGAATTGGAAATCCGAATAATGGTCTAGTTCTTTTTATGTGACCAATCTGTTTGCTCGCGAGATAATTTGCATAAACGGCTTAAAATTATCACGTACGCAAATTGTTAGATCATTATCATAAAGCAAAAAAAAAACAGACTGTTATTCTTTATATTTACATTTTTACCTGATCCTGATTCTACAAAAATCATATATTAATATCATTTTTTTTCAATAATTAGAAATCAAAATATAATTATAAGTTTGCAAGCGTCGCCCGTGTAAATTGCAGGAAGTCAGTTCTGTCAAATGATGAGTAAATGGCTTTATGCAGTAAGTAAGTTATTTCCTTATTTGTATTTATATCTCGGACAAAGACATTTGAAAATGTAAATATTTATTTATCTTTGTAGAAAATCTTCATATGACGTTTCTACTGAATCATCTTACAATGGTGCCGAGCTTCAAGACCTTTCTATATATTTCTAGTGTTATAAACTAGCCAAACACTCTAAATATTTGTGTTACGATTAATTAGATATGTTGTATGTAATACAATTTATAATAAACTAAGCACACACATCACTATTTAATATTATTTTACACTCATTTTGTATTCAATACAATATTGCAGTTTGAATAAATTTTGATTTGATTTTTTTTATGCTGATGATTTTTATATATTTATCCTTATCATCTACATTCACTTACATTTGTGCCTCCCCACACTTTGAAGTTTATTGTTTTCTACAGTTTATAAAATGCACAGGTGATAATTTTATAAAATTGCAGATGGACTGAAAAAAAAACTCGATAAACATGAAAAACATCGCCAAAAATTCATCACAAATTTTAGTATTGATCCTGCGGTGTGTAAAGGGGATATTTTATGACGGGTATAGCAGCTTAAGTAGTCTGTATAGTTTCGATAGAAAAATGATGGAGTATCATAGAAAACAATTGCAGGATGAACAAAATTGAGGAAATCCTACATAGAAAGGAAAAGAAGAATGAAGTGTTTAGCGGAATGGACAAAAGTTCAAAACTTAAGTACGCTTTTGAAATTTCTCACCACGTTAATTTATTTCGCCAAAGCTTTGACATGAAATAACTCGAATATTTAAGACAGCAATAATTTGCAATTAGTTTATCCATGATATCAATGTTTTGCTGCACATATCATGAAAACTAAACATTATTCTAAACAAATAATGTGTTGACCAAAAAACAGCGTAACATGACTTTTTTTTTTAAATGTTTGTACACCAAAAATAGTACTCGTTCTTATAATTCAGCAAAAGATGAGTCTCCGCCACTTCCGGAAAATAGTAAAGGTGACATTGCTTTATGGAAGTTTGTCGACACAATCTTTTTATTGAAATGAAATGATGTGTATCCTCCACTTTTCCACGACAGACTCGCAATGACAGCAAAAACTACCACTTTTTCTTAAAATCATGACGACACCTTTCACATAAAATTATGCATCGGTTGCCACAACTGAATTAAACGCGGGTTAAATTATCTTAGAAAGGTAAGTAAGAAGATTTAAAAGTGAATTTTTTTAACTACTTACTAAGGCCTTTCTCCCTACAGAAGAATGTCACCGACGGCACTCCTCCATCTGACTCGGTTCTGGCTGTTTTCTTGCTTCTCTCAAGCTGATTCCTTAAACTGGATCCTCGGCTCTCCTTCTGTTTCTTGATCGTTTCTCTTCGTCTTGCTCTGTAGGCTCCAAGTCAGTACCTGTCGGGTTATGGATGCAGGTTTCTGCAGGATGATGGATGGAGCGTGTCCCATCCAAACCCATTTCGTGCGAAAGATATGTATAATTTAGGTACTTGACCCGATCCTCCCACAGGTCTTCATTTCTGATCTTTTTAGGCAATCTGATGTTGAAAATGCATGTCGTACAGGTTTTCATGAGGGTGTGAATCTTGTGCATCGTCATTCTCCAGGTCTCTGAACGGCTAATCTGAAAGACCGAAATTTGAAGTGGTATTGAGGATACACATTTTGTTTAATATTTCTAAATTGCCACAGGTCAGTCTTCACCTGACAGACCGCTTTCCTATATTTGCTACTTATATCTCCTTATCAACGCCGCCGAATGCCTTTTCATATCCAATAAAATTGATTTAGAGAGGAAAGTTTCACTATGTTGACCATAAAACAAAGTGGCAAAATGATCAGCACATTACCTTTATCTATGATAGCTTGTCTGCTGGTCTCAGAACCTGGTATCAACTACCTCAATCTCTCATTCTTTTCTCCAAAATCACTCTTTCAAGGATCTTGCCTGGTATTGACAAGAGCATGACTACCAGGCAGTTGCTACATTCCACTGAGTCTCCTGCTTTAGTAGTTTTAAACAAGGATACCATGTTTACATTCACTTAGGACTTGTTCCTTATCCAACATTTTGCTGAAGTGGTTTAGCAATATGTCTGTGACTTTCTCCATTTTCTGCTGGTATTTCATCAAGCCCTGCTGCCTTCCCATTCTTCAGAGACATAATAGTCTTGATTTCTGTGTTCCGTCTCTGTTGGTTCAAAGTCTGCTGCTACTTCAGGGGCTGGAAGATTTAAAATTTCCTCGAAAATATTCTACCAGATTTTCCACTGTTCCTCTGTTGTTGAAAGTGTTTTCCACCATTATCCTTTACAGGTTGTAAGTCTGATGTATATTGCCTTACAGCTCACCATGAGAAGATCTATGATGTTTCATTGACCTGTCTGAATCTTCTTACTGTAGGGCTAGGTTGTCAATGTACATTGTATGTGGTCCCTCCTATTTCTCTTGATAAAGACCTTCACTTCGATCTCTATCAGACGTCTTTCATTCCTTCTGTTCGTTTGCTTTGGTAGGGTGGCAGTGGAGATTCACTCTATATGATGTGCTTTTCTTTGCCAGGTCTGAGACAGATCTTAATTCTTGGTTTGCTGCCACGATGATCCGTCATTTATATCCTCTGAATCTTTCTCGTTTATTTCTTATAGTCGCCCGCGTGGCGCAGTGGTTAGAGCGTTTGCTCAAGAGTCGCGGAGTAAGGAGTTGATCCTTACGTGGCGGTTCGAATCCCACTGTGGGACGTGGAGACCGGTCCTTCGGATGAGACCATATAAACCGAGGTCCCGTGTCGCAGTAGGTGTTGGCACAAAAATTTCCCTCACTGTTCAATGGCCGTAAGTGCCGAGTATAGGTCAAAATATGCAGCTCTCCATCGGCAAGTGGTGGCTTCTCCATGTGAGTGAAAAATTCTCGAGAGGGACGTTAAACAAGAAAGAAACAATCTTATGAAAACCAATTCCTTTTTCTGAAACCCTAGCAAGAATAATATTGTAAATTTAAGTTTACACTAGTGTCAAAGTTTTTACGTAAAGCAAATTATTTTACCACGAATTTATAATTGTTATATTTAATCTTTTTCAATTCCTACTTGCAATTATTTTTATATAAAAAAGTGAAAAGAAAATATTACCTGTTGTTTACATATTATTATTCCCCTACCGGTGAAACCGGAAAGGACTATAGGTTTCTTCCTCGTCTGTCTATCCTTCCAACTATCTTTCAGTCTGTCCCACTTAGTTTTCCGCATTTCTTTTCTTCTAAACGTTTGCGGATATTGAGTTAAAAAGAGTTAGAAGTTAAAAAGAATGCAATATTCAGTGCGAATACAATTAAAACGCTCATTTTCTTTTATTATAAGACCCTAATATGAATATACGTAGTATTAATATGTTCAGGGCTTCTTACCTGATGAATCGAAAATATTTTTTGTGGCTTTGCCAATGAAGGAAAAGATATCTGCTGTATAATTTGTATTGAACGTGAACAGTGACCAGTTAGAGAAACCACCTGAAACAGAAATTGAAATCATCTCTCGTCAGCGACTGGACCCTCTTTCGATCATTGATATCGTCCACTATTCACAAGAAGGATCGACTGCTCAGCAATATTGCAAACCAGAGATGAGCAGTCCATGCATCGCTTTTGCAGACCAAAGTCTTGGAGATGCTGGCTCCCCCAAATGCCACGCAAAGAACTGCCTACGCTGACTGGACGACAGAGATGATGGTAAATTGGCATCTGTCACTGTGGCTAAAGTTTCTAAGAGAATGTACCAACCTCTTGTACATTTTACCAGAAGGAAAGAGAAGAGCTCCTTCATCCTGTCGCCATTGAACAACACTACACTGCTCAACAACTACAATATTTAACAGCAGTACCAAGTCTTTCCAAGGATCTCCTCAATTCTGTCTCGACACGGAACCAGCTACGGAGTTAAAGTACAATTTCAAATACTCACGAAGTTTCTTTGCTGCAGTATCGTCTCGATTTGGACCCCTTATATTGTCCACATCATCTTTGCCGTGGCCCGCCATGAACCTAGGATAATTGGGTGGTTGGCATTTTCTTCGTAAATGTCAGCATATTTGAGTGTATGATAACGCAAAAGCACATTGTGATTACATTGTGATGAATGGCACAGCTCTTAACGATGATAGTGATTGTCTCAGGGTCGTGTTGCATCGAAGTGAAGAGAATCTGCAGCACTGAGTCAAGATTCCGAACGCATTTTCAAACTATGTGCCGACCCTCGAGAATATGTAATTAAAGATGGTTCTAAAGTCATTTGGCGCTGTGTGAAGCCCGAACGCATCGTCACACAGGATAAAGTACGGCGTTTGTGTGTCATTATTCGGAAGTGGGTCTGCTGCAGCAAAGCCGTTGCTGTTGTCCTCTAGACATAGGCCCATAGCATCCTACATCGATCCACTGAAACTTGTAATCGGCACCCACGAGACCCATTAGCACGATGGAGAAAATTTATTTGTAGTTGAAATACATACTACTGCTGTTCCGATGACGTCTACAGGCAATACTAGTATGCTTCACATCAAGCACGTCACATGCATTGGGCATGTTCCATCTACCACCAAATTCTGAAATTTAAGAAACTTGCAGGGTCTTCATTCCGCAGCTCAGGCATGAATAGATGATAGTGACCAAATCGTAACCTTGCGCCGACGTCCAACCACTGCCGTACCCAGATCACCTTACGCCTTGTGGCCCTCCTCTGTCTTTGTCGTCGAATAAGATTTATAACTTCTGAAACTTCCTGGACCTATTGGAGATGAATTAACCCAAGGAGTATCCCCGCTTTCTGGTGTACAATCACCATTGTTCAAGGGTGAAAAAGATGCCTCATGCATTTATACTGACAACATACTGGCAACACCGTGAAAGCCTGCTGCCGACGTTATTGTACGTGGTAGAAACACCATGGGAGCGCAATAGAAGTACCAAAGGTCAATTGTATCATTGATCTTCCCCTAAATGTAATATACGAATCGATAATGCAATATTTTACGCACTATCAATCACTTTATGTGAATTTAAAGACGATCTATATGAACTTAAACAAAAGAATTTGAAAATATAAAAAAGGTGCAATGGGTTAAATGAAGATTTCATTTTGAATTGCAGAAACCTTGAATGCTAATTTAATTCATTGAATGTCCCCTTCATTTAGAAATGAACAAGGAATGTTTTATTATTAAAGTAATTTCCGTGGCCGAAAACAAGAAAAACAATCACTTTAGTAAACATTTACATAATAAACAAAGACAGACAAACACATAATGACAATGTAACTGCGATGCTCCTAGAATGACGAGTGCACCCGCGGAATGCGGGTATGGAAAATTACACAACAGATTAAAATACCCCAAAACTACTACATTATTAATTAATACTACAGTCTTTGAGAGAATTTCACATCAAGTGTACGTCGGTCAATCGATGTAAGTGAGTTCTCAACTATGATTTTTTTTTCAATGAAATATGGCAAATTTGGTTACCTCCTATCATTTTTCTCATAATAATAATGATAAATGTCTCATGTTCAGGTTTGTTCAAATCATGCCCCCCCCCCTTTCCATAGTATACTATATATCGGCAAAATTATTGGGGGGACACGCCCCTCCCCGTGCCCTGATTCCTAAGGTCATGAGAATTTACGCACAAAATTTGAAGGAATTAAAACAATGGTTAATGAAATAGCGGTGAAATATTTTCTGTCGGCGAGACTTTTTTTTTCCTAGTCACGAGGACTTTTTTTTTTAATTTAGATGTCTCGAGTCCTAAAAGGTTTTATTTACGTAATATGTTGTTTGTTGTTTTTCTTTGTGTTTTTCTTTTTGTACTTTTTTTTTTTTACATATCAATAAGGTACATACATATTTATAAACCAAGACCCAAGTGCCTGTGCTTTCTTTTTTTTTTTTAAATAGAGAATGGGAATTTTTTGTTTTGAAATTGAGCGCGCACGGGAACTCCCCTCGTTCTATATTTAGCTGAAAGAACTTGTTCTGCAAGTTTATTTATAGATCGATCTAAGTAAAGACTATTCATGTAAACACAACACCGTGTCGGCACACCTGAAAACATGGGGTACAAAAGTCGTAAGTCATTGTGTTATTTAGCGTTATTTTACAATGATATCTTTATAAATCAGTTAATCTGTAAAGCAATTTTTATATAACAAATATAAATGTTTTTATTTCAAGTTCAGAAGAAAGTGTGTGTGGGGGGGTTTCTCTGAAGAATATTTGACTTTCATTATTTTCTTCTTTTTAATAGGAACATCCCCAAAGGAGGTGTTTTTTGGCATCGCCAATCTCTTATTCCTGGTTTGTATCCTACCCTAAATTATTCATTAATAGAAATTGAAACTATTTTGAAAACTGAGATTATGACGGTATAATCATGCAAACAAAACTACCGCTCATAATAGAATCTTTGATAGATTATTTCACAATCCTGCTATTCGAATAAAGCTACATGTATACCATTATTATGTGTTGACTTTTTGTACAGTTGATGGGTATGGCGGTGTTTGTGGTGGGTGTATACCTGAAAGTCTCTCGCTCAGTTTACACAGAACTACTGGACAGTCGAGAGTTTGAGACAGGCACCGCCCTGTGTGTGTCTGCAGGGATCATTGTGGTGGTTGTGTCCCTTATTGGATTTTGGGGGTTATGGATGAGGAGTCATTTTGTTCTGAGTTTGGTAAGGAGACTGTATAACAATATAATTTTCTTGAAAATTATAAATGTACATATCAATTGCTGCAATCTTTTTCCATCTTTTTTCCATTAATGGCATAAGTTGATAAATAAAAGTATGTGTTATCTGCAATGTGAATCTCTCTATTATCACAGAGTGAAAATATGCCTTAATTATTCAAATGAAATAAGTTTACTTAAACAATAAAATGCTTTGTTTCATTGTTATTTTGGGAATTATTGTTGCCACTGCCATAATACATAACACGTACATGTATAAGCAGGTTTTCTGCAATAGCTGCAATATTTAATTCCCCTACTAACAAATAAAATTGGCATTTTATTATTTATAAATAAAATATTTATTGTTTAAGTAGTTGAATAGTGGATTATTGATATGTACATTGTTTCATTGATTGAACAGCACATATTAAACTAGAAATCTACACAGGTGGCTTGAAAAACTGTTTTAAGCAGCATTTAAGAATTGAAGTATGACTGTAGTTTTTATAAGAAATAAAGGAGATAATATTCAGTGGATGTAAATATTAAAAGGTAACTGAATTGCAGAACTCTGTCATTCAGCCCCTCTTCCAGTTCTGTTAGAAAACATTCACTTGCAGACTGTATGGTGCAGTTTTATCCTGTGTAGTTAGAGCTGGTAGGCAAATTATGCACAAGATAACAAACTGGGCAGTGATTTGAAAAAAGGAAAATTTTTCAATGTCATATCTAAATTGTAAAAATTTGGGCTAAGAGTAGGTCCCTATAGTCCTCTCAGCTAGTGTTAGGGGTGGCTGCAGAACGCATGCATATACCATTTTGACCTTGATCTCTACAGACAGACATTCTGGGACTGGAGACACACAATGTGGTTAGTTTGTGTTCTCAGTGAGTCATTATACAGTTGACTAAACATTTCATGTTGACAATTAGGACTAAAAATTCATTTATGATGGATACATTGTATTTAGAATTACCGGTTAATCTACATTTTAATTCAAAATTAAAATTTGATTCTCAGTTTTATTGTTACAGTATTTCTTCTCAGTCTTGATCATCTTCTGCCTTGAAATAGCTGCTGGTATCATCGCATACGTCTACAGGAATAAGGTGAGGATTTGACTTTCAAATTTTTGTCATTTTGTAAAATGGGAATATTGCAGTGTTTAACATGCAACTGTTATCAAGATAGCTCTTCAAAGAAAGACTGATCGAAATTCGTTTTATCACTGATCATTAAACTTCAGACACCAAATATAACCATCATATTTTGATAAACCTACATGAGATTAAGAAAAAAGATTCTTAGAAACATAGCTATATACATGTACTAGTGTAGATGTACTTTTCTTCCATGTGGAATTAATTTACGCTACATTGTATGTATGAGGTCATAAATTTTCCCCCAGAAATTTGTCACAGCATACTTAGTTTGTTTGAAACATGAACGACAATCCAAGAAATCCACATAATTTTTTTACCCAAGGATTAAACCAAAATTGTGATTCAACTGAATTATGACCCCATGGAAAAGGTATGTTTACAGAACTTCTAGTATTTTAAAATAGCAATGTTTGATTCAATGTTCATTGTTATTTCCCCTCACCAGATAGAAGAGGTTATAGTTGACGACCTAAGACTAGGCTTAAAAGACACAAAGAGGAGAGTGGCTTGGGATACAGTGCAAGAAAAGGTAAAAAAAAAAGTTAAACCTGGTTATCTTAAACTCGATGGGATTGAGAAAAAACTTCTATATATCTAAGAATTTAAAATAATTAATTAAAGAAAATGTGGTGGGACTTCCAAATAACTTTGTATATATTAAAATGATTCATGCATGTTTACACTATAACAGTTTAAGAAGTGCAATGTAAAATTTAGAATATATCATCAAATTATCTGGTTAAATGCCCTACTATTGAACCCTATGTTTTACAGCAGAATACTTTCAGTTGTTCAAATTGAATCCTAAAAACTTTATTATCTCAGTTGTTAGTACATGTAATTTAATTAAGACACGTGTATCTCTTTACAGTATGAGTGTTGTGGGGTCCATAACTATACAGACTGGATGGGTGTTTATGATGTAAATGTTCCCACCTCTATTCCGGATTCCTGTTGTGGATATCCGGATTGTGGAGAGTCCGGATCAGCAGCTGCCTGGCGTATTGTAAGTTCCCTCCCCTTTTGAATAAGGGTTAAATCATTTTGGAGTGGGATTCCAATGGGGTGGTGCTTGGAACAGTAGAGTTCATCTAGTGTCATTTAAACAGAATTTTTTTGTTTTAAAAAAGTATATGAAACATTTATTTATTATCTAATGGAGAGATGTGGTTTTTTGATGTTGGATATTTTTATTTCATGGAATTAACTGCTAAAAAAGAGTAAAATTTCAATAAATAATTATTGGATGTACTAAACTTTCATGGATTAAATGTGTACATCTTATGATTGGTGTTGATTTAAATATTTATTTCAACTTTGAGCGATTTTACCCATAGACTTATCAGTATCACATCATACAGTTCCCGTAGCACACAAAATATGCAGATCTAGAGTCCCTCCAGTGTCCATTCTTGCTACTGGAGAATAACATATACAGCTTTTTATAAATGATCTAATTACATTTAATAGAGCTACATGTATGTTAATACTTATATATAAAGTTTACAAAGGAGGTCTGAAATTTAAATGACACTGTTTATTAAACAGGACTTAATTATGTGCAGATCAAGTTATGTTCTCTAAGTTTGAAATTATTTTTAAAATAATTTGAACCACATTGACATTTCCCGTGCTTTTTATTCTTTAAGTTACATTTATTTAAAGTCTAAACAAAAAAAAAAAAAAAATAAAGTGAATAAAAAGAAAATTGTACATAATTTTGAATTTTAAAAAATTCAGATCCACATAGTAGTGATTTGATTTAATCATCTTTTATCAATAGAGAAGTGATTGTAAACATTGTTATTGTATACTCATTAAGGGCTGTGTTGAGGATGCCAAAGAATGGTTAGAAGAGAATTATTTACTGCTGGGAGCAGTGTGTATTGTCATTGGAGCTATGCATGTAAGTATACAGATCATTGGAGCTATGCATGTAAGTATACAGAAAGTCCTTATACCGGTAAATGTGTACCAGCTATGGCACATTTACAACTGTTAAAATAGATGAGTGCATGGATTCAGTTGTACACTGATTTGTTGCTTTGACTGATAGTTGACATACACTTCCATCTAGATTATTTATCATTTAACTTTATTCTAAAAAGTGGATTTCAATCACTATATAACCTCAAAGGTATTTAATGACTGAAATCCACTTTTTTAGAACAAAGTTAAATTATAAATAATCTACACAGAAGTATAATTTTTAACTATCAGGCAAAGAAACATATCACTGTACATTCTTTAACATTTACTTGTCCTAGAAGAATAAGAAAAAAAAATCTGAATTCTTAAAAAAAACACTGTGCTTTATACTGTTAATTAACTGTTACATATATTGTATTTATTATAGGTATTGCTGCTGGTATTGACTGCTACTCTAATTTTCCTTCTGAGGAGAAATGGATGAATGTTACAAAATCAAGTTAGGAATTGTATAATTATTAAACAAACCAAAAACCAAAGTTAGAAAGTGAGATGTACATAATATATTGTCATATTGATTTTGCATCTCTTGGTTAATTGATATTGAGCCAGTATTTTGTTTAACTATAACCAGATAAATGAAAGAACTGGGCAATGAATGATAAACATGCATTTCAGTTTGTTTTACAATGGAAATGGGTTTTTTTTCCCGTCTTTTGGTTGAATGTAGTGCAACAAGAATCTCGTATTTATTCTGCGATTATTGTTTGTGAAAAAAATGTTACATTTATTTGTACACTTGTATGTGATGGATTTTTTTTTTAATACAAGGTTCTTAAAATTTGTTTGAATATTGTCTCATTGTCCCAGCTAATTTTCTGAATGGGAAATTTAACCATGCTAAAGGTGTATGAAGAGTACAGAATCTCCTGCAGTATTTTGAAAGCTCTCACATATCAGCTTATTTCCCTATATTTCTGCTCTGTTGATATCTTTTTATGCTCCCATATTCCCTTGCCATTAATAAAACTGCAAAAAATAAATATATATATTCAAAAATTTTCAATTTTGCTTTTGATTTTTTGTACTGTAAATCCAAATAAAATTGTCACAGTTGGAATCAACACTAAATTGGTTTACTCAATTTAAATTGTAGACTCCAACAAATGCCCACCTGTATTATAATATAGTTAAAAATATTTGTTATACTCAATAAATATAAAAATGAAAACGAGTTTTGCTTAATATGAAGATTTACAAGAAAACTTGTCAAGAACTTTTCCACCTTGACTTAAAGATCATGGGACCTAACTCTAAAAGTTTAAGTTATCAGTGCACATTATGTAACACAAGACCAAGAAACATACTGTGGCTGTCAGATGGATTCAATCGCCTGTGGCCAGATAGGTAAATTGGTAGAGCATGCGATTGGCGATTTAATGAGAAAAATACTATAGACCAGACCAGAATTAGAATCTTAGTCCCCTGAATCACTCGCTACTCAGGTGCTCTACCAATTGAGCTACCTGACCAGTGACTGGTGATTGCATTTGTCTGTCACAATACAAATTTTTGGTATTTTTGGTACTCGGTTGAAATGGTTCTTCCAAGCATTTTACATTGTAATACCATGATATACTCTCTATGTAAGTGCAAGAGAAAACAAGAATTATAACAGTATGGTTCTCGATTTATTCTTTTGATGTCTGACATACTATAGATAAAAACACAAAGGATTCTTGTTCCTGAAGCAGAAATGGCACTACATGTACACATGATCGAGATTTTCTGGCTTAATTAATATCATCTTTTGGTGTTAAATTAATGTTAATTCATAAAATATACACTGTACAAATTCTATACCATGACCCTACATCTAGATTCACGTATATTCACTAAATGTAACAAAAAATAAGTAAGTAATCATGGTAACATACATAATAAAATATTTTAAAATTATTTCAACATACATGTATAACAAGAACAAATGTCCTGTTCATTATTTTACATAAGTATGATAAATTCAACATTAATGTCTATTAGTGACTAATAAATTAGACAGAATGACTAGAATATAAATATTAAATATGAGGATTCTATATACTAATTAGCTTTTGTTTAAGTCTACAAGAAGTAAGTTACAAAAGAATCACACACAAACACATCTTCATTGGACAGTTCTAATGCTTGGAATAACACTCCTGAAATAAAACTTGTAAATCATGCAGCAGTACATATCAGATAAAAAAAAAAAAAACATGGAAGAAATCATCAAGCCATTTTAAATCAAAAGACACACAGTGGAATGTCATTTGCTTTGTAATGATTTGAATTTTCATTTACAAAACATCTCAACATTTTTGTCAAAGAGGTAAGATTTTAAGGCTAATATAAAACAAGTACTAATGTAAGGTTGATGGAATAAACTCAGCTCCGACAAAACATAATCATCAACATATATATACAAGAATATATTAGAAAAGGGCTTTAGAGCTGCATGTAAAACTTATAAGTATAAACCGGTTCATGTTTCTCAACACCAGACAAAAAAAAGACTGGTGATATATTCTATATAAAGGCACAAAAACAACCATTGTTGAATTATGGTAGAAAAAGCATGTTTGTTCATAAAGGGAAATGCAAATTAAAATGGAGAAAAAAAAGTGGATTTCATAGAGTCCATACTAAAAATGTACATCCATTTAAAAAATCATATATAGTACAAAAATATCACAGATGGAATAAATTTCAAGTGGGTAGGAGCATAAAAAGGAATATGCTTAGATAAAAATGTCATAAAAACGGTTTACCTTGTGGATGGAATTATGTGGACAAACAACTGTAAGAGATACTCTCTAAATAAATACAGTAAAACACGCTTATAATGAAGTGCCAGGGACGGACAATTTTGCTTTGTTATAAGAGTATTTCGTTATATATGTTAAGTTTCCAATATATTTTTAAATCACAGGGAATGAAAATCACACTGCTGTAAGCGTCCATTATAAGTGTGATCGCTATAAGCTTGTTTAACTAGTCCTACTTAGGCATACTACAAATTCCCAGGAGTAAAAAAAAAAAATATGAATTTCTGTTGTAGGACATAAATTTCTACCTGTTACATTCTTGTACGAAAAAAGAGAAAATATGCTTTTAAAAAACCTTGGTGTAAAATTTACAGCACTTCACATTTTGATTTTCCTGAGTATAATTCATACATGTATGTGTAAATTACTCCAACAGGTCACATGAATCATTTTTTTAGTATATCAATTACTGCTAGGATTTGAGTTGGTGTACTTTAGTAATTTTCTGGACAAAATGGTAGAACACGTTTAAACATTTTAAAACACTCAGCTTCAATGTAAAATTTACATAACAATTTGCGTAAGATGCGTATTAAATACAAGGGAAGTAACCACTGATTCTTTAATCAACAGGCAGTAACTCTCGGGATATAGCTCCATCTCCTTTGTCTTTGTCTAACCATTGTTTACAAGGGAAGGTTTTCTTCTCGTTAGTTCCCAGATTAATTATCTCAATCTTGTCCAAAAACCAGGCAGGACGGAAGTTCTTGTTGTCATGTTCGATTCTCACTTTCTCAATTTCACCTAGAAAAGGTGAAAATTGGTTTTTAAATTGAATTTTTAAAATATCATCTAAAAAACTAAATTGTAGATAGTTCAAAATTGTAGATAGTTCAATGAATAAAAATTAATCTGAACTTATAAATGAAATTCAAAACCAGCTATTTGTTAATTACCCAAGTCTAAGCATTCAATCTCAAATTTGTCAATCTGGTTGCGCTCAAACAGATCTCTCCAGCTTTGTTCGAGGGGACGTTTCCCAGAATCTCCATTAGCTCCGTATATTGTAATGTAGACGTTTGCATTTGTTCCTGCACCAAACACATCACCAGTGTACACTATTATCTGGTATTTGACTGAAGCAAGACCTATGCAGAAGAAACAATACAATCTGTTAATTTGTTGTGCATATGTCCAGAAATGCAGTACCTACATAGGTGAAAAAAAAAATATCATGCGAGTGCAACAGAAAGCACAAAAATGTGATAGATTTGTATCGTATCAAATTTATTGCCTGGTAAATGGCTTATACAGAACCTTTTTATGAAAATATTCCTTGTTTCATAACTTGATTCTCCTGCTGATTTTAGAAACACTGTTTAACAATCTCCAGCCAATCCACTTACTTCTGACAACTGACACTTGACTCTGTTCAATGTCTTTCAGTTCCAGCTCCTTGCCCATACTCCTCTTGAAAGGAGAGGAACCTATCTGGATCCAGTCCTTACAGGGGAACAGGTACTTGTCTCCGGTACTGGTATCAGTGATTGCCACCTGGTAACAGTACCACATTGCATCTTTCCCTTCCAGGTCTTGTAAAGGTTTGTCTTCTCGTTCGTACGCCCCAACTGTGACCTGCTGAATTTTACCAAGGTTCCTACAGCTGTGGCTGAAGGTGTTTGTGTCACCTCTGTTAAAATCATATATAAATATATAAGAATGAACATGGATGTTTCCTCCGTAAGAAGAAGTGTGTCAATCATAAACAATCACTGAGAAGTTTTTGGAATACTGTTATATACAAAAACGTAACATAAATATGTATATGTATATTCTCATTAAAGGTTAACTGACTGTTTTTATTTATGCTAATACAAATACTCTTCATTGAAATATTATAAGGAAAGCTACCCAGAAGCCAATGTCATCATATAAGGACAAACATAACTCGGACTGTAACAGAGAAACAACCACACCTTCTGAGTATTTTATCTCGTGCACTGTTCTTCATCTTCATTTTTGTCTCCCCTTTCTTGCCTTTGATGATCAGCCAGCCATTATGTACTGTGCTGGCTTTGTCCTTGTCAGCAGTTTTCACCTCAATTTCATAAACTACAACAATACATAGATAAATATTAATATAGCAGAGAATAAACCTAAGCTTGGGTGAGTTTCACAGACAATTTGCTTCCTTTGATAATCATTAACATTCCGGCTTATATACAATACTGGTGGACATACAGTGAAGTCTTTTACAATTCAGTGTAGAGTTTTACAAAGGATTTCAATTTTAAAGTCTTCTTCAAAAGATAAAATATGTTTTATTGTGATTGACAAGCCATTAAAATGACTATAATTAATAAATATAGATCCCTTCCAAAAGTTGAATTCATACCTTCCATTCTAACAAGCAAAAACTTAATCACAAAAGCTTACTCTATTATACAAACAAATTGAAATAAAAGTTCATGAAATTGAAGTTTATGTAATTTACTTGTTTCATCCTGTGACCCTGGGGTTAAAGGTCGTGTAGCACAGGTCAGTTCCCTGACTATCTGTTTGTCGTCTTCCTTTTTAGATAACCATCTTCCACAATGGAATGTGTACTTCTTCCGAGTAGACATGTCCTCTACTTCTATAAAGTCTAAATGCCAGGCCGCACCAAAACCTAGAGGATGAGACAAGTTGGTTCTGTAACACTGACTGTTAATTACATGCAAGTCTCCACAAAGAGATGCATTATGTCAAAAACACATTTATAATGTACTACTAGAGAATGATCTTCATTACTATATATTTTTTTTTACATTAAAACTAATACTGCATGTCATATATGATTTTTTTGAATTATACCAGCATATCAAGGTCAGGAGACTTCAAATTAGTAAACTGTGGAATATATACTTCATACATTAGATACCAAAACAAATGTTAATCTAACTAGAACAGCTGAATATAGGGAAAAATAAAAAAGTAACTCTTTTTTTCTTACAAAAATTAGAAACAAAAAATATTCAAAAAATCTAGCTCTATATGTCACACAATGATAAGCTCTACTATTTGAAAAAAATAATTGCTACTAATATTCATAGGATCTACATAATCAATTCATTATACTAATTTTTTACTAAAAGTCAAATACTAAATGGGCCCTTTGGATCTTTGCAATTTAATATCTGATGAAAAGTATATTTGATATAATTTTTTATGATAGAATTTCATCTATATAACTTCTCTACAAATTGTGTACTAGATGACTGCGCTGCCTACATAATACAGGTGAAAATAAAAAGCTATTATAGAAGTCCCAGCCTCCACAAAATGAATATAGTTACCCAGAGTTTCTTAACAGAGGGAAAAACAGAAGATAATTAGTAATTGAAAAAATTCTTGAAAAATTGATAGAATTAATAAAATTTGTAGACATACAGATAACATTTTCAAATAAATCCATGTAATGACTACAAATACCATACATTCATTGACTGATATTTAGTATAAGGACATAGTGTAAACCACATTTCTAATAGAATAGATAATGCAAGAGGAAAGAAAGTTTGCTTTCATTATAACTAAGAATATTGAATGATAGAAAGTTATTTTTCAATTCAGTTATGGACTGCATCACGTACCTTTATTGTCATGCCAAACACGACACTTGGACATCTCTCCTATACTAAGCATTTCATTAAATGTAAATACATCCAGCTGGTCATTCTCAAACGGACTCTTGTTAGTCTCTGACTTCTTCAAATGGAGTTCTCCTGTGTCACCATTTGATCCAAACAAAATGACGTAAACATTGGCATCTGTCCCAGCTCCAGGAACATTGGAAGTTTTCACAGAAATCTTATATGTTGTTCCTATAGGTAAAAATCATTATACAGTATATATATATTTGTGTACTAAAAACATTGTAAATTTTTAAAGAAAAATGAAAAAAAGAGAGGGAGTGAATTCAATGAATTTTATATTTTCCCCATTAAATACATGTACTTAATTACACTAATACACTACATTGTTGAACTCTATTCTTTGTTTAAAAGAATTTGCAACTACATGTTCAAGGGATATATGGCATCCAATCAAAATGTACTCTTGTTTCATTATTTCAGAGTAAATAAAGAGGAATTCCCAATCAATCATAGCACTGATTTCAGTGATAGGAATGATTTATGAAATCACAGCACTGATTCCAGTGAAATGACTTAAAGAATCACAGCATTTGCCTCATTTCATGGCAGGGATATCTGTGATATAAATAACTTATGGAATCTCTGTGATATGACTTACGGGAGATAACCTCTTTGCCTCGTTTCATGGCTGGGATATCTCTCCAGTATTTCTTGTCATCACTCTTCTTACCAAACCACTGATTACACTCAAATCTGTACTTCACCCCCGTCGCTGTATTGAACAAGTCAATCTAAAAAGAAAGTACACATAAACACATAAGATGTATCACCTGATGAGCATTATTTTTTCGTATTTTTACCCTGCAAATGGATTGAACTGTAAGGGGGATCAAACCCATCTTTGCCCAGTCTTCCTAGTGAAGATCAGTTATCAGTGTATGTAACACACCATCTATTAAAGAGATCAAGAACCATTGTACATGTATGTAAACATACCCTTTCTAAGTACCAGCTCTGTCGACTTCCGCTGGCTGATGTCTCCACACGGATTTTCTTCAGTGATCCAACATCTTCTAACTCAAGCTAGAAAGAGAAAATACAAACCACGTGTTAACAGTAACATCTGCCAGCAAATAACACACATGATGGTGAAACACTTGTCTGCATGACATTAGGCTGAATATCTTTGTTCTTTATTCAACCTTGTAGATAATCACAGGATTTCAACTTTACGCTGATATTAAATTTTTATTCCTAGGACAGAGAATGTCACCCTACCCTGAGGTTGTCTTCTCTTGCTCTTTCAAATCTGTCGGAGGCTTTCTCCAGTTCTACTGGAGTTGTGGTTCCTTTGTCACCAGAGGCTGACAGCATGATCTTCATGTCTGTTCCTGCATTCTCTACATCCCCCGTCACCACTGTACACTCATACGTAACCTCTGTTATATAAAAAAAGTTGCAGGATTCAGTCAAAATATAACATTTTCCCTCCAAACAAAATTTTTACCCTACTTCAACATTTACATGTATATCCTCCTAATTTTAACATTTATACTAATGACTGGTGCACTATCAACTCTGTAGAAAATATGAAGCATTAACAAGATTATATCATGCCAATTCATTTTTTATTGGTCACGATCAACACAAAATTGCCATACATTATTTGTTCCATTATTTCTCTGTATATAGGATAGTTTGTAATTAACTATGTTATTATCAATCATATGAAATACTCACTTGGTCTGTAAGATGTAATTGTGCTTAGCCCCTCGTCCAAAGTAAATGTCCTCTCTGTTTTTCCATCACTCCTGTCTCTTGCCAGCCATTGTCCACAACTGAACAAAAAGTTCTTTCCCTTGGTAGGCATGTCCACACTGACTTGCTTCACAAACCAACCACTGCCTGGGGAGGTGCCATCATGGCCAAGCTGTCAAAGGTTATAAAAGTACACATAAAACTTAAGATCTGCAGATGAAAAATAAAAATAACCTAAATAGGGTATAATAAATCCAGACATACAGCATGAATTAAATCTGTTATAGTTTCCTCAATATTTACTGTCAAGTAGTTCGGTATTATTTTTGTACACCTAAACTAGTCCTTTAATGTCACTTATAATGCATTTTTTTTTTAATATTCTTTATATCAGGTCAAATGTCTTCTCAAATCTTAGAATACTTTTGAACCAAATCTTACTTTAATTTTCTTGACTTCATTCACATCTGGAGCATCAAATGAAAAGGTCTTCACAGATCCAGGCTCAAATTTGTCCCCATTCTGAGCAAACTCTAGGAACTGTGTGCCTGTGTGTAATTTCTTTGTACCATAGATAACTATCCAGACATTAGCATCAGTACCATTGTCCTCACCCTCTCCTGTCCAGATTTTTACACTGTATGGGATTTCTGAAAATATAGCAAGAATAAATATTGAAAATGAAGCAAACAGTTAAAATGAGGTACCCCAAAGTTGATCATGTGCAAAAAAATCATGTAAAAACATGAATCTAAGTGGGGGAAAAGTATTTGTAAAAAAAAAAAAGAAAAAAGAAAACTTTATTTATTCAACTCAGTAACACCTAAACATCCCTTAAATGATTTTAACTTACGTTCCAATCGAGACATGTTGTCCATTTCTTCCTCCTGCATCAGCTGCTTTCGTTTTACTCTAGGGCTCTTCGAGAAAAGGTCACTGCTGGACTCCAAACTGGCCACTGAACCACCAAATCTAGTGGACCTTAATGTACCAGTACTAGATCCCATCTCCCCATCATAACCCTATAAGGAAGAGCAGAGTACTGTACATTCTTTACACTGTATATGTCAGTCAAGACTGAAGGGATCCTCAAGAACCATTAATGAAAGTGTATACTTCTATCTCAGCTTCAAACATACAATGTACTTTTCTCATTGATACAGAATACAGATAGATACACATACTCTAAATAAATCTTTCATCACTTTAATGCAAGTATACTTATCCACTAGTTTGTATGCCCAGTATCTAATACAACTTTTATAAAAATTGATCCTTGACCTTTGACCTTACCTTGACATACAGTGACCTCTCTGTCTTGCAATCATCCTTTGATTTTGAAAGCCATCGCTCACAATGGAACATGTAGGACTTGTTTCTGTCTGCTGTATCTATCACCTCCACATAATCAAGGTACCACGATGGATTGATGTTTTTATTGTCATGCCAAATCTTCACTCTGTAGATTTTTCCTAGATCTGCGGCCTCCAACTTGAATACATCAGTCTGAATAAAAATAAATTTACTTATGTTACTTACATTGCTTCTTTATAAATACATACATAAATCTACATAACCCAAATATTTAAAAACTATTATTATTTTATTAATGTATTAATCTTTAATTAATTCATTAAATATCAAAGTATAGGGAAACAAAAATTGAAAGTTAAGCTGCAGAAACTAAAAATCTAAGTATAATCAGTAATTACATGGTTTCTCTCAAACTTGTCCATGTGAGTTTCAGAACTGGCTAGCTTTCTCTCTCCTGTGTTTCCAAGCTCTCCGTAAATGTTAATGAAGACATTGGCATCTGTTCCAGCACTAAACTTATCTCCCGTGTGGACATTTACTATATAATGCTTCACTGAAATGTCAAGGGTACGTAAATTTGCATGTTTTGTTTTGTTTTGTTTTTTTAAACTTTTGGCATTTAGTAAGTAGTTTATTTATATATATATATTTATATATAATATATATATATATATATATACATATATGTAGAATTCAAACATGAAAGTATAAAACCATGTGTTAGACCAAAAATATGTCACATGAATGACTGCAATCTAAAATCTTTTAAATTTGTATTTAGAATTCAATTTCAATTTTGATTGAGAAAACACACATCTTCAAAGTGAATTCCTAAAGCCTTACCTTCTAGTTTGTTTTTGACCTTGACCTCTTTCTTCTCCACCTCGCCGTCCCTGCGCACTGTTTCCTTGATGATTTTATCTGGTACTAATTCCCTTACGATCTCCTTGTCATCTTCATCTCGAGCAAGCCATCGGTTACAGGGGAAGACATACAGTTTAGACCCCTGGAAAATTCCAAGAAAATGGAAATGAATTATGGTATGCAGCACAAAAAATCTACTTTTTCTAACTTGAAATATTTGATATTTATTGTTATTTTGATTTCATTAAAATCTTCTTAGATCTTCTGAGACAACTTTAACTGAAGCAATGCTAATGATGGCACATCCTTATACTGTGTACAATAACTTGACCTTCATTAGCATACACATTTTACTAGCTGACAATAAAAAGTCACTTTCAAAACTTATGAAAGCATTTTTTCAGAATTTAATTTGGTTTTCTCATGACAGTTTATCATTCAACTGAAGCCTTTAACTGTCCCACTAGTGTGTTCTTGTTTTGTTACCTCCTGGAGGCTTTGTAATAGTGAAACTAACAAGAGGCCCATGGGCCACATCGCTCACCTGAGTAACTGGCCATGCTGTTCTTTACCAGATTTCCCCCTTGTAATACTTATTGTGGCCCCGCCCTACCCCCGGGGGTCATGATTTTAAGAATTTAAAATCTACACTATCCTAGGATGCTTCCACATAAGTTTCAGTTTTTCTGGCCCAGTTGTTCTTGAGAAGAAGATTTTTAAAGATTTTTCTTACATATTTCAATGTAAAACTTGGATTCCCTATTGTGGCCCCGCCCTATCCCCGGGGGTCATGATTTGAACAATTTAGAATCTCCACTACCCCAGGATGCTTCCACATAAGTTTCAGCTTTTCTTGCCTAGTGGTTCTTGAGAAGAAGATTTTTAAAGATTTTTCTTATATATTTCAATGTAAAACTTGGATTCCCTATTGTGGCCCCGCCCTACCCCCGGGGGTCATGATTTTAACAATTTACAATCTACACTACCCCAGGATGCTTCCACATAAGTTTCAGCTTTTCTGGCCTAGTGGTCCTTGAGAAGAAGATTTTTAAAGATTTTTCTTACATATTTCAATGTTAAACTTGGATTCCCTATTGTGGCCCCGCCCTACCCCTGGGGGTCATGATTTTAACAATTTAGAATCTACACTACCCCAGGATGCTTCCACATAAGTTTCAGCTTTTCTGACCTAGTGGTTCTTGAGAAGAAGATTTTTAAAGATTTTTCTTACATATTTCAATGTAAAACTTGGATTCCCTGTTGCGACCCTGCCCTACCCCCAGGGGTCATGATTTTAACAATTTACAATCTACACTATCCCAGGATGCTTCCACATAAGTTTCAGCTTTTTTGGCCCAGTGGTTCTTGAGAAGAAGATTTTTTAATGACCCCACCCTATTTTTGTCTTTTCTTGATTATCTCCCCTTGTAAGGGGACTTGGCCCTTTATTTTCACAATTTAAATTCCCCTTCACCCAAGGATGCTTTGTACCAAGTTTGGTCAAAATTGGCCCAGTGGTTCTTGAGAAGAAGTCAAAAATGTGAAAAGTTTACAGACGGACGGACAGACAGACAGACGGACGGACAGGCGGACAGACGGACGAAGGACAAAATGTGATCAGAAAAGCTCACTTGAGCCTTCGGCTCAGGTGAGCTAAAAAGTGCAGATAGATCACTGTAAATTAATAAAATGTTAACTGATCAGCTCATAATGTTATGGTGTTTACAAGATATATCAGTTGAATTTGGGTGTATTGAAGGTAACACAAGACAAGAATATGAAGATCTAATAGGAAAATAGTCTGGTATAAAAAGAATCCACATTTCTTATAAATTCAGTAAAGTTCAGTGCTCTCAATTAGTATAAACTGTAAACCAACATCTATATATGACAACATTAGTCATCCAATCTCTGATGCAACTCTTTTTAACCACTTTTAGAATTTTTGATGCGCATAAATGAATACAAAAGATATCTACTAATTTATCATTCAGTGATGGCAAATATTCCAAAGTTAGAGACAGCTGGAATAATGATCTTGCTCTAATTAACAAACAGATGTTGATTTACAGTATTAAAGACCACATATCTTTGTGAACTTAAGAGGATCAATAAAAATAATGTATTGATAGATTCTAAACAGAAGCACAAATATGTTGTGGGATTTAAAAGCTGAAAGTATGAACAGAATTTCTACCAAGTGCTTCCACAAACCTGAGTTACACGTGTCCTACGAGATCCCTTTATAAAGTCAAATTTTAAATAAGACATTATCAAATGGATGAAAACAAGATCATCTTTATTTACAATTCTTTGACTTTTTGAGAAAAGAAGTTCAAAACCTTATACTTTCATTATTGATTATTTCTTTAAGAACCATATTGTCATCAATAATGTGTTTGTAATCCAAGCCAGGTTTAAAATTTGCATGTCTATACATATCAAGTCCTGGACCAATTATAGCAATATACTTATTCTACAGTACATTAAAATTTTTGTTTATCTAGACTTCATATTCAAATTTTGTATGTCTACATATACAGTCCTGGACCAATTATAGCAATATACTTATTCTACATTGAAAAGTCTGCTTTATCTACACTTTATATATATTACCTTGCCAGTAGTGTCATTCAGTGTTCGCACTTCCACTTTTTCCAGATGCCAACCAGCAAACAGACCAGCATTGTCATGGCCAATACGTAACTTAGTTATCTCCCCTACATCTTCCAGCTGCAAACATTTAAGGTAAATTAATCTTTTAATAAAATGATTTTGATCATTTAGATTTCAAAATATTTTTTTTCAAAACTTGCAAATTGTGTAAACATTAAAAAAAAAACCATTAAATGTATTTAGTTCATTAAATCTACAATGTAGATACCTCAACCACAAAAACGTCCACTTGACCCTTTTTGAACTTTCCTGCCCTCTCTTGCTTGGTACACAGTGATTTTTGTTGAGTACACTGCATGTCTTTACCAAACAGCTGAACATACACATCAGCACTAGTATCAGCCCCTGACTTGTCACTGGTGAAGGTTTTGATTTCATATGGGATACCTAAGATAAAATGAAAAAAAATAATTTAGATGGCATATATTACATATTTTATTATTATTTCTGAAAATGTTTAAAATATGATTCAAAAATATTTCTTGAAATCTTGAAATTAGAAAAAAAATAATTTATTTATCTTGCAAGATTTCAGTGTATATAAATTTGTATAGAATAATTCTGGTGTAAGATAACACTACATGTATATGTAATTATAGACTTACAAGGGATATATTCTTCTGTTTCCAGATCCTGAGGAAAGAGTTCCCTTTCAATCTTCCCGTCATCTTTTCCTTTAGCCAGCCATCTGTTACAGGGAAATGTCCAGGATTTTCCTAGAGATGGACAATCAATGATGACCTTCTCCAAGAACCAATCCGAGCGGAATCCAGAGTCATCATGGCTAATACTGAAGTCAATAGGGTATAGTATATGTATTATAAATTGTTATGAAATTATTTTATACACAATTAAAAAAAAACAAAAACAAGTCTCCATGGGCCAAGAATTCCATATATTGAATTTTTAGTGTTTTTAAATTTGCATAATATACCAAAATGCCTTATTAACCTCCCTCCCCTCCAAAAAAGTCTCTCTTACATCCCAAAGAGTGACTTAGATTGCACTAAGAGATGAAGTAGTAATTTTCATCAAGAGCATTGTCAGTATCTGTCAAACAGAAGTCTCTTAAAAATGCAGAATTAAAGATCAACTTTATATTTCTGGTAATTGTCCATCTCATTTATTCTAACAGGGAAGCCTGATGATTGAAGTAGTTACCTCTACTTCAAAAACTGTACATAAAAAATTGGGTTTTCAGTTTTTCTTACTTTTAAAATGTAACTTTTGCTTAATTATGAATGAAGCCTTTTAGCTTTTGTTTCAAAACATATTATTCTAATACATTACATATATATATTTCATCCTCATTCATTTTACCAGGTCAGCTATATATATTATATGAATGAAATGAATTTTCCACAAGCTAATTCAAAATATTAAAATGTTAGAAATTTGAATACTTACATAATTTTCTGAAGTTCTCCTATGTTGACAACTTCTAATACAAACTCATCATCATGTCCTGCCTCAAACTTGTCAGAATATGTCAGAGAAGACTTCAAGGGAATCTTATCTAAAAATTCACACATTTAAGTCTCTTAATTTTGCTTCATTTGAGCATTTAAAAACAGTTTTAAGGGACAAGAAAGAAAGCAAGCATTTTAATTTTCACTGAAAATGTGACATAAGTGATATATTTCTCTTTTACCAACTGAATACCAATAAATTATAATGCTTTAATATTGGCAATAATTCTACATAGATAGCAACAAACCTGTTTGATCTTTGTCACCATAAAGCTTGACGAATACATTGGCATTTGTACCAGATCCAAACTCTTTTCCAGTAATCACATGAACATGGTAGGTAGTCAAGGCAGCTGAAATGTATCACTCAATTAACCAGAATTCATAATTATTATAGACAGTCATTAACTAAGATTGCACAACAAAGAGAATTACAATAAAAATTTTGAAAATACAATGTATCTTTCTTTCAATAAAATACAAGCAACAACATAAATTTTCTGAAAATTTACATCCACATACTGACAGGGATTGTGTACCTTTAGTTTCCAGAGCGACCTCCATTCTGGCAGAATCTTGCCGCTCCAGTTTCTTCAGTACTGACTTGTCTACAGGGACCAGCTCTCGACATATCTGTCCATCATCTTTGTTTGTTGCTAGCCAGCGCTGACACAGGAAGTAGTACCTAGGGTCAAAGGTTAAAATTCTATATTCAAAAATTCTGACAGCTTTTGTGCAATATTCTTTTTTTTGTTTTTTAGAGTTCCCAATGATGTAAATACTGCTTCAATGGTATTCTTGCTACTAAGTATATTTTTAACTACTAGTAATTATATGTACTTTCAATACTTACGTTTTCTTGTTTTTGGTATCCTCTACCTCTACTCTGTCTAAGAACCACGCGGCCCCCACCAGACCCGAGTTGTCATGACGGATACGACACTTGGTCAACGCTCCAAGTTCCACAGCCTTTATCGTGAAAATATCCTCCTACAAATTGAGCATATTAGTAAGACAAGACATCTAACACTTATGTTAAAGAAGTTGAGTATCTGAATAAATAATATCAAGCCCTAATAATAAGAGTGCATCATCTTTGTTTTCATCTTTCTCCTACATTTGTATAACTATTTGACCATAATATTTCAAATGCATTTGTCATTTAAACTTGCTTGCAAGCTTTTTTTCTGAAAGAAATGGGTGTTTGAAAGGGGATTATCCACATGCTGAATTACATCTGATGACTCACTCCCTTATATTGTCCTCCCCAGTTGCACTAAAATCATTCAAGTTTTACAGTAAAACTGTTAGTTTTAAGGTGTACCTGTCCAGATTCAAACTTGTTGATATTTGTGCTGCTGTTTTTGAGCTGTCTTTCCCCGGAGTCAATAGGATTATCTTTATAGCTGCCAAACAGTGTCACAAATACGTTAGCATCCGTACCAGCCCCGCTGACTTTACCAGTGTACACTCTCACTATATATTCTACATCTACAAAAGATAAAAACACACAAAATGTTCATTATAGGGATGTCAACGAATAGTCGACTATTCGACTATTAGTCGAATGGACCGACAATCGAATAATGAAACGACATTCGAATATTATTATAATTAAATAAATGCAATAAAAGAGTAATAACAAGATGGAATTCTCATCACAAAATTGAGAAACTGTCTTTCCTCAGAGACAGCCGATAAGATAATTTTTCTCAACAAAAAACAGTTGATTTTCTATGTACGTTTAGAAAGTATACTAATTATAAGTGCTTCACTACTGCGAGAAATATTTGTCAGTAACGGCCTGTGTTGTTTTTGTAATAAATTACCCACTAATATACTGGGGTTTGTTTGTAAAAATATTAATTGGACTTGATCTTATACCATGTATCAATTATCTTTTGTTATTTTAAGATTGCTCAAATGCAAGGAACAAACCATAGCTGTGACATGTTTTGACACGTCGATAATTATTAAAACAATTCGCTTACATTTTAAACCGTTTACGGACATTTTGATAGCAAGAGCAATCGATAATTCAATAAGAAGTATCTAACTGTTTAATAATTTCATAGGCATATGACGTGTAAAAAGTGTGAGATTACCCCCCCCCCCCCCAATTTATTTCATAATAAGCTTAAAAAAAAATAACAGTTGGCAATTTTTTCATGCTTACTAAAATAAAAAGTTACTGCATGTACAGACCGATTACTGATTTCTATTGACGCGGAAACCATACATTTTGGATAATTAAGAGAATTAGGTTTCCAAATTCATTTCATATAATCATGTTATCCACACGTTACGTTGCATTAATTTTCATGGTTCTTTTAAATATATTTAAGTAAAAGGATTTTTGAGTTATAAATACGTCATGTACCAGTGAAGTTTGAAATTTTTTTTTTTCCAGGAAATATTCCGAATATTCGACTATCGTTCGAATAATGCAACTGAATAATCGACTAAGGAAAATAAATATTTTGACATCCCTAGTTCATTACAAATCAATATGGCATCTAAATACAAAAAGTCTTTGTGTTTGCAAAATTATTAAAATTAACCTATCTTGATCTTTTATGACATTGTGAGAAGTAAATGAAAATGTGATCCGAAATGAGCTGACACTATGATAAGTAACAAGAAATCTGTAAGAGCATGAATTAACTACCATCAAGGGCTTTTTTAAGAGGTCTTCCATCTTTGTCAGTGGGGACAAATTCCCTGACAATCTGTTTGTCATCCTCATCAGTTGCGAACCACTTGTTGATGTAGAACCAATAATCAATCGTCTCCTCTCCATCATAAACTTCCTCTTCTTCTTCTACTGTCTTCAGATCAGGCTTTTTCTGTTATCAGATATAAAAATGAAAGAAAAAGTGAGCAAGCTCACATACCCCACGCTCCCCCAAAACTCAACAATGCAACATGTTTTAAATACACAGTATAATAATTCAAAAAGGGGCATTACTTGCAAAAAATCATCACATCAAAACTTCTTGCATACATGAATAAGGACATTCAAATCTTTGTATATTACAAATTTAATTGGGCTAAAGTTTCTAGATAAATAATGGAATCAAAATTTCTTGGTAATATACAAATCCATACATTATGTCTGAAATACCTACAAAGTTTCAGGAAATTCAGTGCTGGAGTTATGCTGACAAACTGTTATTTAAATTCCTCAGTGATTTTGATTTGTTAATGAGTGTAAGTCCATGTCCAACACATGACAATTTACACATTTAAATAATTGATGGAAACAAAATTATGATGTAGTCATATGAATTTGTTTATATACTGTACTTATGAAATTATTTAAGGCAAAGCACCAATTTGGGGGGGGGGGGGGGGGGGGGTTGAGAACTATCCAAGATCTTGTGTTGCACTAACAAACTGTTCATCTCTATATTCAAGATATGGCCAAAAATCTAAGTTGAAAAATGCCGAAATTCCCAGAAAAATAAAGGAATCGGAATTTCCTGGTAATATGCACATCTCTACACTGTGTACTAAATATCTGCAAAATTTGACCAAATTCTGTGCAGTGGTTTAAGAGGAGTTGCGCTGAGAAACTGTTCATCTCTATATTCAAGATATGGCCAAAAATCTAAGTTGAAAAGTGCCGAAATTCCAAGAAAAATAAAGGAATCAGAATTTCCTGGTAATATGCACATCTCCACACTGTGTACTAAATATCTGCAAAGTTTGACCAAATTCTGTGCAGTGGTTTAAGAGGAGTTGCGCTGACAAACTGTTCCTCTCTATATTTAAGATATGGCCAAAAATCTAAGTTGAAAAGTGCCAAAATTCCCAGAAAAAAATAAAGGAATCGGAATTTCCTGGTAATATGCACATCTACACATTGTGTGCTAAATATCTGCAAAGTTTAACCAAATTCTGTGCAGTGGTATATGAGGAGTTGTGCTGACAAACTGTTCCTCTCTTTATTCAAGATATGGCCAAAAATCTAAGTTGAAAAGTGCCGATATTCCCAGAAAAAATAAAGGAATCGGAATTTCCTGGTAATATGCATATCCACACATTGTGTACTAAATATCTGCAAAGTTTAACCAAATTCTGTGCAGCGGTTTAAGAGGAGTTGCGCTGACAAACTGTTCCTCTCTTTATTTAAGATATGGCCAAAAATCTAAGTTGAAAAGTGCCGAAATCCCCAGAAAAAATAAAGGAATCGGAATTTCCTGGTAATATGCATATCTACACATTGTGTGCTAAATATCTGCAAAGTTTAACCAAATTCTGTGCAGTGGTATATGAGGAGTTGTGCTGACAAACTGTTCCTCTCTTTATTCAAGATATGGCCAAAAATCTAAGTTGAAAAGTGCCGAAATTCCCAGAAAAAATAAAGGAATCGGAATTTCCTGGTAATATGCACATCTCTACACATTGTGTCCTAAATATCTGCAAAGTTTGACGAAATTCTGTGCAGCGGTTTATGAGGAGTTGCGCTGACAAAAAAACAGGATTGACGGACTGACTGACTGACACACTGACTGACTGACACACTGACTGACTGACTGCAGACGGACGGGTCAAAAACATTATACCCCCCACAACTTGTTGCGTGGGGTATAATAATACATGTATTCAAAAATGAAGAAAATTACTGCTTTTTTTATCAGTATTAAAAAAATATGTGAAAAATGCACCCCTCTTCTCAATAAACATTCATGCATACTGCAGCAAACATCAGCTTGTTTCTATCTACAGTATTCACACAAAAAATCGAATGCTTTACTGTGAGAAGTGCAAAAACACCACAACTAACCCTGAGGCTTCTCTTGCGCCTGGGGGTGGGGGAGGAGGAGGAACTACTGTCAGAATCCTGATCCTCATTCTGCTGAATCAGTGACTGTCTTCTCTCATATGCAGCATTGGCTCCAGAAGACTTGCTCGATTTTGATCTCTTTTTGGTTCCTGCTTTTGGCTTTCTTTGGATCAGCAACTGAAAACAATACCACAGTTTTCCAAGTTTATTCATTTTAAACTAAAATACAAATTCACAAGACAATTTAAAATCAAAATCAATTTCTGTGAAATATATAGGATATATATATATCATACCTTTTCCAAGTGCCAACCAGCTCCAAATCCTTTACCATCATGTCCAATTCTAATCTTCAGCAGGTCCCCAATGTCCTTTTGCTCAATCTACAAACACCATATGCATTAAGATTCACACAATACCTATGATAATCTCAGAATTCAACATAATTTAAATATTACATCTGTAATTGATATTTGGATATGAAACAAAATTTCTGATGGATTTTGTAACACAGTATTTGTTGTAAAAGGGGGGAGGGGGGGTCATAAAATTGATACTAGGTAAAAATAAGAAATTGAGTTGTCTTTTTTGAAAATAATGTATTAAGCGAAGACAGGTATTGCTAGCATATTTAACGTGTTACAGAATTTATATACCTGCATGTTTTTTCTACATCACACTTAATAACTCTTTGTTACTGTGGGAGTCAAATTTTTACCTTAAACTTCTCTTTCATTCCACGTTCAAAATTATCAGATCTATTATTGAGCACAATCTCGTCAGTTTTCCCCTCTGTTCCATACATCTGTAGGAAAACATTGGCATCAGTTCCAGCTTTAGAGATATCACTGGTCCAAACGGTAACTTCATAAGGAATTCCTGAAAAGGAAGATCAAAGAACTAAAACTCACTAGTAAATATTTAAAGGCTTCAAGTCTACGGAAAATACAAAGATTAAACATATACAAATAAAGAGTACATGTACTAAATCATTCCAAAAAATTAGCTTTTATTCCAATTTTATCTTTTCAATCTTTGAATTTTCAATTATAATGTTTGTTGTACTGGTTTACCACTATGAAAACAACACTTTATACTGCATGTTCATGCAAGACTCAGCATCTACATCTAAAAGAAGTTCACATAGTCCAAAATAAGTATTCAATTTTAAATGATATCTATAAGATACAAGAAAATTTGAAAATGCTACAGGGAAAATATTATATAGCTTGAGTCTATTTTATAAACATGATCAATGAATAATCATGCATACTTTGAAGCATAAAGCACACTGGGCTCTATGATTCATAAAGATCCTATAAAATAATTAAGCTTTAAAAAAAAGTCTCAGACTTTTAAATAAATCAAAGTGGGTCAACTTTATGCACAAAAAGCAATAAAAATCCTCATGCAAATTTTCACTTTACAAACCATCTTTGCTACAGTCAAGATTCACTGTTTGGTCAACAGCTGGTGCTACATTTCAAATTCAAAAAGAAAAAGCATAAAGAATGTACAAAGTCTATGCTGTTAAACTTTGAAGATGTTGAAAACAACAAAGATCCTTCTCACATAAAATATAAACAAAATTCCATACTTGTTTTCACTTGTTTAAAATCAAATTTAAAAAAAAAAGAAAAGCATCATTCATTCTTACAACTCTGCTAGCAATTAATTGCTCAATCCATTCTAATGTCTAATGGTAGTTTCACACTGAGATTAAAACATAATCACTTCCAACAAGAGACCTATGTGTGAGTTTTCTTACAAAGAATAATATATAAATCTTATAACAATGCCTCCATGTTATTTTTTTCAGTTCTGATTCACGTCTGATCAACGTCTTCAAGTGGCCCTTGCTATCATTTAACATCTGATTTTCAGAAAGAAGTCAGAATAGTTTGTTTCAAGAAACCATCAATCCCTTAACACAGAATCAGCCATATAGTTTGGGATAAAAGAATTGAACAAAAACAATTACATGACAATTTTAATAATTGAAACCTTAAGCTTTAATTGGTGAATGAAAATATCAGCTCTGCTCAAATTAAATTCTCATTTTGATTTCCCAGTTGATACATAAAAAATCTGGATTTATCAAAACGTTGAAATCTCTGAGTTAGTTTTAATGCCAACAATTTATTATGAACAATTAACAATTGTTTTCTCTCACATAAACTTTTACTTGCACACATTTACCTCCTTTCACTTCTACAAAAACATTTAAAATCATCAAGTGAATAGTGAATTAAATAAAAATCACAAACTTCATTCCAAAAAAGAAAAATTGTCATTTCATAATTAATTAATGGCAAATGAAGGGGGAAAACTCCTGTTGAGAGTGCAAAAAGTGGTGGCTGCAGAAAATTCATCTTCGTTGCACAGAAGTTTGAAGTAGTGTGTTACTTTCACACGAATTCAATGTCATTGCTTACTTGCACAAAGCCTTCGAAGGCCCCTGCATCTTATTCCTGACATACAATATTGCTGGTTAAAATTTATGTCAAAAACAAACATTTATTTTCTCCATTACAAGATATGCTGTTTTAAACCTTTTAAAAGTAGGTGATACAGGTATTCCAAAAAGATAAGGGTATTAAAAATTAATATATGAATAAGACAATCTCAACAGTCAAATAGACATTGGCATATTCAGTTTTTAACAGGCAAAAACAGATTCAAAAAATTAAGTTCAAAATTTACAAAACTCTGCTTTCTGATCAGGGTTAATTGCAAGCATTATACTAGACTAGCAGAAAAGTGTATTTTATTTGGAACAATAATAGTGAGAACAGAAGGGGATTTTCATGTACATGTACAAGTGTCTTATATCATTTTATTTCACTCATCTAAGGAGGAAGTAACTTACTCTTCTCTCTATCCTCTTTAAATGATGGTTCAAGTTCTACTTCAATCTCTCCATCTCCTTCATTTTTGTCTAGCCACCGGTGACACGCGAACACATACTGCTGTCCGTGGGAGGGAATGTCAATGCGAACCTCATCTAAAAACCAACCTGAGCCAAAATTGGCTCCATCATGTCCAACTCTGATTCTCTTGATCTACAACAAATTATATTCAAAATCTTTGTATCACTCCATTAATACACAGAGAATTAATCATTAAGTTTTTCATTTTAATAAGAGACACTTAAAAATTTTGACATGAAAATGTAGAATAACTTTGAAAAAAAAAAATATTTTGCAGATATATTAGTCTTAACATAAGAAATCTTTTCCTCTGATGGCATATATGCTACAGACTCAGTAGAATAATATTATTCTTTTTATTTACGATGTTGATCATTTGCAAAGTTTTCATCATGTTCATTCTCTTCTCTCAACATACCTTTCCAATATCTTCAGCATTAAGAATGAAGTGATCAGTTCGATTTCTCTCAAACTTGTTTGAGGTAGATTCAGCATTTTCCAGCTTCAAAGTTCCTGTGTCTCCCTTTTCTCCAAATATTTTGAGATAGACATTAGCATCCGTTCCTGCCTGTGCCACGTCTCCCGTCTTCACATACACATTGTAAGTGGTCTCTAAAAATCAAGGCAATGCTTTGTAGTAATATAATATTATTCAGGTTAGAAATAGTACATTTTCAAACCTGTACTGATCAAGCTACTCAAAATTCTTCAATACTTACTTCCCAATAACTGGGACCCTGACACTAAGAACTCCTTCACGATATGCCCTGATTCCTCATCTGATGCCAGCCATCTGAAAGCAAAAATAAAAAGGTACATGTTTTTATCAAAGAAAGTAGTACAAGTATATTCATGGAATTAACATGGACACAGATGGTATTAGACCATATGTCTTCCATAAGAAAATCAAATGTGGTATGAAAACACATCCTCTTTCCCTTCATAGATGCAAATTTTTTATTCAATCAAATAATATTACCTATTATTTTCATGACTATTGTTCACATATATTCTGAGTAGATTCTTAAAAGATGCAAAAGCGTAATTGACTGATTAGGAACAATTTTATTCTCAAGAAAATTCAGAAACTTCACATGCATCTTCAAATATGAACAGAGTTATTTCCCTTAACACTTACGAACTACAGTCGATGCTGACATCATATTTTGGTTTGTCTGGACGCTTGATGACGACTTTTTCAAGGTACCAGCCTGCTCCTAAACCTTTACCATCATGCCCTACTTCTATTTTCTTTATTTTCTCCAAGGTCACAGCCTCGATTTCAAATATATCACACTGAAAGAAACAATTCAGAACACTGTAAAAAGTTCCTCTTGCTCAAACTTAAAGACAAAAACCTTGCAAATAGCAAAATGAGACGAAGCTAAAAATGGTAACTTGTGACTTAAAGCACTTTAAATACATTAATGCAATTGTATACAGATATCTGTAAAGCCATTACCTGTCCTTTCTCAAACTTGTTAATGTTGGTAGAGGAATGTGTCAGCCATCGTCTACCAGTGTCTCCAAGTTCCCCAAAAATACAGATAAACACATTGGCATCTGTTCCCGCCCGCGACTTCTTCCCAGTGTAAACCTCAAGTGTGTACTTAACCACTGAAAACAGAAAATAGTCTCAAAATTATAATTCCAACCTCATAACCTCAACCAATATTAACAAGAGGCCCAAGGGCCTTAACGGTCACCTGAGTACAATACAACAATTTAGAGGATCCATACACTGATAAATGAAGCTTTGTTGCCCAAAAACAAGAAATATAGTATGGTTAGCATCAACAAAATAATTGGTCTAGTATCTATCTGTCCCCCATTTATCACTATTACCATGCAGACTTTTTAACAAAATGTCTATTTTTTAACCCCATATTATTACTTCTCACAGTGGCCTCTCTTGGCCTTTGAAGAACATTTAAAAAGATAAGTTATTTTTGTCTCAATTTCATTCAGCTATTATTTCCAAGTCTACCCGATCATTAAACTGTGAAAGTACTTTTTGTATTTTACAATAAATATTCTTGCATAATTCTCGTATTTTATTAACCTTTCAAATACATTGTTTACAGTGATTAATTATCAAAGGTGAATGGCAAAAGGGAATAACTTTGCTCAGCAGAATACAAGTTAATAGAGCACAGGGCAGGACCAGAACACTTGACTAAATGGTCCAGGTGTTCAAAATTCTGGTAAAAATACCTTTGCATATTAAAACTTCTACTCTGTTTGCCTTGAATATGCCCAGAAGCATAGAAGATTTTCAAAGAAATGCATTTTCACTATATTATTAAAATATATAAAGCCCCACCCTTACACCAGAACATCTGACCCAGGGGCCATGAACTCACAATTCTGGAAGAAGCACCCTTGCTCATCACAACTATACACTTGTTTGAAATTCTTTGCTTTATAACCAGTAGTAGAAAATATTTTGAAAGAAATTATGCATTTTCAATATAATAATCAATAAAGTCCCCCCCCTTCACCTAACCCCTGACCCAGGGGCCATGAATTTCACAATTTGGAAGAGGCATTCTTCCTTATTATAACCATGCAGTTCCTTTGCTTGAATAATACCAAGGAGCAGAGAAGAAGATTTTGAAAGATTTATGCAATTTTACTATATAATCAATAGAGCCCCACCCTAACACCGGAACCCCTGACCCAGGGGCCATAAAATTTTTAATTTTGAAAGAGGCACTCTTACTCATCATAACTATGTACTTAGTTACTTTATTTAATACCCAAGAGCAGAGAAGAAGATTTTCAAAGAAATAATGCACTTTCACTATATGATCTATATAGCCCCGCCCTAGCACCAGAACCCCTGACCCAAGGGCCATGAATTTCACAATTTTGGAGCAGAGAAGAAGATTTTCAAAGAATTAATGCATCTTCTCTATATAATCAATAGAGCCCCACCCTAACACCAGAACCCCTGACCCAGGGGCCATGAAATTCACAATTTTGGGAGAGGCACTCTTGCTCATCATAAATATGTTCTAAGTTAGTTTATTTAATATCCAGGAGCAGAGAAGATGATTTTCAAAGAATTAATGCATCTTCACTATATAATCAATAGAGCCCCGCCCTAGCACCAGAACCCCTGACCCTTGGGCCATGAAATTCATAATTTTGGAAGAGGCACTCTTGCTCATCACAACTCTGTACTGAGTTACTTTATTTAATACCCAGGAGCAGAGAAGAAGATATTCAAAGAATTAATGCAATTTTACTATATAATCAATAGAGCCCCGCCCTAACACTAGAACCCCTGACCCAGGGGCCATAACATTCATAATTTTGGAAAAGGCACTCTTACTCATCATAACTATATTCTTAGTTACTTTATTTAATATCCAGGAGCAGAGAAGAAGATTTTCAAAGAATTAAAGCATTTTCACTATATAGTCAATAGAGCCACGCCCTAACATCAGAACCCCTGACCCTTGGGGCCATGAAATTCACAATTTTGAAAGAGACTCTCTTGCTCATCATAAATATGTTCTTAGTTAGTTTATTTAATATCCAGGAGCAGAGAAGAAGATTTTCAAAGAATTAATGCAATTTCACAATATGATCAATAGAGCCCCGCCCTAACACCAAAACCCCTGACCCTGGGGCCATGAAATTCACAATTTTGGAAGAGGCACTCTTGTTCATCATAACTATGTACTTAGTTACTTTATTTAATACCCAGGAGCAGAGAAGAAGATTTTCAAAGAAACAATGCACTTTTACTATATGATCTATATAGCCCCGCCCTAGCACCAGAACTCCTGATCCTGGGGCCATGAATTTCATAATTTTGGTAGAGGGCTCAATGCTTATTACAATGATGCCAACAGTTTGACTGCTTGATGTCCAGGAGTAAATAAGAAGATTTTTAAAGATTGCATTATTTTTGGTGGTTTTAGCCCCACCCCTTGGGCCCCAGGGGGGTATGGACCATGAAATTCACAAATTTTGTTCCCCTTCACCCATAAATGCTATAAGCCAAATTTGGTTGAAATTGTTTGAGCGGTTTCAGAGAAGAAGCTAAAAATGTCCAAATGTTAACACACAATGCACACCGCACGACGACGGACGAGAACGGATAGCAATAGGTCACCTGAGTCACTCAGGTGACCTAATAAAATGGTAAAAATCAAATTTGACAAAACAATGTTTATTGCTTAATCATCACATAATCATGAATAATATGTTATTACATATACATTATTTCAACATTAATTTTTATTTTTCAATAAAAATATTCAAATGTGAAAATTGTGCTTTCATTTTCTAAATGCAGAGTACCATCTACCAAATGGGGGATGGGGGGTGGGGGCTTACATGCTAAGGGTTTTTTGATGAGGGGTCCTTCAGCAGGCATCTCCCTGACCGTGGAATGATCTCCTTCATCCACAGCTAGCCACTTCCCACACTTAAATATGTATCTCTCTTTGCTGGCTATATTTTCCATCTCAATCTGAAACAAATCACAAGTGCTATAAAAGATATTGTGATGAATATATTTGTTAATGAAATCTTTGTAAAGAATGGATTGGTTCCCATAGAAAATATACCAGACACTTCTCTGATGATAAAACATGCCTGATTATACAGACATGTACATCTATATGCATGCAAGTATGAGGTTTGGAGCAAAAGTCATCCTGAATTATTCCATCTCACATTACTGACATTGGACCTTCTTTAAACGTCATCTCTATTATAAGCATGCAGTTGCTTGTGATTGTGATTCAAGATATATAAGATTAAGTGAATCACAAAAAAAGAAAAAAAATAACTTTTACCTAAACAGGGGAATGTGAATATCTTCTTTTAAATCGTGCACAGTTATCTTGAACTGCAGATAACATCTTATTGTGTACTGGGAACAAATTTATAATAAATACACATCAATATATCTGATTGAAAGATGCAAAATTGTGACATGATCAATTTGTTTTGTTTTCTTTTTCATAACTACAGATACAAAAGTGAAAGAAAATGTGATGAAAATATGATACATGTACATGTATAGAAAAAATTGAGAAGCACGAACACATATAAAACACTGGTACAAAGACAAATTGAATCTTTATGAAAAAGATATGTACCACATTCTACTGGCAAATAATGTATTGAATATTTGCCTTAACTAACCTAAAGCAAAAATAAAAAAAGAATGCTATATAAAACTTTTTTGTAAATGAAGAAAGTTGTCTTTCTAAAAATCTAAATTTCCAATGAAAATATAAAATATTTAGTCTTTAAGTATAGTATATTAAAAAAATAAGAATTAAGATTCAAAATTTTCATCTTAAGCCAAGGGAATTAAAAATGAAAAAGCAAGATGCAGGTATATTTGCTACATCTTAGGACTAGATTGTCTACTTTATCTGAACGTAGGAGAACTTTATCAAACCAATTGAAGGGACTTTTAATAAGACAGTTAAATCCATAATATCACGCCTTATAAAACAAAAAAAGATGAGATAAAAAGCAAAACACTTAAAGCTATGATGCGTTTTCAGTCCATATCTCTATCATATGTACATTTACATGCCTTATATACATACTTACTTCTGTTGGTAATTTCTAAGTTGATAGATTTGTAATCAGTAAAGTTTGGAATTGTATATGCATTGTATTAAGCAAAAAAAAAAAAAATAAATTTTTCATGGTGCTTAAAGAAATTCAGCAGAAATACACACATAGCATCACGCATACAACCTTGTGCACTTTTTGGTATCTCATTACATATATTTCTTTTTAACATACAGTCAACTCCAGTAATGCAGAAAATAAAAATACATGTACGGTTTTAATTAATTTTCTTCAATTAATCTTTTCCACTGCTAAATGTCAATTTTGACATCTGCAATTTTCAGTATGTCATTTACCTGGTCTAATTTCCATCCTGACATCATACTTGTGTCATCATGAAATACACGCAGCTTATACGGTTTACCCACATCTGATACATGTATGTCAAACTCGTCAGTGTTGCCCTGCTCAAACACATCACTCTTGTTGTCCAGTTCAACCTCGTCTGTTTTACCCTTTGTACCGTAGAGACAGAGGAACACGTGAGCATCCGTGCCAGACAAACTCTCATCACTGGTTTTAACCCACAAGTGCCAATGGACTCCTACAGAAAAAAATGCAACTTACATTCAAGGAATTTAAGTTTCTTAAAAGCAGAAAAACTAGACATTTTCCTTCTATATATTATACATTTATTGACTGGGTTTGAGGGCAACATGCGGTTTGTCGGACCCAAGAACCAAAATGTTCGCCTGAGGCCATTACATCAAAGGCAAACAGTTTGGTTCGAGGGGTCGACAAAATGCATTTTGCCCGATAACACAGTCAATAAATGTTTTGTTAAACCTTTTATTTATTTATGTTATACATGCATCTTTTGCTGGCTTCCATACCAACGAATGCAAATAAGATTTAGCTGATCCCACCCACAGTGTGATGTAAGCGGTCCAATATCTCATTGAAAGGTCCAATATCTCACTCTGCGGTCAAACATCGATTTTTTTATGACCGCTCAGTAAAACATTAGAAATGTTAGACTTTTTTTAGTATAGATTTATAAAGGAACTAATTTTTAAAGGTATAACAAAAAAAATTTATAAGACACAATAATTTTTCAAAAAAAAAAATAGCAATAACTTTTTAATAAATTTAATTAATTATGATTTAACAATAAATATTCTTACTTTTTTCTTTCTTCTGTCTCATTGCCTTCTGTTCAAACAAGGTCCTCTGAATCTGTCCATCCTCACTGTCGATGGCCAGCCATTGTTTACATGGGAAGACCTGTTCTATGCCAGTCGTGGGACAGTACACAATAATTTGTTCCAGATACCACCCTGCCCCCACTCCACTATTATCATGACCCACCTCCAAACTCTGAACAGGGCTCAACAAAGCCTGGAGGTTAATGTTAAAGATTTCCGACCTGTCTCTCTCAAAACTTCCATTATCCAGCCAGATTTTCCCACTAGATTCTTTGTTTAGTCCCCCTTTCATTATGATGAAGACCCTAGCGTTGGTACCAGCGTTCTTCTTATCACCAGTAGAGACAGTGATTACATAGGGTACCCCTGTTCACAGATAAAGGGTATTCAAATTTTTATGACATTACACCTGGCATTTTTACTACAATGCAATGCTAAGCAACTGCAGCTTCATGCAGTCTTTTTGATTTGCAATTTCAAAGTACTGAAACTGTGACCAAATCAAAAGTAATTTAGATATCAAAGACAAATTAAAAAAATATCTGACTTTCAATTACAGATGAACTCCCATCAACTAAATTCTAACAATTTTCAGAAATTTACATGTACATTGCTTTTAAAAAAATTTCTTTAGAAATTTCATCTACACTGACCCCCATAAGAGCTTGTGGCTCCAACTCCTGGAATGAGGTCTCGGAATAAAGCACCATCATCTTCATCATCAGCAAACCATCGGCCGCAGGGGAATTCATACACAATCATGTTGTCGCAGTCATCCACAATCACCTAAAAATAGACAAGATCTAAAAGTTACAAATTCAACTCACAGCAGTTGAACCTGGACTATATTTTCAATCTTAATTTGTTTTAACATGACTCCACTCCACTCCCTCCTTCACAACTCATTGTTAATTAACCTTCAGAGTTTTACCTTAATTGTGATTTTTATAATGTTCTATCCATAAAGGTATGGAATCAACAAGAACTTCATGCTTCTAAACTACCGGTATGTAATCCTAGCCTTGTTTAAAGTATGTCCTTGATTCAACAATTAATGTCTCTGTGTTTCAAAGTTCAGACCCAGAAAAATTATTACACTTCTGAACCCTGATATTGACCTTGGCAAATGACTGGTTCAGGGTCATATCATACTCTCTGGTCATAGGCAACCTTAGGACCAGGCACTGACCTTGGCAAATGACTGGTTCAGGGTCACATCATACTCTCCGGTCATAAGTAACCTTAGAGCAAGGTATTGACCTTGGTTCAGGGTCATATCATACTCTCTGGTCATAGGCAACCTTAAAGCCAGGTATTGACCTTGGCAAATGACTGGTTCAGGGTCATATCATACTCTCTGGTCATAGGCAACCTTAGATCCAGATATTAACCTTGACAAATGACTGGTTCAGAGTCATATCATACTCTCTGGTCATAGGCAACCTTAGAGCCAGGTACTGACCTTTGCAAATGACTGGTTCAGGATCATATCATACTCTCTGGTCATAGGCAACCTTAGAGCCAGGTATTGACCTTGGCAAATGACTGGTTCAGGGTCATATCATACTCTCTGGTCATAAGCAACCTTAGAGCCAGGTATGGTCCTCTGATGTCTCTCCATTATTCTTCTTTGTTGTTTTTGACATGATTAGAAAAGTACTTACAGACTTTGTTAGAGAAAGATATAAAACATAGTAATTACTAATTCAGAGTGAGGTATTATAATTTAGATATATATCTATAGTTAGAATTTGAACACTGAACACAATTAAAAGAAAAGTATGCACTCAGTCTGATTGTCTTTCATTTTTTTAAATTTCTGGTGGTAAGAATATATTAAACATTACATTGTATATACCAGCCCTTAAAAAAGTTATGTTAACAATTTATATATGTATATAAGTGTGTATATACAACTCTAAACCATCCTTGAAGTTTCAGCAGCTTATTCATAATGGGAGTTAGGGTCATCCAGTCAGAATTAAATCTTATGATTAAGGATTGAAGTTAGTGATCCATGCACTGTACTGTGTTAATAAAGAACGTGTAGTGCATCTGAGATGTACTAATCTGTACATATAAAACCTCAATAAGATAAAACTATAGAAAACAGTGGAATACCAATCAACCCTCTGAATCAGAGACTGGTGATGACAAACAGGGGCAGACACAGACAGCCTTCAACATACCGTTAAACTGTTTATGTAAATCCACTTAAGAATAATTTTTTTACTAGCTTTATCTAAATTTTAAGCAATTTTCTGTAGCCACAAAGATGCATGGGAGCAAAGATTAAGTAATTACAAATCTGCGAAGTTTTTCTGTGCCGGGAAATGGTTCTGCAACATTTAATCAATTTGGGCCTTACATTAATTTTTATCCATTACACATTTGTGAATAATTTTACTTAATTCTTAATTATGTCATCAAAATAATTTCAGTCTTTACAAATATTATTCAATTTCATCACTTTTTTTTTAAATTACGGCTATATATGTAATTGAAATTAAAAATAATGATAAAATTACTTTTAATTGAAAGTATATGAATTAATACGTAATGTGTTATGATGTGTGTAGTACTTAATGAATATTTATGCCCCCAAGATGTGTCAAGGGCCAGGGCAGAGAATTCTCTCCATTTGCTTCTGCACTTCTAAACCTTGACCATTTAAAAATAAGACACAATCATGTTAAGTCTGCATGCACACTTCATTAAGAAAACCTAAAAGTAATATACTTTTGAGATATGGAAAATTGAAAGTAGTAAATAAATGTAAAAATCTCAGATATTTATCAAAACCTGTTGTTTTATATAGCAATTCACACCATGATTTTTTTTCTTACTCTCACAAAATAAGCATAGCAGGAATCAAGAGAGAATGTTCCTTTCATTACTGATAACAAGTGTGTTTACATGGGCAATGCAATGCTTCTTTCTGATGGCGAAATGCCTCCCCCGTAAGATGGGGAGGAAACTACAACTACTGGTCATCAATCAAGTGTGTCATTCACCTGCACATATGCTAGAATAAAAAAACTATTTCGCAATTTTGCTTCCACTTTGTGAAAGTTGCATGCTGGAATCAGAATATAAACAATTTCTCTTTCATGCGATTTCATTTGTAGGACATACTACAGTGGAAGTGAATTTTAGATTCTGTGGAAAATTCATTTCAAATTGGAAAACAGTCAGTGTTGCCTGAATGATTTAATTATTCTGTTGAATATTCTTGCTCTGATTTCTTTCATTAATTGGATTTCACACATAATTCAATTCATGGATTGAAATTTTAACAAAAATCTCTCATGAAATGCATCATATATTAGTAATCCTGTGGTTTGCTCTATCTGTGGGAACAAAGCAGATATGGTCAATAACAAATACTATTGGTGAAGATTGTGTGGTCAGTTTGACTATACCCAGGGACAGTATCAAAAGTAGCTGTAATCAAGATGAGGGAACTCTCAGAAAGATGCAAGCTTTAGAAGCTAAACTTCAGCGGTTGTACACTGCAGTGGAAGGGTTGGAAGTTCGAATGCCTCGAATTGTTTCTCATCAGACCAGGAATCAAGAAACAATGGAAAGATTAGAATTCAATTTGGCACAGTCAGCAACATATGTCAAAAAGCTTGAGGACAAAATTCTAGATCTAGAATCCAAACTGCCACAGACAGCAGGGGGACAAACAGTTATCCCTCAGCGTTCCAATTCTCTTGATTCCCTGCTGGATCCCGTCCGTCCCCTCGTAATGAACGAGTTGGAAAGTTTTAAAGATGATTGGATGAGAAATCTGGTGGACAATTTAGTTCCTGCAATTTTAACTCCAGACAACAAATTAGGAGTCAATTTTATGAACAAACTTATTCAAAGTTTAAAGGTACAAATCAAAGCTAATACTGTAAGTCCTTTGGAGATAGTTGAATCATCCAGTGAAATTGAAGATGATGAGGCAAAAAATGATACAAAAGAGGAGGATTTCATAAATGAATTCATGATTGTAACAAAACCAACAAAAATGCCTGAGACCTCATCTAAATCTTCTTGGAGTACAAATGCTATAGACATGCTGGCTCGAACAGTGAAAAATGTTAGCTTTAACTTGAATAAACCAGCAAAAACCATATATAATAATGACTCTGAAACTGAAGTTGGAAATTCTTCAAATGTATCCCCAGTTATGAATGCAAAAAATGTGATAAGATTGTTATCAATAGTTAAAACAGAAATTTCAAAAGAGATGAATCTGAAGATCAATGATGTTGATAACAAATACCAAAATGTAAGTGATATTTTATTTGGCAAGACAAACTCTTTAGAAGAAAAAGTTTCAAATTTCCAAGAAAATTATCAAATTCAACAATGGATCATGGAGAAAAATATTTCAGACATCAGGCAAGAATTTAATATCCTTGAAAACAAAGTTGAACAATCAGTTAGTGATCTGCCTCAAATAACAGCAAATCATGTGAATTCAAAATTTGATTTGAAAATGTTGTCTTTACAAAAAGCATTTTCTCAAAAACTCCAAAGTGAAATCTTGCAGATAGAAAATAAAATCTATTCTCAGAGCAAAAGGCTGAACACAACATCCAGACTTGTAAACATCTTCCCAGAATCTCTGGCCAAATACCAGAATCAGAGTCAAACAGAGCTCGGCCAACTTCAACAAAAGGTGGCAGAACTGAGTCTCAAATTAAAGATTTGTAACGATGATGACAGTGTCGTGCTGAAAGAGAGGCTACGGTACTTAGAAGAGGAAATTCAAGGAGTTGCCGATTCCCAGTTATTCATGGAACAAGGCATTGATAAATTCAAATCTGGGTTCACCGAAAACTTTAGAAACGCCCAAAATGAAATTCAGAATTTGAAGAGAGAATTACAAGCTGTAGAGTATGAAATCGGTGGAATTGACCTACTTAAAGTCTCATTAGGAAATCAGGACATGATTCTCAATACCACTACTGATAAAGTCAACACATTTGAGAATAAACTTAAGGACATACAGAAGATTTTCTCTGAATTTACAGCTGAAGTCATGAGTGAAAACCAGTGGGTTCCATACAACTTCAGTTCTCATTCACCAATTCGAAATGACTGTGGTGGAGGCAAAAAATACATCAGAAAAAGTTTCTTTGGGTCTTCCGTGGTCAAGTTTGTTGGGGTGCAGTTGTGTACAAACACTAGGTACAAGATATTCCTGGGGCCCAGTAAGGGTGGGGAATTCTATGACATCGGTGACAAAGCTGGACGAGGCGAGGATCACTGTCAATTTGTGGGGGCCACCATACCAGACAGCAACACAACATACAAGGTGGACAAGAAATTAGCCTTCTTCACAATTGATGGTAAGCAGAGAAAACACACCATGATTTATCTCCCATTAGTCAGAATCACAGGCCCTTAGATCACTTTAAAAAAGTAAGGTGTTAAAAATTTTTTTTTTTTTATACACCCCAATTTTTTAAAGTCGAATTTAAGCAATCCAAAGGCCTGTAGTCAGAATCAACAATCCATGCATATAACTGCCAACTGTTTAATTTTTACAATACTAGCATTACTTTTACTAGATTGATATAACACACAACTAGAACATGTAGTTTGAAGATTACATGACATCAAACAGATGAGAAATGTTAAGAGCTCAATTTAAGAATTAATTCAGAATAACTTCCATGGAACTGTCATCCTTAAAAATGTACTGCTTAATTAACCAACTGTTTTTAAAACATTAAAAAAATTCATTCTACTTTAATTTTGCACATGAAAATCTGACAAATCCAAAAAAAAATTACTGGAAATTAAGTTTAATATATCCTTGTTTGTTTTTTTTATTAGGATACATGAGAGAGCACTGGAATGAGGTGCCACAGTTTGGGAAGATTTCAACTCTGCAGCCCACTTCTGCCTACTACGAGTGTGGAATATCAATACCTTAGTTGTTCTGAAAACTTTACAATTCCCAAGTTTTTAAACAATGCAATACTGGGTGGTGAATTCTGCCAGGCAAATAGAGTGGATCATATTTTTCATTTCAAGCAAGATTGTGAAAAAATATTTCTGTGAAATGCATCATTGATACAAATGTTTCAGACATATGATGAATGTTGGTGCATTTTTGTAATCGTTATAAATGTATAATTTTTTGATGTTAACCAGTATTTTTTTGTTGCTTTTCTTGAAATACAGTATTCTGTGTTTGTGTATATTTCTTACTTTTTTTAATAAAACTAAATTTGTGGAGTATATCTGCAAAAGATTTATATGTACACTTATAATACACTTATAATACAGAGATTTATTCCTACCCCTTCTCTCCTACGATGTCGCAAATTTATATCAGCACTATTCCAAATACACTGAAACTGGTGGTGAGTGATGGGATACAATTCAAGGATTACCCACTTCATAAAATAACAACTGCATACTAAAGGTCTCCTCTATTATGGAATGACACTGACTGTTGTGTATTATCCCTATCCAATACTATCCAGCCTTTTACTAACCTTATCCAAGTACCAGCCAGGACCAAAGCCTGTGTTGTCGTGTCCGATACGTATCCTTGTAATACGACCTAAACATGGACACTTCACTGTAAACTCATCTTTGCTGCAGAAGAAAAAAATAATAATGATTTTCTACTAAATATAGCAATGACCAAATACAGATAGAAAGACAGAGGGAAGCAAAGAAATTTAAAAAAAAAAAAACATTAAAACTCGATAACTCTGCTAAAATTGTGCAATAAAGACAATCATAATGTTGCAAATTTCACCTCTGACAGTAAGTCAAAAACTCACCAGTTTCTTTCAAAATTGTTTTTGGAATTGTCCAGTTTGACCTCTCCTGACTCCCCATTTTCTCCAAAAATATTGATGATGACATTGGCGTCAGTACCCGCCCCCTTCTTATCACCAGTGTACACCGTTACTTTGTATTTGCTGTCTGTGAATGAAAAAAAAGGTCTTTAAAATATTTGCTAAAAATCTTTCATATTTGAAATGGACCAAAGAAAAAATATAAATAAAAGAAATTGGCTTAAATGTATAAACTTTAAAAGATTATCCAGAATTCACCCTCTTTTCAAAAACTAGTCACAAATCTTGAGAAATAACAGTCCTTTTACATACTATCAAGAGATTACATTTGCCTAGGAATCTATGTACCTTTTCTGATAGCAAATGGATCCTTGCTACCAATGAGGTATCTAGAAATGGCTCCATCCCCCTCATCTCTGGCCAGCCACATACCACAAGGGAAGTAATACTTCCATTTGGTATGGTTTAAATCTGTTATCACAACCTAGGGAACAAAAAGGCATGTCTGTTAATCTGGTCACACTTTAACAAATATTTTACCACCTTCTTAAATTGTTCATGTCTAATACCCAGCCATAAATATTCTTACTCAAACTTTAGTATACAAAAAAGGAATTACCAGTTATCAATAAAATTTCAACAAAAAAAAATTCAAAGTTCATAGAATTAAAAAGTTATACTGTACTCTGTACTCTCCTTTCACAAAAGGATATATTTAAAACAACCTTCTTTAACTTTACTATATACAGCAAAACGTTCGCCCATTTCGTCCTCATTGTCAGTGGACAGATTCATAATTGGGCAGAGTTATCTCTCTTTTAACACAATTGTTTCCGAGAGGATCAGAATAGGACAGTGTGAACATTACCTTGTTTACAGTACATGTATATGTCTCAATGAATAAAACTGACAACTCACCCTCTCTAAGTACCAGCCAGGCCCCAGTCCTGTGTTGTCATGCTCAATTTTTATTTTCTTCATAGGGCCCACACAGTTAGCTCTAACTTTAAAAGTGTCACTGGAATTTTGCCTAAAGTTGGTCCTAGTGAAATCTTTGAGGTGAATTTTGGGAGTGACCCCTGAACGACCTTCAATGGTGATATACACATTGGCACTTGTTGCTGCTCCATTCTTATCTCCTGTCACTGTTACAATCTCATAGTCTGAAATTTAGAACAATATCTAGTTAAGGGGATTTCTTTTGATTTACCAATGTTTTATCTATGTTTATATCATACATGCCACAAGACAACATATAATGCCTTAGCAATTATTATAATATGTTAATTATGTGATTATTCAGTTTTTATGAACAGATATATGTATTTGTTTCTGATCATTCATATCAGCATTGTATCAAATGAGATCTCAACATCAAAATGAAAGGTTTTTACACTTTTAAAATCAGCATCTATACAAATTTACTTCCTTTATTTTCAAAAATATATGGCAAAATTAAAAATTCTTCATTTTTTGCCCATGAAAATTCATTTTTATGAATGTTTCTTTTATAAGCAAACAAAAAAGCAAATAAGTCAGCTATGTCAACTAGAGATGTCATAAGAGTCATCTCCCTTTAAAACACAATATTGACCTGTTTTAGAAGATATATTTGGGAATAACTCCCTTGAAGTCTGCTGGTCCACATGATGCAAAGACAGCCAATTATTACAGACGAATGTCCAGCTTTTCTTCCTCTTAACATTGGTGATTTCTACTTCCTGTAGGAACCACGCTTGCTCTTTCTGTATGCCATCAGTCTACAACACGAAATGAATATGCAAGACTCTATCAATGGAATTTTTAGGTACTTTCTATATCCTATATATCCCTGTTTCATCAAATTTCTTACATGCCTACATGTTTCTATACTTGCATGGTTTTCTTTCTGATAGTCTCTAAAGGATATTTGAAGAAATATAATGTATGTTAATTTTTTAACAGGATTCAAAGTTTGGTGCCTTAGAGACACAATACTCTGCTAATACATGAATTTTGAAAAAATATAATTTCATATAAATACACAGAAATCTTGATTATGCTTATGCATGTACATTTAATAATCCATGATCTATTTCAGCTAAATTTTGAACATGCTAAAAATATTATTTAAAGAACAGGTACAATATCTACCACTCACCCAGTCCTAATAAATAATTTTCTGGTATTATTTACAAGTATCTAAGACTTTCCATCTTTAAATTGGATATTTATTTAGCATACACCATCAACTGAATTTAGAACTTAAGAATTAATTCTTTTTTAAAAATCAGTGTATATTAGACTAAGTGCTAAACATTACCTCAATAACTATTGATTTGATGTCTCCAATTTCAGGACCACGGATCTTAAACAGATGAGTGCTGCCTTTGGCAAATCGGAAGGCTACTTTGCTATTCTTTTTGACTGATCCAGCTTTTTTAGTTAGTCTGGTTTTTGGAATTTTACCTCTTAGACCCTTCACTGTCAGGAAAACCTAAAATAAAAACACATTTTGGTTTCATTCCCAAAAAGTGTCTGTTTCCTTACTAGCATAATAGCATAAAAACAATATCAAATCTTTAATAAATTGTTTCCAAGCAATATGTATGTAAGATTGAGACCTTAGCATCTGTGCCAGCATTGTGTTTATCTGCGGTTATAACGGCTACTTTATACAGTACATCATCCTCGTGTTTCTTCTTACTTCTAATTGTTGAGGAAGCACTAGAATGTGCTGAGTGTGGGCGTTTCTGTAAATATAATATTTTATCAGTAATATACATGTATTTTATCAGTAATATATAAATATTTTATCAGTAATAAACATGTATTTTATCAGTAATATACATGTATTTTCCAAAGTTTCCCATACACTGTTCTATTAATACCACTTATTTCAGGTTAGTTGTAAGCAATAATTCTCAAAAATTTTAAACATCTAACCTGCACATGACTTCATCTAATATAATACATTTTTTTTTTAACGAAAAACATTTTCTGATGGATTTTTAAAACGTGAGCACTAACCCTTCTATGAATCATTTGTATCTGTCCAAATCTTCTTTCAAAGTACTCGTAAAGGTGAGGGTCATTCATGGAGTGATACGGGGGGAGGGGCATACTGGACCTGATGTCATGGTTATGACTGTAGACCGATTCTAGTCTTTTTGCTGCAGAATAAAAGTACAAATTTAATAATTACAGTAAGAAAAAAATATATGTGAAAATATAAAAGAAAGCATAACAAATGAAGTGTATATGAATAGTCATTTTTATATACGTAACAGGGAGTTTCAAACAGGTCAATTTCAAGGGGGTAGAAACAACAAATATCCAGTACATTATGTACTACAAACCACATTTAATGAAACATCCGTGTATGTGAAATAACTAATATTTCTTTGTCCCAAAATGTTTGCTTTTTTCACCAAACTATTGTTTTTTATTTTTCTATGGATTGTCAGTGGACTCAATTAGCAGAATTACCTACATCACCTACAAATGTACATTTTATCTCACCTCTTATAAAGACAGGGCTCTCAATTGTCTATAATTGGGGCCATTCAAAGGCTCCATGCATTCCCAATTCAAAAAAGTACCTTTTTAGCCAATTGAACATGTTAATTTTCCCAATAGTCATTTTTTCCCAAAAATTAAAGAACATACAGTTGGATTTAACTAAACTTGCTATTCATATTCTTCTGTATTTAAAAAAGAGAAATTTAGGCAATAAGAAACACCAGAAAACAAATGTTAAAGATTTTAATGTAAAATGATTTCCCCAAATTCCCAAAAAGGTCACTATACTTTTCCTAGTTTGTATGGCCCTGGCCCCAATCACAGGAACTGGTGTGAGAGGCCTTATAAGACAAATAAAAGCAGGTATAATTTGAAATGACCTGGATATTACTCCACACAAACTTACACAAGTAGGGTGTTTGTCTGTCTTCAGTTGGTCTAATGGTTACTTTGTGATAACTTCTGGGCATGGTCACTCGTGGTTCTTGATAACTTGGCCCCCTCCATGGATCAGAAAAATTACCATTTGTAATGCGCCTTGTTGGAGCTGAAAATAAAAGAATGCAATATAATTTACTGCTGCAAAAGAAAAGTACATGTACTTGCTAATACATATATTTCAAAGTAAAAAAAAAAATAACAATTTCAAATTGTAACTATTGCATATAACCAAAAGACATGTATGTACATATTTAAATTTGTGATTATTGATAGCTACTTTTATTATATGTACATGTATCCATGCATTTAATGTAAGCAAAATCAACTGCATTAAGGGGAATTGGGGGCATGGGGAGAGGGAGGGGTTGAATCCTGCTTTTCTATATATCCTGATAAACAAAAAATTCAACAGAATTACCTGGTAAGAAGGTGGGGGGTGTGGGGAGTGGGGGGAGGGAAGGTTTGAATCCTGCTTTTCTATACATCCTGATAAACAAGAAATTCAACAGTTTGTTTCTGATTCCAATGAATTATACAATTCTTTTCTGATAACCCGAAAAGAAAAGACACTAAGACATGCATGTTCTGGAATTCAATCAACCTATTCTACTCTGCTGGGAGTAATCAAGAAAATTATTGTGTTTTTGGCTGTGATTCAAATCATTTAAGTATTATTAGCCTTTTCCCCTAAAGGCTAGAATCCAGAAATCTATTACTATAACCAATAGCTTCCTCTAAAATAAAGCTCTGTTACCTGAATAAGGCCTTTCCCTGGGTTTTCCCACTGCATAAGGAGGTTTAGGTCCATATCTGATGTGACTGCTCAATGGGGCATCAGAGCCGGCCATGCACATTCTCACAGCTTCAGAATTTGTAAAGGGTTGCTGCATTTTTGTCTAATTCACTTTCCAGCTAGAAAATAAATTGCACATATGTTTACCTAAGTCAATCAACTTGAGTCAAGGTATGAATTCCTATAATCATAAATTATTCATTGGATTACAGTAAATGTTTAAACTAACAAAACTCTGACAATGATTCCAGTATGCAACAGTAAATACTCCAGGATATAAACTGCCCATACAATCCATCTCTAAATGGGTATTACAAAAAAATAATGCAATTTAACTTTTATGTTCACTGATGCAAATCTGTGTTAAATATTGATTTTTTTCCATCACCTGTATGTCATATCTAAATTAAGACCTTAAGTATAGGTATGGTACATCATATAAGATCCCTCTTAATGAGATGTACTCAGATATATCTTATGGCCACTCTAAAATATATCTTAAGATGTACACTAAAGCCATCTCTGACATATCTGAAGTTAAGATATTTTAACATGAGGGTTTTTTTTGTGTTTTGTTTGTTTTTTTTTTTTTTCAAAAAATAAAATTTTTCAAAAAAAAAAAAAAAAAAAAAAAGCATTAAAAAAAATGATTTTTTTCTATCTTTTATCATAATCTTTTAATTAAATTTAGTCATATATTGAAATTAAAAGTAATATTGTGAATACCCATTAAAATGCATATTTTGAATCCACAATTACACATGACATCAAAATCAGAAACAGAAAATCCACCATGTGGCCAAAAGGAGGAAAATAACAGCCTGAAAAGGGTAAGCTAATGTCTCATTAATAAATGTCTATGAGATGACCTGTTTGTTCCTTGTTTAACTTAAAACATAGGTAATCAGAGATTACAGAGCTCACCTCAACGAATGTTGTCTTTAAGTAAGGCAAAGTCCCACACTAAACTAATAATCTAGGAGTGTTCATCCCTAGATGCAACATTTATGCAATTTTGGTCTGATAGGGCTTGCAGTTACTTGGGAATAGACTTATCTGAAAACTTAAAACTAGTCACTCAACCAGAAAATGTAAGTCAAATCCAGCATCCAAAGCAAGTTTTGAGATTGTTCGTCCCTTGATGCATCATCCATGCAAGTTTGGTTCAGATAGGCCTTATAGTTACTTGGAAATGAGATCTGCTGCAAAAACTTTAACCTGGTTACTCATCCGGAAAATATAGGTCAGATCCAGCATCCAAAGCAAGTCCAGTAGTGTACATCCTTAGATGTATCATCCTTGCAAGTTTGGTCAATATAGGGTTTATAGATACTTGGAAATGACATCTGCTCCAAAAACTTTAACCTGGTCACTCATCCATAAAATATAGGTCAGATTCAGCATCCGAAGCAAGTCCAGTAGTGTGCATCCTTAGATGTATCATACTTGCAAGTTTGGTCAATATAGGGCTTATAGTTACTTGGAAATGAGATCTGCTCCAAAAACCTTAACCTGGTCACTCATCTGGAAAATGTAGGTCAGATCCAGCATCTGAAGCAAGTTCGGTAGTGTGCATCCTTAGATGTATCATCCATGCAAGTTTGGTCAATATAGGGCTTATAGTTACTTGGAAATGAGACCTGCTCCAAAAATTTTAACCTGCTCCAAAAACTTTAACCTGCTCCAAAAACATTAACCTGGTCATTCTTTAGCTGAAATTGCAGCATCTGAAACCTTGACTGGTACAATAAAACACACTAGAAGCATCCTCCATGCATCTCTGACTAATATAGGCCATAGAAGTACTTGAAAAGAAAACTGCTCCAAAAACCTTAACCTGGGACGCCGACGGTATTACATAAGCTCCCCCAACTTCGTTGAGGTAAGCTAAAAAATATTAATAATCTGGAGTTTCTTGGCTCACTGCATATCATCAAAGACACGGGTATTATTATTATTTCTCTCTGTTAAGATATATGAGTACAAGCAACTACTTTTTTTCTTTTTTTTTCTTTACTGAATTATACACGCTCGAATTCATGGTAGGGCATTCTGGTAAAAGATACCATGTCAATTTTGTGTTACCTGGTATCATCTGGAAATATATATTTGAAGTTTCCTTTTTTGTCATCTAAGTTGTACAAAAATTACCTGTAACTTAGGCCCTATTAAGCTAATTTAGTTAAGACTTAAAACTAATCAGAGATCAGTTATTTCTAAAATTGATAATAAAAAATCTAGCTTTTCTTAACTACCTTCTTGGGTCTTTCCAGTACATCAAACTTCCATGACAACCATCTTTTCAAAAACATTGAACTAAACGTAGGTGGACCTTTTATCTATATTCTGGAGCTTATATATAAATGTCATTGAATAAAACTTACGATATATAACCTAAAATATACTAACAACAATACTTTAATACATGGAAAGTGACTCCATTTTGTACAAAACTTATTTATTAATAAGCATCCAGTGATGTATTTTCCTTCGTGGAAAGGCACATGAAGATGCAACTGCTAGAAAACAATACCACACGGGGATATATTTCAAACAACTAGGTGCTTGTTGGCTCTACAGATTTCTTAAAATTATTGTATTGTCCTCCTCAATATTGAAATTACAGTGAATCAGACTACTTAAAACACAGTGATGCCATTGCTGATGTGAACCCCACTTGAGTTTTACCATTCTGAATTGAGACCACTCCCCCAACCCAGCGCAGTGCGTACGATCTTTCTACAGTTCTATAATTAATCCTTTCAACAAAATGAAGCAATTGTTCAGAAATCTATTTCTTTGTTTTATAATGAGTAAGCACAGTTCTAACTCACCTATCTTTTAAAAAGCTTGTTAGAATTTAAACAGTTAAAGCACTGTATACATGAATCTTATAAAAATACATATATATTTTGAAAATTAACAAAAACAGCAAAATACGTTGGGGTGTATTTTACGTAATTGAAATACAAATCAGTTTGAAATTAATGCATCATGTTCTAAATGAAGGTATACTTACCTTTCCAATAATGTTTGCGCTACCGTGCCGAATTTGTTTGCATCCGATGGTAAAATTAACTTTTCACATAAGTTTGTCAACATATAAATTTTACATAAAAATAAATTAACTAGTAATAATGAGCATTGTCATGTCAATTAATTGTCTAAGTATCAAATATCATCTTAATCGGCACGTGCAATCAATAATTAAAACACTCAGAAAATGAGTTTACACTTGTTTTCATCGTTGCCAAACATATCGGAGCATGCGCAGTAGAGCAAACCACCTGAGAAATAGGTCGTACACCAACTTCTTCGAGGTAACTTTGTCCTTCCCTTTTTAGCTCACCTGAGCCGAAGGTTCAAGTGAGCTCTTCTGCTCGAATTTTGACCGTTGTCTGTCGTTGTAAACTTTTCACATTTTCATTTTCTTCTCCAGAACCATTGGGCCAATTTTATGCACACATTTTGCACTGAATATCATTCCAGTTTGTTCAAATCTCAATTTACTTCTAATTTGTTCGAATGAAGAGCATCTCCCTGTTCAAAGGGGAGAAGATTAACAAAATAGTGAAAATTGCATGGCGTCATAAAAAAATCTTCTTCTCAACAACTAGTTAGAATAATCTAACTGTGTCTCGGGACAAGCCCTCACCGGGTCCGTAGGACAATATCATTTTAACGATAGAACATTCTATCTTATTTAACTCAACAACCAGTTCCATGGAAGAAAAAATGAAAGTTATGTGCAAGCTTAAATTCTGACATGGTGTACGTTGATTTAAGATCGTTCAAAATGAATTAAATCATGACCCTGGGGGAAGAGAGGGGGCACAATATGGGTGATCAAAGTTTATTTACAAATCTTCCTCCCAGGAAAAGCAAAATCATGGTTAGTCATATTTATAAGGAAGCAATTATTAGTTAATTTTGCTCAGAATCCTGGCCCCTGGGGGGTAGGTTGGGATCACCACAGTATGCAATCAAAGGAATATTAGGGGGGAAATATCCGCCAATGAAGAACAGAAGACCAGTAGTGACTCAGGTGAGTGTTCTGGCCCATGCTCCTCTTGTCTTTCTTCTTCCGTTTCTATTTTTCCCCATTTTTTTTTATTTGTTCCCAATCCAGGGCTAGAAACCAATTAGAAAACAGCCTTTATAGTAGGCAAGTATTGCAACTTAATATGACTTGTCTTTAAAATGGAAAGTGATGATCGACAATATTGTATGGAATCCGAATGCCAAATTAACATATATTCAAATATTTGAACCTATCTTCAAATAATTGTACCTATCTTCAAATAATTGAACCTATCTTTAAATGAATTGAAGATAGGTACAATTGAATTAAAGACAGGTATAAATGAATTAAAGATAGGTGTAATTAATTATACCTATCTCTAAATAATTAAACCTAGGTTCAAATAAATTACACCTATCTTCAATTCATTTAAAGATAGGTACAATTGATTTAAAGATAGGTACAATTGATTTGAAGATAGGTACAATTGAAACATATCCACAAAGGATTTGAAGATAGGTACAATTCAATTATACCTAGGTTCAATTCATTTTGTGTCATAGAAAATAATGAAAACTCACGATTTGAACATGGAGGGAACCAAACAAAGCATTTTTATGGGGAGTAGTTGTTATTTTAGTGTCTTTATAATTAAAGATAGGTTCAATTCAATTGCACCTATCTTTAAATCAATTATACCTATCTTTAATTCATGGCATTTGTACCTATCTTCAAATCAGTTGTACCTATCTTCAAATCGTTTGTACCTATCTTCAAATGAATGAAAGATAGGTATAATTGAATTAAACCCATCTTTAATTCATTTACAGATAGGTACAATTGATTTGAAGATAGTTACAATTAATTGAAGATAGGTTCAAATATTTGAATATATGTTAATTTGGCGTTCCATAATATTGGACTACGTTACAAAATATCAGAGAATAATTTTCTGAAAGTCTATAAATCCTCCTCCACAATCACAAAAGATATTTGCTATGGCTTTGAGCCACTTGAAAACAATGGAATTGAAAGATATATTTTCACTGGTTGGTTTATAATTAATCATTATGTCATGTGTAACCTGACAAGCCCGCCACATAATAGTTATAGGGTGAATTAAAAAAAAATGACCACCAAACTGAATTTTTTTGGCAAAATTCAACTACTTATAACGTATTTTTCACTTATATCATCATAATGCAAATGCATTCTAGTTTAAAATCCTGAAGTGGCAATAGAATAGACAATTGGATTAAAAAGTTTCAGAATTTTTATTAGTAAAATTTCTTTTGAAAAAAGAAAATATCATTACACCTTAAAAGACTTTCTAAAATACATAATAACAAGAAATTATAGTTTTTTATGCTTCAAAATGGTAAAAGGGGTATAAATGATTAAATCTAGACTTTGAATGAGTATCTTCTCTTGTACATGTGACAAAAAATTGGCTTTTTGATTGTTATTTTACAATTTTTTTCAATTCTGGTTTGAAAAGTTTTAATATGAAAAAAATATGAAGCAATAAAATTCCCCAAATTTCACTTTTTTGTCCGTTCAAGTCAATTCTTTAAATCTAAGCCAAAAAAGAATTGTTATATACGAGTTCTCTTACAAAAAATACTAGATTTTGAAGTGAACCTATGTTACATTATTGTGTTGCACTCCTGACATCTGATATGTATTTTATTTAACATTGTTTTAAAAATTATAACACACAATAACCCATTCTTACTTTGTAAATCAATTTGTCGTGTTGGTATTTTTCATCGTTTAGAGCAGGTTTTTCATATTTTGAAGACCTTAAAACATGATTATTTTCAAAGTGTAATATATATAAATTGTATTTAAAATATATGTGAAATGATGAAAACTGTTCCCTGAATTGACCATAAAATTTATGTAATTTGTTGATAGACATAGTGTTTTGAACATCAAATAGTATCAAGCATTTTTTTTCAACTTATTTTTCAGTAAAGATAGTTAAAAAGCATCGGTAATTATAAAGCAGTTTTGTTGCACTCCTCACTGCAGTAAAGTTTAAAATTAAAACCACAGAACACAAAAATTCATGAAGTGTTGGCAACATCAAATGGTAATGAAATTGTGCAATACTTATAGTCTAATACTTCATAATTAAAACAGATGAAAGAATTTAAAATTCGCATTTATCTGGAATTATACCCTATTTTATGCCAAAAAAACTAGCTTAAACTTATATTTAGAAGATAAAATATATTTTAAAGCATATTTTCCTTTAGAGGACAAACACAGTAACCCACCAGAAAAATTCTACTCATCATTTTTTCTTTATTTTTATTCTTATTGGATGAATTATAATTCTAACATATTTGGTGCACTCCTGACTAAAAGCATTGGGGCCTTTAAAGTAGAATTGTGAAGTGAAAATTACATAAGAACTTGTTCTGTTGTTTCAGTGAAGTTGAGGAGGAATTACTTGAATTTTATGACAATGTTTTAGTGTGTTTATTTTTAACATTCATTAAAAAAAATCACAAAAAGATAAAAACACATCTGAATTGATAAAATTGAAAAAGGAAGGATTTTAATAAAAAAAAAAACTGTCAATAATTTAGTATTAAATTATACAAAAAGATCATTATTAATTAATGAATATTTCTAAGCATGAAAAGAAGTGTTTTCGACACACAAATTGAATCTTTAAAAAAATGTGTTGCACTCCTGACCATAGAAATATGGATCTGAAGCACAGACAGATCCTGTAATTGATAAATCTATTTGGTAGAAATGTTCTTTGTGTCTTTATTTTCCAAAATAAAAATCAGAAAATCATATAATGATAATAATTTTTTCATGCTTGGGAGCAAAACATCAAATGTTGCACTCCTGACATTTTTGGGTATGCACATATACTTGACTCTCATTAATGCTTGTGATTTATATAAGTTACATTTTAAAGTTTTAAAATGTATATCAGTTATTGTTTTAGACTTCGAAAATTCTTTTTTGTCTTAATTTTCTTTCAGAATTTTACAATTGATGTTGTTTTGGCAACACTACATCTTTTCTGTTGCACTCCTGACATGGTATAACATTTTTTTAAACATCAGCCATGACCACAACTTGATTAAACAGAAGTTATGGCAGTCCACATTTAAAGCTCAATACTTTGAATATTATCAGGAAAGTCTTTATTTTCAACATGAAGCATTATTTTTTATTTCACAGATCTCTAAAAAATGTTGAAATTTCAAAATGTCACAAAAAGGTGTTGCACTCCTGACAATTTTAGCATCATTTTTGGGCATAACTTTTTTGTTAATTGAGATATCAACGAGATATTTGGCAGGTATTTAGACACTATCTGAAGACATATGCTGAGACATAGAAATCTATTTTCATTGCCTGTATTTTTAGTGTGGGTTGATAAATATGTGTTTGGTCATTTTTTTTTTAATTCACCCAGTTCAAGAAAATTACCAATACACTAATTTACTGATTTAAATTATATTAAACAATATAATAAAGTATATTCCCAGAAACCCATTGAGTGAAATTTTAAAACGATACATTATTGGAACTTGAATGAGAAAACAAATACACGTATTGACAAAGGTCATCCAGTCATCTTCAACATAACTTGAAATCTGAAATTCTTCTAACTATTGGCCACTATACTAGCTCAAGATTATACAGGAAAATTTCATATGTAGATTTCTTATGATAATATGTCATATGTCAAAATAAGCATGAATAAATTGTCAAATATTTAGATGTTTGTGTTTTTCAATTTCAGATAAAATAACATAAACATACATACATTGAGAAACAATGTCATTAAGGTGTCTAAATCTTATATATATGATGTAATACTAAACTTTGTATCAGGCAGCTGACAACTAATGATCCAAACAAATGTCTGTAGTTCATAAACAATAACAATATGATCCCAGTTCCTGCCTTAATTCCTACAGCTTGTCACAGTCCAGTCCTCTCACCCATCTTAATTAATCTCTAATTCCATAACCATACTCTGCATTTTATCTCATCTTTATTTCCTCCTTCTTTCACTTCTTCAATTCCTGAATTATGGGTACATATTACCCAATATGCTCCAATAATGACTTAGATTCTGAGTTTAGAGGAGAGGTGATCTACATGAAAGCAATCTAAACAGCACTCGCTTAACTCCTTACTACAAATGCTATCATTCAATTTCAGTTTTTATTTCAAAAGAGAAAAACACAAGCATTAAAATAAAGAGTTTACCAGACCTTAGGCCTTGGTTTGTACAGCAATATACAATATACATCTCCATGAACAAATTGATACTCATTTCAAGAGCTCTGCATTTTCAATTTACAACACAATTAACTAAACTAAACTACATGCTATTGCCCTATAAGTGATAAAATATTGCAGACATCCCATTTCTTTTGCTAACATAAATTAAAGTGTTAACAATTAAATACAGATGTTGATTTTATGATGCCCCATTTTGTTGAATTAAAATGTTCGCCTCTTTTCCAACATATGTGTCCATAAATGTTGCAGCACCAAAGAATTTGACCACTTCCAAAAAGGCATCAACCGGAAGGATCCTGTAAAGAAGAAAATAATTTACCATCCTATACACAGCAATAAGGCAGTACATGAAACAACAAATATTGTATGATTATTATTGACATTGGCCCACATCCTCACGATCTCAGGGGTCCTGAGTCCACAACTGCCATGGGATCCCTGAAAAGCTTCATTTGGTTTTTTTTTGGGGGGGGGGGGGGTAAAGGGAAGGGCAGCTTCTCTCATTGAGAAACACATCAAATTGCATGGGGCTTGCGTACGTTAACATGAAAAGTAAACAGAAAGTAATCAATTGACAACTCAATGCACGTTTTATATGTAGATTGTTTGTCACCATAAAGTTTAGTGTGAATGGTGGAGAGAAGAATCGGGATTTATCATTTCCTTGAAAGAAATTACATTCAGCCCATAAAAAAATTGAATGAAGTTTGTCAGGGGTTCCTGAGCCAGGAGTGGACTCGGGAACCATGTTGTTTCGAGATGTTAATGCCCCCTCCTCATCCAGCACCCTACACCAATCTCTTCCAAGTAGCTTTTACTCATTTTTAATGTAAAAAAAATTAAAAGTGATATTAAATGACATAAAATATCATGTAATCATTCTTAATTTTGCCTTAAAAATGAGTAAAGGGCACAATTATAAATCTTGATAACTCCAAATACTTAATGAAGAGAGAAAAAAAGGCCCTTGGCGGCAACTCCTGCATTATTTCTGTATTAATAGATGGACTGTTGTTCATGTTTTATATACGTTTTCAAAAACTTAAACCTTAAACAAGAGGCCCAGGGGCCACATCGCTCACCTAAGCACTCTGGCTAGGAAAAAGCAGAAAGCAGTTCAGTCTTGAAAAGTTTTGATATAAAAGCGGTTCGAGGGGGGTGGGGGGAGGGGGTGGAGGGTGTTGATTTGAACTAATTTGAATCTATACTTCATAGGGATGCTTTTGAATTAATATGACAAATAATGGCTTTGCTGTTCTTAAGAAGACAATTTTAATTGATATATCAATTGTATTCCTTTGTTTGACTATGATCCCCTGTTATGGCCCCTCTATTCTCCTGGGGGGTCATGATTTGAACAAAATTTGAATCTACATTACCTGAGGAAGCTTCCATTTAAATATGACTAATTATGGCTTTGCTGTTCTTGAGAAGAAAATTTTTTAAAAAAAATTTCCTATGTATTCCTATGTAAAACTTTAATAACCCATTGTGGCCCCACCCTACCCCAGGGGGTCATGATTTGAACAAACTTGAATCTACACTACCTGAGGATGCTTCCATTTAAATATGACCAACCATGACTTTGCTGTTCTTGAGAAGCAGATATTTACAGATTTTTCCTCTGTATTCCTATGTAAAACTTTGATCGCCCATTGTGGCCCCACCCTACCCCCAGGGGTCATGATTTGTACAAACTTGAATCTACACTACCAGAGGATGCTTTCAAGCCCAGTGGTTCTTGAGAAGAAGATTTTTAAATGATGCCATTAATCTTTCACGAATTCATAATTATCTCCCCTTGGAAGAAGGCGTGGCCCTTCATTTGAACAAACTTGAATCCCCTTTACTCATGGATATTTTGTGGAAAGTTTGGTTGAAATTGGCCCAGTAGTTCTTGAGAAGAAGATGAAAATGTGAAAAGTTAATGACAACAACAACGACGACAGACAAATTTTGATTAGAAAAGCTCACTTGAGCTTTCAGCTCAGGTGAGCTAAAAAGGAAAAGTAAAACACAAAATACTAAGATAAGCTGGAGGTATTTACGTTTGTGTTTCAATTATAATGTAAATCTCAATTGAAAGCATGGAAACTATAATGACTATCAAAACACAATTCTTACCTATTGTTCTATACCTAATTTTAAAGTGTGTGCAAAATAGAGCAACAAGTCTTCCTTGTGTCCCTATAGTATTTTGAGAGTCAGATGGGGGCCATTCAAAACATGCTCTACATGGTTATACATGGACCTTGATGAAATACAGCTTTAGGTTATTGGCTTACATGTACCTTAAATTAATGTAGTCAATGCTGCAGTATAAATATCTATACATGGCTTTGTCTGTCTTTCTACTGAGTTTGATCAATTTCCTTTTCACTACACAATGAAATTTATGATGAAAACTGAAGTTCAATCATGTAAATATGAAAGAAATGCATTTTTTTTCCCCATGCAATAGAAACACATTCCCTGACTAAGAGTATTAAGAAGTCATATCCTTAATATGGATGTATGCATGGTGATCCAAAATTAATCAAGTATTGTTCTATAAACCAATACAATCTCGTTCGTGATTAATTAAGGATTCATCTCAGCATGTATCTAATAATAATGGACTTTCTAATAACATCAAAATCAATGAGGGTTTGTCTAATTCCTAACAAACAGATCATTCTCTCAATGGTAAGGTAAAATTTCCTTCAAATGAATAGACATTACTATCAAAGGGTGATTTATAGTTACAGAAGAAAACTATCTTGAACCATTCTGGGAATTGCAATAGAAGAAGTACATTTCTACAGATTAAGTGTTCTTTTTGTACAACATATGAAAACACCAGAGTATCATTTTATGGCATTTTTTAGAAAGATGAAGTGGTATAATGGAGCACACAAGTGTCATGTCATAAAAATTTATTGCTCCTAATCCAATTAACTCGAGTTCTTCCTTGCTTAATTAGAAATAATGAGACAATAGCAAATGAATAGTAAAATCAATACTGTATATAGTACCTTGAATCTCGTGTAAATGTGTCACAGAGTTACATCAATGAAAAACTGATTACAAAAAGACAATCCTTTATATGTTCCACAATAGAATGAAAATTAATCTCAAAGGCAATCTCTTAATTTTATTAACTTCATGAATGTTCAACGCTGGAACACTTACACCAAGAACACACTTTTTGTTGATTGATTATGTCAAAATTGAATGACGACCATTCTTAATTCAGTTTTAAAATTGCAGACTGTATGGGAAAGCTTAAAAACAAATAATGGAAGGGGAGTTTCCAGCGAATTAATTTTTCTAAACAGGATGCACCCATTATCAATAATAGTACTAGAAATTCATATTTTACTGTGGCAATTAATTAAAACATTTTTTTAAAAATATTTTGTAAATATGGGTTAATTCTTACTAGTTGAAATTGTTCAACACATTGATATGGAGCAAAACATTTGCAATAACAAGAGGCCCAGGGGCCACACTGCTCACCTGAGCACTTTGGCTATGAAAAAGCAGAAATTAGTTCAGTATTGAAAAGTTTAAATATAAAAGGGGTTGGGGGGGGGGTCATGATTTGAACAAATTTAAATCTACATTACCAGAGGATGCTTTTATATTATCATGACCAATCATGGCTTTGCTGTTATTGTGGAGAATTTTAAAGATTTTTTCCTATGTAATTCTATGTAAAATTTTGATCGCTCATTGTGGCCCCACCCTAGACCCGGAGGTCATGATTTGAACAAACTTGAATCTACACTACCTAAGGATGCTTCCATATAAATATGACCAACCTGGCTTTGCTGTTCTCGAGAAAAAGATTTTCAAAGATTTTTCCTATGTATTCCTTTGATTGCCCATTGTGGCCACACCCTACACTTGGGGGTCATGATTTGAACAAACTTGCATCTACATTACCTGAGGATGCTTCCATATAAATGATGACTAATCACAGTATTGCTGTTCTTGAAAAGATTTTTCCTACATATTCCCATGTAAAATTTTATCACCCATTGTGGTCTGACCCTTCCAGTGAGGGACATGGTCTAAACAGACTTGAATCTACACTATGTAATGAAACTCCTAGTTTCGCGTAATTAGTTTCATCTTAACTAGCCAAGTGGTTTTTGAAAAGAAGATGTTTAAATGATGCCACCAAATCATTAATTCTTAATTGTCTCCCCTTGAAAGAGGGTGTGGCCCTTCATTTGAACAACTTAGAAGGGCTGACTGGGGTTTTCATTATGCAATACCAGAAAAGGGAATCAAATTTATTTATTACATTTTAAAGCAATTATTTCAACAAAATTAATCAAATTCAACAAAATTAAAAAAATAGAAGGTAAAAACTTTTAATTACTTTAGAAGCACATATTTTCATGGGGATAAAAGCTTATTGATTTGTCCTCTAAACAGGTTTCCCTGGCATTAAATTTCTTTGTTTTGGAAGCAACCCTATTCCTATTAAAATTTTGTGTGGGATTGAATTTTGTTGATAATTGTTAATAACAAAATAAGCGAAGTTTAATCCCCAAGAAATATTTTTGCTTTAATGTATAACTCCAGAACCCCTGTCTCAGGTGCTATGAATTCCACAATTTTGGAAGAAAAACTCTTCATCATCATAACCATGCATTTAGTAAATGTTGTCATTTAACTGCTTTCTACGAAAGCCTATTAGGATCAAACTACGGTAAAAAAAATTTAAAAGGCGTTATGACGCCTTTTCAAAAGGCGTTATAACGCGAAAAAAGGCGTAATAACGCAAATAAAGGCGTAATTACACCTTTCCAAAAGGCGTTATTACGCCTTTCCAAAAGGCGTTATTATGCCTTTCCAAAAGGCGTTATTACGTCTTTTAAAATGGCGTTATTACGCCTTTTAAAAAGGCATTATTACGCCTCTTTTTTTTCAATACATGACTTACTTAGCCCACCCTGGGGACTGATTATAATTAGATTTCTAGGAAAAAAGATTTTTAAATGTGTAAAATATTTTCAGTGTTAAACCAACTTAGTCCTTCTCTGATGCCAGACGCTTCTACCAAGGTGTATGGATTTCAGAAATTTTGTTGAAGGCTAATTGCTCATTATACCTATGCAAATACTTTGCCTGTTTTTTACCTAGAGGAAAGAAAAATATTTCAAATTTGACATGAATTCTTAATATGTGGCTAGCAAAGCCCAAAGCTGGTTCTGCCTATATCCTGGATTTTCAAAAGTAGAGTGTTGACTTCTCTTTATATGCATGCAAAATGCAAACAACTGTCTGCGAGATGTACAGGAATATAGAAAATACTATAATTTATAATATAATTTATAATATTAAAACTATAATCTAAATATTGCATAAATAAAGATGGCTTTGGTTCAATCTTTCATATATTTACTATATTAAAATAACGCCTTTTCATTTTTGGATACAACTCCTTTTCAAACATGCCGGTAGTACGAATGTGAGTGAGTGGGGGGGGGGGGGGGGGGGGAGGGGGGGGTCCCCACTCCACTTTTTGGGAGAATAGTCTTGCCCCCCCCACTTTAAAAGCACGGGTCTGTCAAAGACATAATAATGGCCCTTCAAAATGCATAAAAACGCCTTTTTGAAAGGCGTATTAATGCCTTTTGAAAAGGCGTAATAAGCCTTTTGGAAAGGCGTAATAACGCCTTTATGAAAGGCGTAATAACGCCTTTTGGAAAGGCATAATAACGCCTTTTGGAAAGGCATAATAACGCCTTTAGGAAAGGCATAATAATGCCTTTTGGAAAGGCGTAATAACGCCTTTTGGAAAGGCGTAATAACGCCTTTTATAAAGGCGTTATAACGCCTTTTAGAAAGGCGTAATAATGCCTTTTGGAAAGGCGTAATAACGCCTTTTTTCGTGTTATAACGCCTTTTGGAAAGGCATAATTACGCCTTTATTTGCATTATTACGCCTTTTTCCGCGCTATAACAAATTTTCAAAACGAGTTATTACTCCTTTTTTCGCGTTATAACACCTTTTGAAAAGGCGTTATAACGCCTTTTTAATTTTTTTTACCGTAGTTTGATCCTAATAGGCTTTCGTAGCTTTCAATGCATAACTTACCACGTATATTCTGTGCATTTGTTAATCAACATAGATTTTCAATTAAAAAGGTGTAATTAATTGTGGTTCTAATGATGGCTACAATGCAGAATGTTGTTTAAGTATCTGATATATAACACATGATTCATGATTTTAAAATTGAAATAAAATTTATATAGGGTTTGGTTAAAATTAAACAGAATATTGTCAGTCTTCCTTATTTATTTGTGAATATGAATAGACCTTACTTGAGGAAATAACCTACATGCATATATATATATATATATATATATATATATATATATATATATATATATATATATATATATATGCCCATAGCCCCCCCCCCCCTTTGCAAAGATAGACATAATATGTTGTAACTCACAGGGATTAAATGAGCAAAAGTGTTTACTTAATCATGAAAGAAAGTTTTACTTGTTAAAACTTACATTTTTAAATAGGTTAGAAAGTAAACTAGTCGTGGGATACAAATAATATATTGATTGGTTAGAATTCCCTGCATTATTCTATTGGCTGTTTCATCAACCTCCAATGCAGGCAGTAACCATGGAAATCTGCAAAAAAGTAAATTTTTTTGTAAGAATTGGTTAATGTTGGGCGGTAACAAACAAGTACTTTTAAATTAGGACTTACAAAATCATTTAAAATTTTCTCCAAAGACAGGCCATTAACATCCAGTAATTTATTTACATATCATCTAATCATTAATTAATTAATCAGAACACTAAATATATAATTCCATTTCAAAGTAAATGCCAAGAAACTTAGAAAACTGAAAATATTTACTAAACTTCATATTAACTGACACTAGGAAAAATATTTTAATTACCCTTTTGTAAGCTTTAACTGAATGGCTCCGACAACGATAAAAAAAAAACAAGAGGCCCAAGGGTTTTAATCATCACCTGAGTATGTTACAACACTGTAAAGGATCCATAGAAGAATAAAACAAAATTAACTGATAGACGAAGCAATATTGCCCAAGAATTTCAAAAATCTGGTAAAAATACCTTTGTGTATTGTAATGTGCAAGACCGAGTGATCTCCTTGAAATCGTACTTGGTTTTCCCAAGTCTTACAGGGATGATAACGAATGCAAAATATACAATAGACACTTGCCATTTATCAGGTATTCAAAATATACCATAAATGTTAACTCTACCGCTTTAGGTGAAAGTCTACCACTTTTTTACTCCATCTCTTGCCTACCACTTTTATTCGTAAATCTACCGCTTTTCTACAAAATCCATTTTTGGTTCCCTTGGGTAGCCATTTTTGAAGCCACTCATCATAAAATCTCATTAGATACCTTGACAAGGTGATGCCTCTAGGCTACACAAGCAACTTAGCAGCTTGCCACTTGGTACCAACACTTGCCTCTTGGTTATACAAAAAAAACTTGACTTAGTATACAACATGGCTATTTGCTACTTGTCAGTAACTACATCATGTCCCCTAGTCACCCTGGCTCTCTCTTCACTTTTTCACTTTGATAAAGTATAAATCACTTTTTTGGAGTTTCCTGCCAACTAAACAATAAAATGTCAATTGTCCAACAAGACACTACACATACTAAGTACAAATGGCCCTTTTGTTACATAAATAATCTTTATTTCAATCTTTTATACTGCTTTCCACGCAAGGATCCAACTCTGAGCATGCTTTGCTCGTTTAAACCAAACATTAATTTTTGTTTTGTTTCTATATATATAATTATATATATAACATTCTTTCTTGTATTCATTCCACCAAATAACCTATTAATTAAATTATATACAAGGATTTTCTGATTTAACACAATTTAGCAAAGGGGAATAACTCTCATTTGCTTCACTTATTACAAATTTTGTACTCTGTTTGCCTCCTAGATACCCTGGAGCAGAGAAAAGGCACATTTTGTATATTTATATTTATATTATTGCATTTAGTCTGATTGCTTAATACTCAGGGGAATAGGAGAACATTTTCAAAGCGTTAATGCATTTTCACTATATTATCATCAGAGCCCCATCCTAACACCAGAACCCCTGACCCAGGGGCATGAAATTCACAATTTTGGAAGAGGAACCCTTCCTCATCATAACTATGTTCTTAGTTCATTGCCTTAATATCCAGGAGCAGAGGAGAAGATTTTCAGAGAATTAATTCATTTTTACTATAAAATCATTACAGCCCCACCCTAAAACCAGAACCCCTGACCCAGGGGCCATGAAATTCACAATTTTGGAGGAGGCACCCCTCCTCCTTATAACTATATACTTAGTTTATCGTCTTAATACCCAGGAGCAGAGGAGAAGATTTTCTATAAATTAATGAATTTTTACTATATAATCATTAGAGCCCTGCTCTAACACCAGAATCCCTGACTTGGTTGCCATGAAATTCACAATTTTGGAAGAGGTACCCTTCCTCATCATAACTATGCATTTAGTTTGTTTGCTCAATAGCCAGGAGCAGAGAAGAAGGTTTTTTTAAAGAAATAATGCATTTTCACTATATATTCAACAGAGCCCTGCCCTAGCACCAGAACCCCTGACCCAGGGGCCATTATTTTCATAATTTTGGTAGAGGGCACAATTCTTATTACAATCATGCCACCTGTTTGACTGCCTGATATCCAACAGTAAAGAAGGAGATTTTTAAAGATTGCATTAATTTTGATGGGGGGTAAGGGTCATTAATTTAATAATTTTTTACTTCCGTTCACGCATAGATGCTATATATGCCAAATTTGGTTGAAATTGGTTAAGTGGTTCCAGAGAAGAAGCTGAAAATGTTCAAATGTTAACACACATTGCACGACGCACAAAGACGAATGAAAACGGGTAGCAATTAATAGCTAGGTCATCTGAGTGACTCAGGTAACCTAAAAATATTGAAATGATTTTTCCAGTTATAACAACTGATTTTCCTTCTGTTTTCCTACCTCATTTCACATCCAGCAAACATGCCAGTTTTAATGTAAGATGAGCACACAAGAGTGGTATGAACTCCTGTATAACCTGAGAAGATGATCTCATAATTCAGCACCTCTGTAAATCCTACCACGCCAAACTTTGACGCACTGTAGTCTGTAAGTTTGTTCAACCCTGAAAATGATACAGCTCAATTATGGTCATAATTTAAATAACAAGAGGTCTCTGAAGAGACAGTAGCCCTACTTGTTTGTACTTATCATAGTGGAAGTGAAAAGTTTTTTCCTCTTTTTAAATTTCCAGAATTGTATATTCTGATGATTTCTAAGATTGTGCAAATGTTAAATGAAATCAAACTTCATCGATTGTTTCTTTCTGAGTAGACTGTATTAGATGGAAGTACTGCATAATGTACAATTTCACCATCTACCTACCCACTTTACTCTGTAGAGAAGTGGACAGGTATACATATTTTACATGTAGGCCATACCTGTCCATTTCTCTGAAGAGAATACCTACCCACCAATCCCGTGGAGCTGGATATGTTAACAATATGTCCATGATTGTTTTTCAGCATTGATGGAAGAAAACATTTCACAGTCTAGAAAGTATGAAATGAAACAAATTTTGTAAGAATGACATCACAATAACTTCTTCAGATATTTGAAATACATACTTAGGCCACACCAATTTGTAAAATAGTTCTTCGGATTTTCAAAAATAAAAAGTGAGGCGAGCGAGCAAATTAATTTTACAAATATTATTTTTCATTTCGGGTTTCAAAATTATGAGGCGAGCGAATATAATTAATATAGGTGGCAAAATTTTCTAAGTTCTCCTCTTTTTCCTATTATTTTTTCTGGGAGAGAAAACGTTTTCTATGCACTCATAAGATGTGAAAACGCGCCTTTCTTTTGTTTCTCGTAACATTGCAATTTAGACGTAGTTTCATTTCTACAAATTTTCTGTTTAATTCTTTGCAAATTGTTAAGGTCATGTCAGGTTTCAAAATCACAATTGCATCGCTTCTTGAATTTTCTTTAATTTTTATTGAACAAATATGGTCAATATTTACTTAACCTTGTGTATATTTTTCATATGTTGATGATATTCTCTTTATTGTTTCATCAAACAAAGCTTCAAACGTCTCCTATGCTTCCATTTCTATTGCTGTGTATGGAACTACTTTGTACCTATTGTTTTTAACTATAGTACACAGGGATGTGCAATAAAAAAAAATCAAGTAAGTCAATCAAAGTTACTAGCCCCAAGTAAAAAGTTACTAGCCCAAATAGAGGGGCAAAAATTAAAATAAATACTAACGCCATTTTCACAGTATTTGTGCTAATTGTGTTGCACTTGGACCAAAAAATAAAAAGTCAAACAGCACATTATTGACATGTTTTCTAGAAAGTACAATACCTATGCAAATGAGTCCCAAATTTTTTTTATATAAGCATTCTTAAGAAAAAAGTTATGCGAAGTCAAATTTTGGGCGAGACCTTGTGTTGCGGACACTACATTACACCTGTTATGTCTAAAATAAAATATGAAAGATATTTATATATTCCAAACTTCTTGCGCGTTTTGATTATGTGCCTAATTGCAGTGAAATAAAAGAAAAATCTCGTGGTTCTCTTTGAAAACAAAAATTTTACTCACATTAATGACTTGCTAATTTTTTTGCCTAATTTATCTCCCTTCCTTAAGTTTATCTACCTTTACAATCACACATAAGACCTATATAATTATCATGTGAAAATTAAATTGAATACTTCTGAATTTCAAATACATTTGTCATAACACCCTGGATATCTTCGTTTGTATCTTGTCTAGCTTTGAAAATGCATAGCATTTTTATTGCGGACACTACAAGTAACCATAAGAATAATCTTTTGTCATTTTTATAAAAATAATTGTTGATAAATGTTCATTTCTAGGCTGAATTATATACCACAGGATCAACTCTTGAAAACGTATCATATAAAAAGATGCAGAATGTGGTTTACTGAGATGAAAATAACCACATAACAAGGACCATTAATTATTTCTTGATGTATAATTGTTCTGCAGTTTTAAAAAATGTCTATGATTTTACTTATTTTAATACAATTAAAAAAGTTATAACAAATAGTTTTATAGATAAATTCAATGAATTAAAGAATTTACTGAGGCATCCATAATTTTTTTTTCAGTATTGAAATTGTTGCGGACACTACTAGGGGTGAAACGATACACCTCCTTCACGGTTCGATACGTATTGTATAATTTTGTCTCGGTTCGGTTTTTTTTTTTCGATACGATACATTTTGATAGAAAGAAACAAATTCAACATGGTTTTATGCTTTCTTTTTCTAAATCTAGTCACATATTTTACGAATTTTATTTGCAAATTGACTAGAAGAAATTGATCAAAATTATTTGACTGTCAAAAATTATTTTACAAGCTATCAGTCATCAAAAATTTACGTTTTCTCTACTTATTTATACTGAGTAACGTGTTTTACTTTATGCCAAACCCGACTGAATAACGATTCCTACCGAAAAATGAACCGACCCAAAAAATAGAGATTTTGCACCGTGTATCAAACCGAGAAAAAATACCACGGTGAACCGTTTCACTCCTAGACACTACAATATATTGAAATATTGCTATATGACACCATATTTGGTTTTAATGGAGTAAACTGAAAATTTTAATCTCTAACTAGTTCTATATGTACAGTAAATGGTGTTATATTATAGGAAAATAAAAAAGGCTAGTCGAAAATGGCTTTCCGGCCTGGAAAATAAAACCCATATATATACCAATAAGATTGAAGTGTTATCTTGTACAAAAATCACCATTTGTTATCATAATCCAGTTAACTAATTGTATTATCAAAGGAGCAAAATATCAGAGAAATGTTTTACATTTCAAAAATATTTAATGAAATAAAAAAGTGAAAATAATAAATGAATGTGGTATATAGTTATTACTGTAGTGTCCGCAACACAACTGTATTAATTAGAACTACTCTTATTAATTAACAATTAACATCTTGATATATTCTTTAGTTTCCACTTATTCAGTTTTAAATACCACATGAAAATTAACTTTCAATATATAACATAAGACTGACAATTGAAAGATTTTGAATATTATGTATAAACAAGTCGTTATAGGTGTTATTCAAAGTATGAAGTTATAGTTCCACTAAGTTTTGTAACCTTACATATTTGTATTGAATATTTGGACAATTATAGTGATGATCAATTGAAATCATGTTACATTTCTTTGAAGAAACTGTGAATTTAAAAAGCTGTTGCGGACTCTACAGCGTTGCGGACTCTACAAAACACAATATATTTGCCAGAATTCCAAGCTACACTGAGCTAAAGTCTGATATTTTTTGGTAGATGGATTAGTAGCTGTACTGGCCTCTTACATGTAAAATAAAAGAAATATAATTCATAATGCATTGAATAAGCACATGTTGCGGACACTACAGAATTTTGGGACATTTTTATGCCAGTAAGAAGAAAGTGTGTCATTTTCTAAAGTTTCGAAGAATCCACTCAAACTTTTCTTTATTGTTTCATTTATCATTTAACTCTAATTTTAAAATGAATCTAAAGTAAGAGTAATGCATTAACATATATTTTTTTAAACTGCAAGTTCAAACAGTAGAATTATATTAAATTTCATAACGTATCTGGATTTTCACACATTTAAACATTATTTCACTAATATTTTGTTGATTTACACACAGTAAATTGCATATAAAAGAGGGATAATTTCACAATGATTTGACATCTATGACTAAGAGTTTCTATTGTAAATCTCCTGAAACAAAAACTGGAAAACAAAGCCATTTTTCAGCTGCAACAGCATAACGCAAAATATACCCCATATTTTAGGTAGTAAATCTTTGATATTTTTATTGTCTAGAACATGGGAGTGTTATATATCATTTAACTTGTTAGGGGTACCATTTTGTCATAATTTGGTCATAATTGTTAAGGGTTTAATCATATATTTTGATGCAGAGTGCATTATAACATAAGTGAGTATGAAAAAACACAAATACTGTGAAAATGGCGTAATTAATGTTGAGAAGAAATTAATTGCTGAAAAAGTCAGGGTACTGAGGTCATTCTTCTTAAAATTAAAGTTAAAAGTTCTCACTATCAATATAAATCATGTATAAATTATTATGAAAGAAAATTAAAATGAATTTAAATAAATTATCTTTCCTTTTTCTGATCATTGCACTAGCTCATTTAGAATGAAATTAAATTCATTTTGTTTTCATCTTAAATCATTAAATACACTAGAAATATATTTTATGTAAGTCACAAAACACTTATTTTTCAGTTGATTGAGTGATCGTAAATAATTTAATGAGATATCTGTATGTATTTACCATAAATGGAGGAAGAGAGGAAATTCGGATTAGGAAAAAACGATCGTCTTTGGAAGTAAATAGTCAGATAGAACTGTAAAACAAATAAGATTATGGAGATTTATTGACAGTCGGAGCATGTTGTCTGGAAAATTTTAACTGGTTGGGAATTTTATAGCAAAAAAATGAGTGAAAATACCGATTGTGCTTGTCATATTTATTGCGTGTGTAGTTTAATTTTTCACTAGCCCGACGGGCTTCCTCCTTGCAGAAAACCACTAGCCCGACCCGCAAAAATGGTAGCCCTGGGCGTCGGGAGATGCTAATTGCTCACCCCTGGTACATACGAACAGTTACACAGGCATCGTGCAAAACTTCACATTCTAAATCCCGCGCTTCTGTCAAACAAGTTTCCAAGTCTTTTGTGCGTTTTGTGTAAAAAGTCGAAAAAAAATTGTATACGGATATTTTTGGACGCGCGCGCGGATTTTTTTTTTTTTTATAATATTATAATTTTGATTTGTTGTAAATAGAAGCGGCGAATCCGACGAACTATATTAGAAATTGGTATGGCCTTAGTTTAACATGTAATATTTAAGAAATAATTCCCACATCAAAGGAATTGTTGCAGGAGAATATAGTTATACTCTGATCATTAAGAGATTTTGTTGGAAAATAAAAACCAAGCCTCACAAGGCTGAGGGGTATATTCTCCATCAGTTCTGACAACAAGGAAATTAGGCCAAGCTTAAAACAATACTTTGTTTGCAGTTGCCGATCTGTAATTTTTAGAGTGGGTAGGTAGGTAGGATTTAAAAATAGATTTTAGTTTTCAGTTTTTTGTTGGATACCAAATCATAGGGATTTTCATATAGTTACTAAAGTAAATAAGCTCCGTTTATTTTAAGCTACTAATTGATAAAGAAAGAAATAAAAGATGGTACAGTTTCAATATCCTGAAAACTTGAATGTTACTCTAAAAAAAAATTAGAGAGGTTAAAGGCAGAGATTTTAAGCACTGCCTTCAAAAATACCCTGGTCTGTGTACCCTTGTCAATCAAGTGCATTAAGGTACATCATTGGGTGCTAGAACTTGATTGACATTTACTTACTAGTCCCTGTGTATACCCTGTACACATTGTTTGGCACTCGTGGTGACTTTTGGTCCTTTGATATTAAACCACACATGGTATAAACAATAGAGAAGCTGTATTACTATAGAATTTTTAGCTTGAAAACATATTTACATATACACACACCTTTAGTATTTGAAATAATTATGATATTCATTATAATAATATATATCAAAATTAGGTACATGTATAACTTTTTTTCAAAGCTCAACAAATACTTTAAATAATAATATTTTTTTTTAATGGGTGGGGATGCTTTGACACACATTCAATTAAAAATTAATAAAAATTATTGCATGAGATTAAACTTTATTTAAAACTTTTTATTTCTAATCTAAAATCATTTCAAAATCCCAACACAGGTAAAGTTTGACTTCTTGTGTATTCTACTGTATATATTAAATCACTTCCTGTGTATAGGGATTGGGAGACAAACGACCACAGGTAGACTGCTAGCCCTCAGGGCATTCACACCTGTACAAAATAAGCCCCTCCCTCACCTGGAATTTACCACCCGGTAAAAAATCTCTGCCTTTAAGCAGATGGGAAATCCCCTAATTAACTGCGATTTACGTCATCAGTTTTGCATAGCACGTTATTCTACAAGTTGTACACAACGTGTAGATTCATATGTACACGTAGGAAAGAACGCGTGGCTTCTTCACAAACTATAGAATATATATTTTTCAGACGGTGTTTGTTGTGATGTTGAGAGTTTATTACGTACATCTATGTATCTTCTTTAATCAAAGTCATAAAATCATTTGATCCCAATGGATTAAGTGACTTAATTGTTGAAATGATGTTTTACACATACCGCTACACGTACAGATTGTTAAACAGAACACAATGGTAGTTACATGTACTTGTAAAAACACTTCTAGGTTTACACGTACCCACAGACGCACACGGTCAAATGCTTATAACCTCTCTATTATCTCAAGAAATGGCTAAAAAAAATTGGGTCGGGTGCATTTTAAGTGGGTGGGTAGGGAACTGCAAACAAACAATTTTTTTAATTTTAGGCCTTATTTCTATTCTGCTACAGTGAATATTTAAACTTCTATATTGAGAAATGTAGAAGCTAGACTTGGACATAATTAGAAGTGTCCTATGATGTTATAATACAGGGTGATCCAAAATCTGATACTATTTTGACTTTCAATAACTTTGTCAATAATCATTCTACATATTTCTCTTACAACATATGTTAAAATTTCAAATATTTTAATAAAGAGTTTTATAATATTTGAAAGAATTATCATCGTTTGAAATGGTATCAGATATTTTGGATCACCTTTTACTAACTCCTTGATCAAATGTATATCAAGCAAACATTAGAGTTTTAATCCAAATCCAAAATATTTTTTTCCCCACCAATTTGTGTCACAGTCAGAAGATAACCTCTATCATATTCCTAATGAACACAGTCAAAATTAGAGGAAACCGATTTAAATTTATTGATTTGTTGATGATCGACATTTGTGATATATTGGAGAATAATGTGACCCTTTGATCTTTGAGATAACTGTAGTAGAATAGGCAATACAGTAGCTTACACATATTTATTAAAATTCTTTAGATTCATCAAACAATATCAATACTACATTGTTTGTTGATACATGTATGTATTGCATAACAAATGGACTTTGATTAGCACTCTGGTAGGGAGACTATTCTAAGTAATTCAAGTCAAATATTTTAGGTTTTGCTAAAGGATTAGGAAATGTATTTCACACATTAGAATGTGTAAATGTGTGGTAACTGAAAAGTATTAATTTCTGTACATAGTTTTCCTAACAGTTTGAATAATTGATTTAAGGAATAACTGTCTAATTTTTTGGATTCATGATGTGATCAATCGAGTGGCTTGCGTGATAATTTGCATAAACGCCGAAGGCGTTTATGCATAAAATTATCACGCAGGCCAATCGATTGATCATCATCATGAATCCAAAAAATCTGACAGTTATTCCTTATATTTACATGCTCCTGACTCTGCAAATTCCCGTGCTAATAGCCCCGCTTCTGTCTCTATTTGTCCCACCCCGCACATGATTTTTTTTAACCGCGCCTATCGATGAACCAGTAGATTTATGTAGAAATAAAGTATTTTTACAATTTGTAATTTAATCTCAGACAAAGACATTGGGAATGTAAATATATCTATATCAATGCATGGTTTCTTGATTGAAAGGTTTTTTATGTTGGATCATATAATTATTGATTCTAAATGCTTTGTCTGGAAATTCTGGCAAATTCATATCAAACAAGCCATTGTATGATTATATATCATCTTAACCTTTTGACTATTAAACGTCCAGGACTGCTACATGCATCTTCTAGTCTTTTGAATAAGTGAGCATTAGGACTTAATAGAGCTTGCATGTATACTGATGAAAAAGTTTCCTACTTTAATAAATCAGTACTGAAAACAATTTACTTAAGCAGTAATCACATAATAGCACTTTTCATGCTGCGCTTCTTGTCTGCTTATTCAAAATAAGGCAGATAAATAAATAAATCAAATACTGTACATGTATACAGAAGCTTGGCTCCAAATGTCCTAATTTTTATCAATTACTCATTATAATCAATTTAAAAGGAAGACTGCTGCTGCGATAATAAATTTTAAATTTATTATTAGTACTTATGTTTACAGTAAATAAATATGATGTCATTCATAGTGCACCCTCATCACACAATTTCATGTGTGGACTGTTTAGGTGAAAGACATTAGAAATTATCAGGTCCGAGTAGAGTTGTCACCCGAGGGCACTCATGTTTACGCCCTCAAGTGACAATCCTACTTAGACCTGATACCTTCTAACCAGTCCACAATAGTTTTATTATCTTGAAGAATCCAAAGGATGACTGCACTTAAGGACATGCAGAATTTGCGACAAAATAAACTTTCAAAACAAGCATTTTTCTTTTCATTACAAGAATGGTCAACATCCAATCTACAACTTTATGTAATTACGTTTAATAAAAGTGTGTATTTACGAAGTTCGAATCTGTTTTCAAAGGCAGGGGTCATCACAATTTCTTGAATCTCTGTTCGATAATGAGGACGCCCACTTTTTTGCTGACTTTATACATAGTCAGCGCATGTTTGTCTATTGTTCTACGTTTAACAGTAGTTGTATATTTGCATAAATAATAATGTGTCAAAAGCAGATTAATAGACAAACATGCGCTCATGGTTAAAAAGAGAAAAAACTGCTTCTTCTTACATTCGCGCTCTCTGTTGTAACCAAAGATTGTGACATGTTGAATATTATAATTCACCACGTGATTTCTTACCTCAGGTTACTTTGTGAATACTAAATTCCGTCATGTGACTTATAAGGTAGCATGTTTTGTGCTGACTAGGACACTGTGTTTGAAAACGTAAAGTCATCTGGCATTGATATAAAATCTGCTTTAATTACATTGACGTGCTCATATTGTTAATTTCGTTTTGAAACCTTTGTCAGAAGAGTATTTGTGTCATAGAGAATGGAGAAGCAGATTGTAAAGAGTGATCACGTTTGCTATTCCAAACATGTCATTGTTATTTATCAAGTCTAATTTTAGACCCATTCTTACAATGTTAGCTCCACCTCTCATGTATATCTAATGTTCAATCAAGGGCAGGTAAGTGTAAATTCACTATATTTGGAAAGCAGTAAGGACAAAAAACATTAAATCATTTTATTGTATCACAGTCTAAAATCATTTTAAGATTTAAATGTAGTTCCAAATTGACAGTATTCCTTCATAAACATACAAAAGTGAGACAAGGTTTAGATATAAAAGCAACAGAAGCAACCGAAAAAGACCCAAAAACAGGCGTTAAGTGCAGTCATCCTTTAATAAAATAGAGTAGAAAATATCAGTCAAACCTCTTGTGGTCTCCTACCCTTTGCTCTGATTCAATACATTCAAATAATTATGTCAACAGACATCTTTGATGTCACCATTAGAATTTGTTTATCGATCCTGCATATATGTATCAATTATATAAATGAGATAATTTATTTTCATCTAAGGGGAGACAACACAGTTGTCACCCAGCATGCTCGCTTGCACTATTTCATTTTCATCTGAAGGGAGACAACTGTGAGGAAAACATCACAAATTGTCTCCCTGCATGTGACATACTCTTAACCAATCAGATAGGCTGTATAATTCTGAAGGATAATAATTTGTTTTGCGACCCTATTACTCAGGTAAGTTCCACTAATACTGTTTTGTTTCATCAATTAAGCCCGGCACTGATATTATATAAATAGTGCACGTTTTTGAGGGTAACAGTTGAAATTGACACCCCAAGGAAAACCATTGTCAACCGACGCGTCAGCGGAGGTTGACAATGGTTTTCCGAGGGGTGTCAATTTCAACTGTTACCCTCAAAAACGTGCACTATTTATTTTATTATACTGAATGTCTTATTGATTTCGGATGTCATTAAAAAATTCGGAGATCGTCGTTAACTTCACGGTTAGAAAGCTTTCAAACTCCCCGCTTCTATTTTTCTCAATAGGAAAGCTTCGTAAAAAGATTTACCAACCTCTTTATTATTTGTTTGCTACTCAAAAGTCCTTTATCACCTAAAGTTTGCACTCGCAAGGATGTTTCGTCTGTCGTTTGTCTTTTTCAAGTAAGCTACATCGGACGCAAGCTTTTATTGACGTCGTTTATTCGGCTTCTTTCAAACGTACAACCGACGTTTTGAGAATTCTACGGTGAACCGTACGCGCATGATTTGAACGCATGTGATATTTTCGTAATGTTACCCGTTGTCAAGTGTGTTGCTAACGCTGAGGGTAATACATGTATTACGGATTGTTAAATGTCTCTAAACCAATCAGATTTTAGTATTTAACATGAAAGTATAATAATGTTAAATACTTACCCAGAAATGTGCTAAGAGGTTGATATCAAATGTTCTCCTGATTAGCATATCAGGTGTATCTATCAACTTTTTCCCTGTTACCACTCCTGCATTGTTGATTAAAATGGTAACATCTCCAACATCATTCTTCACTCTTTCAGCAGTCTTTATTATTTGGTTTTTGTCTCTGAAAATGTACAGAGTGATATATGCATGAAAGATTGCAACAAGAGGCTCATGGGCCACAACACTCACCTGAGTCACTTTGGCCCTGTGTTCTACAGAAAATTTTAAAAGACTTTTCTCCTCTATTTCCTGTGTAGAATGTTGAACCCATGTTGTGCCTTCCCTAGCTCCAAGAAATGGGTACGATTTCACCAATGTTGAACCCACACTACATGAGAATGCTGAATATCATCAATATGACTATTAAATGTGGCCTTGCTATGCTAGAGAAGAGCATTTTTAAAGCTTTTTTCCTTATGTAAACATAATTTGTAAAAATTTGAACCTCAGATTTTGCCTAAAACTTACAGAACGGTCCTCAACTGGAACAAACTTGAATCCACATGAACTGGGAATATGCAAGTTTAGAGATTATCTCCCTTGGTGCTCTCTTTCGTTACAGAGGGGAGTTTTGTTTCCACATAAACCGGCAGTTGGGACAGTTATTCATATTAGATACTGGTATGTTACATCATCGATATGCCTGTTTATCATAAATGATTGTTGGGATAAACTCATCAACTGGAAAATTACCAAATTTAAGTGAAGGCATCAATTTTTTTCTACCAAAAAACTCAGAATAAAAAGAAAATATCAGTGGATAATATTTATCAGATGAGGGAAGAGATAAGGATCACTAATAAATACATATGCCTCTGATCATTGCACGTCAGCATTCTGAATGACACACCGACTGTTTCCCTTTTTATAATTTAAAGGAGGCCACTAACTTTTACAATCAAGGAAGCGTCTTTTTCAAAAAGTCTGTGACGGTTCTTTTGTTTTCAAGTATCCTAATTAAAAGTAGATTTTGTAAAACATGTATAGTAGACTCATTAAAGCAATATGAGCTGCATGTTTGAGAATTTTATTTTGCTGTTAAAATGATTTGTATATAATTTAAACCTTTTTGATCAATTAGACAGAAATAAAGTATCAAATTGTTACAGAATAAAGGATTCTGTACAATCAAATATATAGTATTATATAAGAAATCAATATATTGTACAGGAAGACAATAATGTAATTTTGCTTCAATCAGAGCTTATAAATAGTTCTTCCATCCCAAATATGAACAACAGAAGTTTATAAACATTCTTTTTTCTGTCATTGAAATAGTTAATTACAATTTTGCAACAAAAATTTCTGACATCAAAGTTGCAGCTCATATTGCTTTAATGCTATCAAAATAATCACTGCTATTATATTATAACATCATAACAGGGTTTTTCTTAGGCCTGGGCCTTTCTATTTGGGAAAAATAGTGACATTTGGTTGAAATGGGAAAAATATCATATTTAATGTTTTTGGAGCATGCCCTTTAGATTTGTTTTTTTAGAAAACCATTCCTGATATACGTTACTGAGTTTGGACATTTTTAAAACATATTTATGTGTTTCAATTCTCTTCTGGGAATTTTCTTTTATGAAATTGGGAAAAAACACATACTTTTTACTATTGGAAATGGGGCAGAATACATTGCTCCCTACAACCCCTAAAAAAAACTTCTGTATTAATACATTATAATCTTTCTATAACATTAAATGAATTTCATAAGCCCCAGCCATCGTTCATTTATTTATATATGTTTGTGTGCATCAACAATCTGTCCCACTTCCATGCTGATGTGAGTACTTTTTGCGCCTCTACTGTTGGAGAGCTATCATCTCAAAACTTGCGTATTGGGATGCTTGCTTATTAAAATGTCACGAATAATGACCAAGCTGTACTTGAGAAGATTTTTTTATTATACATCTATATTTAAGGAATGAATTTAATAGCTACCCAATTTATATGGTATAAAGTGGGTTGGGGCAGTTTACACTTTATAAACCACGAAGCGGTTTATAAAAAAGCGTAAACTTTCCAACCCACTTTATACAGTATAAATTGGGTAGCTATTAATTTCATTCCTTATAATTTAATTTTCATTCAAAAAGATTATTGCCCTTAAAAATGACTTCAAATTGTACAAAATTTAAATGTAACATCATGCGGATCGATACGTTTTTGACGCAAGTCATTGTGTTGTAGGCAACCCAATTTATACAATATAAAGTAAATTTTTTATCCAATCAAATGGCATGTTACAATGAGAATTAAATTATTCCCATATAAAAATAAAATCCCCTATTTTGACCCCACCATCACCCCTGGGGCCATCATTTGAACAAACTTGAATCTGTAATACTTGAGGCTGCTTGCAAATTACCTTAATGTGACTATAATCATGAACTTGCATGCTGTTGTTGAAAAATAAGGGGGCATTGCCCTACATTTGGAAAAAAATTATATCCCCTTCATCTAAGAATTTATATTTACATAAAATAATTATATAATTATGTGTATTAAATAGTTTATGATTCATAATATGAATCATAAACTTAAACTATAGTTTACAATTGAAAAGCCTAGTCTATCAAATGTCTAGCTCATTTATGTGCATTTGGCATGTCGTATTAATCATGTAATTGACTGTTTACAATCATTCTGATTCAGGAATCAGTCAGTGCTGTTCTCCATTGAATTCTCATGTGCAAATTCTCAGCTTACTTATTCTATATGTGCCAAGGCTGACATAAGCTCCGATCACAACCCTTAATTAGTTTGCAATAGGATTGTCTATATCCTTAAGGACCCTCGATATGCACCAATGAGAAATTTTTTTAGACACGTACTGCATGAGAAAAGTGAATCATATTTTAAAAGATGTATTTTACATGAGTTTATCTATTTGTTCAAGCCAAAAATTTTCAAAAGCGACACCTTTGACATATTATAATTTTTGGACTTTTTGTAAAACAACAAATTTAAAAGTGCCCATAAAATGACCTAAAGGAAAAATTAAAAATGTTGATGACAGGTACCTGTACGACCTGCAGAGCAGACCGACACTTTGGAATCACTTTACCTGGCATCCGTCTGTCTGTCTTCCATCCTCTTTCTGTCTGTCTGTTAAACCCTATATTTGAGAACTGACACTCTAAGAGGTATGGATTTGATTAATTTTGCAAATATATTGCTCGGCACTTTGGCTTTTGTAAAATACCATGGTTACTGACATCCAGACCCTTAAGCTAGACCTTTGACCTACTTTTCAGATTAGATCCTTGTGCCAATATATAGCTTATTTTTGACATTTAAGAGGTAAGTCTACGCTATTTGGCATGTGCACTGTTTGCCATAAAACTTTATGAACAAGAGGCCCAAGGGCCTTAATGGTCACCTGAGTATAAAACAACAATCCATAGAGGATCCATAGAGTATAAATTGAAAGCTGCAAAAACAAACCCAGGTTACACAATATATATTAATTTTTTTATCCAATCAAATGATGCGTTACAACCAAAATTGAATTATATTAAAATGACTTATCATGGTTTTGTTGTTTTTGAGAAGACTTTTAAATGATCTTTCCTATATATTCCTAACTAAAACTTTGATCACCTGTTGTGCTCCCTCCCTACCCCATGGGGTCAAGATTTGAACAAATATGAATTAACATTACTCAAAGATGCTTCCATATAAATAAGACAAATGGCTTTGCTATTCTTGAGAAGAAGATTGTTAAAGATTTTTCATATGTATTCATGTGTAAATCTTTGATCGTCCATTGTGGCCCCACTCTATCCCCAGAGTCATGATTTGAACAAACTTGAATCTATACTATATCTGAGGAAATAATTATGAATTATTATAACATGCTTCCATGTAAATATAACCAATCATGGCTTTGTTGTTTTTGAGAAAAGAATTTTTTAAAGATTTTTCCTGTGTATTCCAATGTAAAATTTTCATTGTCAATTGTGGCCCCACCCTACCCCCGGGGATCACGATTTAAACAAACTTGAATCTACACTACCTGAAGATGTTTCCACATAAGTTTCATCTTTCTTGGTCCAGTGGTTCTGGAGGAGAAGTTTTTTCCAATGTATTCCCATTTAAAATTTTGATCATTCATTATGGCCCCACCCTTCCCCAGGGGGTCATGATTTGAACAAATTTGAATCTACACTACCTGAGGATTTTTGCACACAAGTTTCATCTTTCTTGGCCCAGTGGTTCTGGAGAAGAAGATTTTTCCTATGTATTCCTGTGTAAAATTTTGATCGTCCATTACAGCCCCACCCTACCCCCAGGGGTAATGATTTGAACAAACTTGAATCTACACTATCTGAGGATTTTTCCACGTAAGTTTCATCTTTCTTGGCCCAGTGGTTCTTGAGAAGAAGATTTTTAAAAGATGCCATTAATTTTTCACTAATTCTTAAATATCTCCCCTTGGATAAAGGATTGGCCCTTCATTTGAACAAAATTGAATCACCATTACCCAAAGATACTTTGTGACATCAGTCATTCTACAAAAACATGCCCAATTAAGAATTTTTTATGTCTCTTACAAATTTACCCTTGTAATAGCTTAACTACAATTTTAAGGTCGATTTCAACTCTAAGAGTTAACATACACGTTTTTTTTTAAAATATTTACCGATATATATGCATTTAAAGTTTTGATATGAACACAATATCATGTTAAAAAATGTATTTCACTGCAAATCTTAATGTCACTTAATTCATTTACAATTTTCTAGATGAAATTTTCAGCCGTATAAAAGAAAACAAACCACTTCTCGCAAAGAAATGCATGGATCTTCTTTCATAAGAAATCATAGCATGTCACTGAAAATCAATTAACTTCCGTAACGATTTTGTTTTAAATTAAATGCACAAAATGCTGATTTTAAAAAAAAATGAAAGTTATCTGAAAGTGACCATGGAACCTTATATCATCGATTCTACTTGCGACTCTAGTCCCTTTAGACCATTACATTTTTGACAAACAAAATGAATTAGACAAAAACAGTTGTCTCTCTTAAAAAATTAACTTCTATTATGGTAATTCAGGAATGTTTTTGCATTAAAAGGTATAAACATTTTTATTATTTTGGGAGAGAAATGATT